AAAAAAAAAAGAAAAAAAGAAAGAAATAGCGGCCATCATCGTCGCTGCGAAAGAAGACGAAAGTAATGCAAAGTGCATAATGTGAGTATGCACTGATCCATAGTAGAAGGATGCTGGCTGCATAGCTGTAGTCCCTGATCCTATCATCATATAGTTATATTGATCCATGTATATGTTCAGACAGCAGTAAGTTGTATGTTCTGAACTTCTGGGTAGGCAGGAGGCTCAAACTCTACTACCGAGCCGGGCACCGACTCTTTGTCCCGTAGTCTTGTGATATGATTGAGAGAAACGCGTTCAAAGCATTGACTGTGTGGTATCAGTGTTGGCTCATACTCGGCATCACCGCTCAGGGCTACATTTGTCTACTATATGTTACTCGGTTTCCGACTGTGCTTTAACCCAATCGCGACAACTGCTCATACGTAGAATGGTTATCCGAACTTACGAAGGCGGAGTGCTTATGGGCAAACTGTTGGCTGAAGCTCGCAGTGAAGGCGTGATCGACTAGCTTGACGATATACAATAAATAGCACCTATACATGAAACGACTATAATGATACAAGTCTAGCAATTGCGGAATCCTCCTGTCTTCTTTCCACCGCGTGTGACAAGACCACAGAAGTATGCCTTCGGATGATCCTGGGTATCAATCTCATCATCTTTATGATAAAACACCACCCGCTCATCCCCGATGTCCTGGTTCCTCGGCCCGCCGTTATAATAGGAACCTTTCTCGAGTGGATATTCGTAGCGATTTTTGTCCGCCGGGCACGAATCAGGGAAATTCAAAGAATGTCCCGTCGAGTTGTTGTGGTGGAGAGAGTGGGGGAATTTGGCTTCTGACGAGATGCCGTGTTAGCTGATTTATACCGTGAAAAAAAGAGAGAGGGAGGTCTATGTTTGAGCTTACTGCCTCGGGCCTGTCCATTTTGCGTCAACGCGATGGCGTATTGAACAGCCTCGTAGACATCCTCGCCAGAGTAAGAGGCAGTATAACTATCCCGCTCTGCAGTATCCGTTAGTTCCGAGCTCAGATTGGCAATATGGACTTGAATGAATGGATTCTACTCACTGCATGTCATGTTGTCTGAATGTGAGGGACCATCAACCAACTAAGGACGCATGTTAGCTTCATTCTTAAGGATGAAGAATGGACTCTATACCGTGATCGGAGCAAGAGACGGATCATCGCGAGCTTCTAGCGGATGGAAAGGCAGAGCAACAATGCTTCCAGCCAAGGAGAGGAAAGCGATCATGGAGAATTTCATGGTGGTGTTGTTTTTACGATATGATATGCCGCGGAGGTATCCAAAATGGTTCCCCTTTTCAACTTCGTCTGTATATATATCCCGCTAGACGAGCCATGGGGTATGCAATGGGGTTTAAATCTGCATTGCGGAATGGTAGTCCTACTCGTTTTCCATACAGGAATTGGTGAGGGGTTTTCACCCCCAGAGATCTACATTTAGTCTCGCGGTAAAGCCAGACCCCGCAGTCACGTAGCTACCAACATCGATCATGATCGGCGTGGAAATGGTTCTCCGGATTCGTGCCTGTGCGTTCAGAGCCCAGGCTGATTTGTTCTCTGGGACATAGGAACTATCGCCACTCGGCCCTGGCATAACTCACCCTCGGGTAACATAAAAGGAACAGAAATACTAGATATGCCACCTATTGCGGTCGACACGGGTTCCTCACCGAGGTACATCGGCACAGTGGTATCTCCATCCTGGTTCACGGATGCTATATCCCCAGACGGAGACCCCGACAATGGCTGTCATCCTCAAGAAGCACAGGCACTAAGAGACTACCACGAAGGCAAGATCACTATCCAGGAGGCGGCATATGCCATTTCCCGTCCGACCGCAACCTCCCAGTCCACCGAACTCAACTGCGAAAGAAACAAATCATGGAATCTTCTCATCGCCGCTTTAGAAGAATGGCCCGAACCCGAAAGCTCTCCGATATTCGCCCTCCTCAAGGAGATGGAGAATATCCCCGAACCTGCCATCAGGGAAGAGGCAAAGCATTCGGTCACAAGCGATCCCTTCTGGAAAGAATTACCCGGTTTTGGGAACATGTGGGCGGACGTTTTTCAATGGGGGGGGGGGGGGAATGGAGACATAAGATTGAGGACCATCCAGATGACACGGATCTGCGGCGCCAGCTGCGGGAGAAGTATATCCATATCGCGGCGCTTGAGACACGACTAGTCGATGAAAAGATTGGACCGATTTCTCTGGACTGGGGATACGAGTGTTTGACCGATGTGTTTGAACGCCGTGAGGCGATCCCGGATATTCAGGTTCTCATGGCAGCGGAGTGGCTAAAGCGTCTTGCGAGACGGATCTTCGATGGTGCATTGAAACAGGAAGAGGATTGGCCGTTCAAGAGAGATTATCTGAATCTGCGAAAAGGAGGAAATGCGATGACGGTGGAAAGATGGCAATATTGGAAGAGTCGGTTGGAGAAGTATGTAAGAGAGGGCTTGCCTGAAAGTGATTCGGTTGCGATGGCGATTCAAGCAATGAATGTCGCTGAGAAGGAACAGCATTGAGATACAATATTTTGGTAATTTGTACAATAATGCAAGACAATTTATTACTTCTTTAAATAGCCTGTCAACAGCAAATTGCCGCTCTGCAAAGTGCAAACACGGCAAAAGATCCTTCGTTTAAGCCAACAGGTCAAACATGACAAAATGTTGGCAACAAAGCCCTGCAGAATTTTCCAGTTGAAAGAAATATACGCTAACCTGGTTGCTAGGGCTGCCGCTTCACTTCTGACTTACTCGCTCTATCCTTCCCTTCCATTCTCCATCGCCATCTCACCACCCTTTCATTATTCAAGCCTGCTATCAAACAGGATCCATTCGTTCTGATACAGCTACACCTGATACTGCAAGCTCTCAACCACAGGCTTGCCCTGGAGAGTTAACAGTATGGCCAAGTCTAAGTAAATAACCCCAGCACACAACGAGCACGACCTGTATCAAAACTTTACTAACTTCACTATCTGAGAAGGATATGTTGGGGCTTCGCCCAACGCGGAAGATGCAAGTTTTCAAACTGCAGATTTTCGCACGACGTCAACAGAGCAGAACCAACCGAGCGCAAAAAGCCCGAACTCACCAGTAGTGAGCGAGACTTTCGTGCCTGGAGGAACGACATACCGTTGAATATACCCTATGCTCGTCCGCTGGAAAGTCGCCTTGGATCATTTTTTGATGAAGCTAGGAGGCTTATCGATGAAGGGGATGGTGTCCTGCAAGATGTTGTTCGAGCTTTTTCTACCGAGGGAGGTCTCAGACGTATTCAAGAGCTTGTTGAATACGACTACAATCGCATACCGGCTGCCGCCAGACCCAGTGTTTTCAGGGCTCAGATGTTGCCATTTCTGGAGATTATTACAAACCCGAATGTCTTTGAATCACTGGTCTTGGAGCAAGCAGTTGGAACGATTTACAATGTTCTCTACGGTAACTCTGGAAGACGAGGCGTTGTCCTTCTTGGGTTCCTCGCGGATGTGTTTTCAGTCTCCAAGGGAGAGAATCCGACAACTGAAACTCTCAATCACTTCGAGTTGTCACTCCTCGTCTTCTGGCAGATTATCAGACTGAACTCTCTTGCCTTTGTCCACGAGCCTTTCAAACCTGTGGCAATGAAGTTTGAAGAGATTTTCAAGGAGTTTCATTCGGAAGACACCGTCAACTTTCTCCAGACTTCCAGGGCCCATCTGGAGCGTATTTTGCGCCATCTCGACATTGGAAGCTCTCTACCGACAGTTGATGGGATGCAGCAACTCGTCAAGAAAAACCACCAACCCGAAGTCTCATTCGTGACCACTTACGACCCACCGGGCGGACGTCACGATAATGACACTGCGGACATTTGCAGGGTTCAGATAATGCCTACGATTGAGGAGATCCTGTCATCACGGAGTGAGTATCTGCCGGTGAAAGATCCTCGTCAGTGGCATGTTGGGGGCATCAGCGGCCTTCTCGATAGAAACTTCCGACTCCTCAGGGAAGATACAATTGGGCAATTGAGAGACACCATTTACGCTCTTCTGAAGCCCTCGAACAAAATACGAGGAAGTCGGAGCACTCAGCTTAGAACGCACGTTCATCAAAATGTCCACTTGCTTGCCCTCAACTTCGACCGGTTTGCGGGCTTGCAATTTGTCGCTCGAATTGAGCAGCCAGTAGACATGAAGGATATGAGTAAAGAAAATCGCGAGGAGTGGTGGCAGAGGTCCAAGCGGCTGCAGTCAGGTGCTTTGGTGTGTCTTTGCTTCGGGGCTAAGAATACCGTCTTTTGTACCGTCGCTGGACACCCAAGGCCGCGGCGAAACAAGGACGGAGAGATGGTTCCCCCGAAGAAAATGTCCTCCCTTTGGGAAGAGAAAGAGACGGCGACCGTGCTGCTGGAGCTGGCGCAGCTGTCGGACGACAAAGTGAAATGTATCCTCAGTCAGTACAAATCGCGGATGGCTGTTGCGCTGTCGCTCGTCGAGTTTCCCGGGATACTCCTAGCAGCATTCGAGCCGACACTCCGTGCTCTTCAGCAAATGAAGAGAAGTGACGACCTGCCATTTCCTCAGTTGCTTAGTCCGTTAGACCCTAAAGGCCAGTCCGGGACGATAACGCCGCCGCCGCCAGCATATGCCCTCAGGAACGGATTCACATTTGACTTGAGCTGCTTGTTAAAGGATCCCACAGTCCCTTTCACAATGCGGCCCGGTGAGCCGGTCGACATTGCAAGGCTGAAAGAGTATTCAACATTGGACAACGCTCAAGCAGTTGCGGTAGTCAACAGTCTCCAGCGCTGTATCGGGCTCATCCAGGGACCACCCGGAACGGGAAAGAGTTATACGGGAGTTGCTCTGACCAAAGTTCTCATCCAGGCTCTCCTTGCAGGCAAGAGAGGTCCCACGAACAGAAGAAGAGCTGGAGAGGATCTTGGTCCGATTATCTGTGTCTGCTATACGAATCATGCGTTGGACCAGTTGCTTGAGGATCTGCTGGAGAAGAGAATCACCACTCAAATCGTCCGCATTGGTTCCCGGTCGAAATCCGAGAAGCTCGAACAGTTTAACTTGCGGAATATGTCTGGACAGAAAAACAAAACCAAGGCGGAGAAGAGGGACGAGTGGGAGCTTCATAAGGATCTTGATGACATTGGAAAAGAGTTCGGTGGCTTGTCGCTGGAATCAACGAATTCAGAGGGCAGGTTGGAATCCTTTCTTGAGCGTCGCTATCCCAAGCACTACCGCCAATTGTACGGAAAGGACGAGCAAGGCTATGAACGAGCACGGGCCTCTAGAAAAGGTCCTGTCTTCAAGGGATGGCTCAACCACGGCGGAGTCAAAACTACAAGCGAGCCACGTTCTCTGGCGGCACTGCAAGATGCTCACGTCGATTCCATGTCACAGCAGGAGAGGCAGAGACTTCACGAACATTGGATCGCAGAGATCCGACGCGATGCTCACGATACAGCAAGTAATCTCCTCGAACGCCAACGACGTACCAAAGTTCAGTTCGACAATATCCGCGACGAGCTCAATATGCGTTGTCTCCGCGATGCACATATCATCGGAGTGACAACCACGGGTCTCGCCCGCAATCTGAACATGCTGCGTCGACTGAGACCCAAAATCGTCCTGTGTGAAGAAGCCGGTGAAGTGCTGGAGTCCCACCTGTTGACGGCTTTGCTGCCATCGGTCGAGCATCTTATTTTGATCGGTGACCACATGCAGCTTCGGCCGCAGGTGCAGAATTACGACCTTTCGCGGGAGAATCGCAATGGTGGCGAGCAGTACTCACTGGACGTGTCGCTTTTTGAGCGTCTGGTGAATCCAGATGAAGGGACTGGCGTTCGCGTGCCGTACAGTACCCTCGAGACACAGCGGAGAATGCACCCGTCGATTGCTCAACTCGTTCGCGAGACACTCTACCCACGTCTGGAAGATGCTTCATCCGTGTCACAGTATCCCGAGGTTAGTGGGATGCGCAAACGACTGTTTTGGTTAGATCACCGTCACCAGGAAGGGAACAGTTCCAAGAACGATGCTTTGGGGACGTCCCACAGGAACAGTCACGAAGTTGAAATGACAATCGCCCTAGTCAACCACTTGGTCCGTCAGGGTACATACAAGAGTGGCGATATCGCTGTCTTGACACCCTATCTAGGTCAGCTGCATCTCCTCCGGAACGGACTTCGGGAGTTGTTTGCCATTGAGCTTGGGGAGAGAGATGAAGTAGACCTGGATAATGCAGGGCTCAATGACGAAGTCCCAGAGATTCAGCAACGGGTAGTCAAGACCAATCTCTTGCAGACGCTTCGGGTCGCCACGGTCGACAACTTCCAGGGTGAAGAGGCAAAGGTCATCGTGATATCCTTGGTCAGAAGCAACGATCAGAACCAATGTGGTTTCCTTCGAACTTCGAACCGGATCAACGTGCTCCTCTCTCGGGCAAAACATGGAATGTATATTGTCGGCAATTCTGCGACGTCAATTCACATTCCGATGTGGGCACAGGTTATCGACATCTTACGGCGGAATGGTAACTTCGGCACCAGTCTGGAGCTCCAGTGTCCGCGTCATCCAGATCATCCGATTGCCGTCTCTGAGCCGGACCACTTTCTGCAGTACTCGCCTGAAGGAGGCTGCAATGAGCGCTGTGTGAACCGACTGAAGTGCGGGCATGCTTGCAAGCGAAAGTGCCATTCTGCTATTCTCCATGACGCGTTACCTTGTCAAGAACCGTGTCCGAAGGTGGTGAAGGGATGTGATCACTCATGTCCTAAGCTATGCGGCGATCCGTGCCCGATCAAATGCATTGTCAGTGTCCACCAGGCTGGTCGGAGATTGCTTTGTGGTCATATCGCGGAGGATTTGCCCTGCTGGCAGGCCCAAAACGTGTCTCTCGTTAGGTGCACGAAACCAGTTGAAAAGCAAGCCCCTGGATGCGGTCACAAGGTAATTGTTCAATGCTATGTGGACGTTGCGAGATCCGGATACCGGTGCGATGCGCTTTGCAAAGCGAGTCTGGCCTGCGGCCATACCTGCAAGCGACTGTGCTGGAATTGTACGGTGCATACTCCTGAAGGAGTCATTGTGGACCACGGCAAGTGTCTCCAAGTATGTGGCCGGGGTCAATCGACCTGTGTCCATGCGTGCAATCAAACCTGCCACGGGTCGGAGCCATGTCCTCCATGCAGCATGCCCTGCGAGATCCAGTGTGCTCATTCGAAGTGCCCGAGACTCTGCGCAGAGCCCTGTACTCCGTGCGCCGAATCGACATGTCTCTCAGCGTGTCCACACAGCCAGTGTTCCATGCCCTGTGCCGCTCCATGTGACCATATACCTTGCACCCTTCGCTGCGAGAAACGCCTTTCTTGCGGTCATCAGTGCCCGTCAGTTTGTGGAGAGATTTGTCCTCCAAGCGAGTTCTGTCAAAAGTGCGCCAGCCCTGAGCTCAAGAGGGGCGTGGTCGACTTCATTCTGGCTGAGACATATGCCGAAATCAACCTCAACGAAAATCCGTGTATCTTTCCTCGCTGCGGCCATTTTCTGACGATCGAGAGTATGGACGGCCAAATGGATATGAAGAAGTACTACGCGATGGAAGGTGACAAACCCGTGGCTATCCGCTCGTCATCGGAGCCGTTCTCCGTAGACGATATCAAACGATGCGCTAGATGCCGTGGCTCATTGAGAAATTTGTCAAGATATGGCCGTTTAGTTCGCCGCGCTATTCTCGACGAGTCGACCAAGAGGTTCCTTTTGTATCTCAATCGGGAATATGTGCCTCTTGCGCAGGAGCTGCCGTTACAATTGGCAGCGGTTCTCGAGAACAAGAGCGAGCTTTCACCATTACTGGCTAGCGAACAGATTACCATTAACATCGGCGGTTCTCGTGACAAACAGTTCCGACAGATGGCTGAGATCATCCAGAAATACGGTGGAAATCGATGGAGACAAGTCACCAAATTGCGAAGCCGCATCGTTCAGTACTACAAAACCGTCGAGGAGGAAGAACAGCCCTTCTCTCGTGTCCAAGCTCTTGTCGAAAGCGCCCGCAGACGCAAAGGGGCCAGCGGAAGTTTCGAATTCGATGGCAGTGTCGTGCAGACGAAGGGGGTGTTCCTCGCGACTACCCTCCTCATGCGCCTGGACATTAGCTTACTCGGCGATTTTCTATCACTTTTTCAGATCAGCCGCACGGGGGTGAAGGGATGCAAGCTGCAGATTAATCTACAAGCGACCCGAGAGGAATGCAGAAGTTTGATCAAACGAGCCGGAAATGCCATGCGAGTCGCGCACGAGGTCGAGGGATACATTTTCCTGGCCCAACTGCATGCACTGGAACGATCGCAGACTGAAGCTCCGACTGAGAGAGAGAAACACGCCCAGCAAGCGCGCGAGGCGATCGCACCGGCCAGGAAACTATGCCATCGATACCCCGGGCAGACCAATGGACTGGGAAGCGAAATCGACGATGCGGAAGAGATGCTCAAATTGGGAACATTCTACAGCGGTGTGACCAGTGAGGAACGTCTGGAGGTTATTGCTGCGATGGCGCGCGAGTTCCGGGGCACCGGACATTGGTATTACTGCCAGAACGGCCATCCTTTCACCATTGGCGAGTGTGGGGGAGCGGTGCAATTGGCAATATGTCCGGAGTGTGGCGCGCGTGTTGGAGGTCAAGGCCACCGAACCGTGGACGGGGTGACTCGGGCGGATGATTGGGAGCAGGAATTGGGACAGTTGAGGATTTGATCTGGGTCCGAGTCAAGCGTGTACGAGAATACTCCGAGGACTTGACCCCCTGATTCCACGAGTTTGGTAAGGGCAGCTGTCATTCGCAAGCTTGGCTCCTATGGTCCATGATTCATGTATTGAGTAGAGAAAGCCATTGGCCGGAGATACTCGGTTTAGTTGGTCTAACTCCGATAGCTTGATGCTAGACTGAATTATTCGATTATGTACGTATCCATTCCACAGGCCATCCGTAGCAATATCGAAGTGAAAAAGAGATCGGCGAATAAGCACAGCCCTCGCATCAACACGAACAGAGCAGTTTCTCCTGATTGATTACAAGTAATGCCCCAGTCGGTGGACATGCAGTAGTTCGAAGCTTGGTATAGTTAGTTATACGGAGTAGACTGGCCTGACCGTTTCCCGGCCTGACTCGTACGTACTCGGCTGTTGATTTTTCCTGTCTTTCTCATTTCGTACTTTTTGTTTTCTTTTCTTTTCTTTTTTTTTCACTGCAGTTGTGACCTGGTTTATTAGAATTACTTTTCCGACACGAGGATGAAGGTTTCTGCTCGTTTGCTCGGTGCCCTTTTGGCATTGGGTTCTGTGTCGACTGCATGCCAAAGCTGTCGCTGCTTTCCGGGTGATGACTGCTGGCCGGCGCAGGATGTCTGGTCTAGCTTTAACGAGACCGTTAACGGACGGTTGATTGCAACGGTCCCCCTGGCCTCGCCGTGTCACGCTCCGAACTACGATGCGGAGGTGTGCAAGGAATTGAAGAATGAATGGATGGAGCCGGAGGTGCAGTAAGTCGACTTTCCCGGAGGAATGAGATACAGACGATGGTGAACTGACGGGATGGTGCAGCTACAATTCCTCCTCGTCGGTTATGGCCCCCTTCTTCACCAACGGCACCTGCGATCCCTTCCACCCGGTCTCCAAGCCATGCACGCTCGGCAACTTCATCAACTACGCCGTCAACGTCAGCAAACCCGAACACGTGTCGAAGACGCTCTCCTTCGTCAAGAAGCACAACATCCGCCTCGTCGTCCGCAACACCGGCCACGACTACAATGGCAAATCCACAGGCGCCGGCTCGGTCGGCCTCTGGATGCACCACCTCAAGGATATCGCGATCAACGACTTTTCCAGCAAATACTACAACGGTAAAGCGATGAAGATGGGCGCCGGCGTCCAGGGTATCGAGGCGTACACGGCCGCGCACAACCAGGGTCTGGAGGTTGTCGGCGGAGAATGTCCCACTGTTGGGATTGCGGGTGGATACAGTCAGGGAGGGGGGCATTCGGCGCTTGCTTCCCGATACGGACTTGCCGCCGACCAGGTGCTGGAATGGGAGGTTATTGATGGTCGGGGGAATTTTGTCACTGCGCGCCGCGATAACGAGCATAAGGATTTGTACTTTGCGCTGAGCGGTGGCGGTGGCGGTACCTATGGTGTTGTGTGGTCGATGACCTCCAAAGCGCATACGGGTCATGCGACCTCGGGGCTCAACCTGACTTTCACCAACGCCAACATCTCGCAGGATACGTACTACGAGGCCGTCAAGCTGTACCAGGAGAAACTGCCGGCGATCGTCGACGCGGGCGCGATGAGCGTGTGGTACTTTACCAACACCAGCTTCAGCATCTCGCCGCTGACAGGCCCGAACATCCCCGTGGCCGAGCTAAATGCGCTCGTCAAGCCGTTCACAGACGGCCTCAAGAAACTCGGCATCAAGTACCAGATCTACTCGCAGCAGTTCGACAGCTACCTGGAGGAGTTCGAGGGAATGCAGGCACCCATCCAAGTGGGCATCGCGCAGTATGGCGGGTGGCTGGTGCCGCGGTCAGTGGTGCAGGAGCAAAACGACGCGCTGACGGATGCTTACCGGTACATTACCGAGGATGGGGCCACGTTTATCGGAGTGGGCCTGAATGTCTCGCGGGCGCTCGTGGGCGAGGACATCGACGAGATTAACGCGGTGCAGCCTGCCTGGCGCGAAACCTTGATCGATACCACGATTACCACGCCGTGGAGCTGGACGGCGTCGCGCGCGGCCATGGTCGCCGAGCAGCGCAAGATGACCAAGCAGTATATCCCGCGGCTGGCGGCACTTTCGCCGAACAGCGGCGCATACTTGAACGAAGGAGACTTTGAGCAGCCGGATTTCCAGTCCGTGTTCTACGGGAACAAGTACGATAAGCTGCGCTCGATTAAGGCGCAGTATGATCCAGACGAGGTGTTTTATGGAAAGACAGCGGTGGGGTCGGACGAGTGGCGTCAGCTCAATGATGGACGATTGTGTCGGGCTTGAGTTTGATTGAGTTAGGAATTTTTTTCCCACCTTGGTGTTCCATAGTCTTTAATTAATATTAGCACACGAAGTTCACTAACTGTACATGGAATCGTCTCCTCTTAGGGCAAAGTTTATGTCTTCTCCACTGTGGGTTGCATTCCGTGGCGTGCCGAGGTTGTACTCTGTACATCTCGTAGAATTCTAATTTGTACATTCGAGAAGAAGTCGAGCCAGTTATGTTCGGGTACGTGGTCGTTAGCATCGTCTACGGAGTAATCTACAGGGTATGTATGGAGTAATGGAGTTCATATATGTACTTGTATGTACAGAGTACTATGCAGATATGAAGACATCCCTGAAACTCCGAGAATTATCCATGATTAGATTAAGTGGAAGTTTGTTGTGGGAAATCAAACCATGGGTCAGAATAGGTTACATCCATCCAATTTCAAATAGCGTGCAATAGTCCGATTGTGTGCTATGTACAGATGCAAATAACACTGACAGATGGCAGTCTGCACTTTTGCAACTCGCACAGGCATACAGACTACTCTGTACGGAGTAGTCTAGCAGAGCAGAAAAAGAAATATGATTCTGTGCATCATCACCCGATAGTTAATAGTCGATCTCTTATACTTTCCGGGCACCAGTTCGGGTCCAGTTCGGGGGTGTGTCCACCATTTTTGAGACTGCGATTCCCGTAGTTTAAGTTAAATCTGCTGGCTGAAACGAGTCCCAATCCTTCGGTCAGGGATTTGCTCCAGCTCATGTATTTGAAGTTCGTGCTTGTCCGCTGTGGTGGTGGTGGTGCTGCTGCTGGTACGGTACTCAATTCATGGATCTGTGCTCGTGCTCCTGATGATCTTTTGCTTATGACTAGTGCAGTCGAGTGCGAGTTGAGTCTTTTCAATCTTCTGGTGCTGTGGAGCAATGATACTATAACTTCTTTTGGGTTGTTTTCGAAATTGAAATTGAATAAGAATACGTGCACGTCGCATCGCATAGTCAGTCTTTCGCTCATTCGCAATGTACTAGTCGTTCCTTACACACCTGTCCTTCTTTTCCTTTCCTCCCTTTTCCTATTGTTCTGTCCTCTACCTCTCCTTTGTACGAATACAATGATATGACCATGTGGGTGTACAACCAATCCACCCCCGACCCTCACAGCCATACCGCCACTGTCATCACCATAAGCATCCTCTTTCCGGCTCTCGCCCTCATCGCCATCGCCTTCCGATTCTATGTTCGCCTGCGCTTAAAAAGGACGCCGTGGTTTGATGATTATGCTGCGCTGTCGAGTGCTGTGTTGGGGGCTGTTTATGGGGCGATTGCTGTTGCTCGTAAGCCCATGTCCAAACTAATTAGATTGACATGCAGACAGAGGACTAATGGCATGGATAGAAACAAGATGGGGCCTCGGTTTAAACACATCATCCTTCCCCGTTGAAAATGTCGTTCCATTCGGAAAGGTCTGCCCTCTCTGCCCCAGAGTATATATATGCGCAGTCTGCTAACAGAACAGATCCAATACGCCGGCGGCCCCGTCTACACAATGGCCCTCCTCGGCTTCAAAGTCTCCCTCCTAACCTCCTACCTCCGCATCGGCGGCTTCGTCAACACCTACAAAAACATCATCCTCGCCGCCATCGCCGCCTGCACCATCAACCAACTCATCTTCACCTTCCTGCTGCTCTTCGCATGCAATCCCGTTGCGAAACAATGGGACACTACACTTCCGGGACATTGTCTAAACACGGTCCCTAGTTATTATGGGTTAGCGGGCACGAGTCTGGGCTTCGATATATTGATTATTGCATTGCCGTTGCCGGTATTGGGCAATCTGCACTTACGGCGGAAGCAGAAGATCGCGCTGATGGGGGTTTTTGCGCTCGGTTTCTTCGTCACGATTATTCAGATCATTCGCATTTTCACGGTCAAGAATCTCAAGACGTATACGGACTCGAGGCCGATTGTTATTTGGTCGGTTATTGAGATTTCGCTTGGTGTACGTCCCCGTACCCTACTTACCTTATGCATACCCTACTATGCTACATACGCCTTCGGCATACTGACAGTGAAAAAGGTCATTTCGACATGCATCCCAACCTACGCCCCCCTCTTCCGCGCCTTCACCTCCCTCAACTCCTACTACAACCGCTACGGCTACAACTCCGGCTACGGGCACAACGGGAACACCTACGCCCTGGCCACACGAAGCATGACAAATCGCGCCTCGCGCCGGCACACAAACGCACACACAAACACCCAAAGTACATCTACCAGCTGGTTAGATCGTGATCTTGAGATTTTAGATGATGGTACCACGATAGGGAAGGGGGGCGGATTTGAAACGACGATCATGAGCGTGAATACGCCGATGAGTTCGACGTTTCCTGGGAGTTCTGTTGGTGAGACGAGTGTGGGGAAGGCGAGGGATTCGGACTCGGAGGAGTTGATTAAGAGGAGTGCAGCGCAGGTGCAGGGGCTGGCTGTTCCGGAGGCAGTGCATCATCATGAGGAGCCGCCGGGGACGGGGTTGAGTATGGGTACGACGAGTGCCGAGGAGGATCTGTTGCAGATTCATACGTTTACTGAGTTTAAGATTGAGAGGCATCATGTTTGATTTTGATGCTGTTGTACTGTATTTGTATATATTATGAATGATGTTCATTGCATTTTTAACATAACTGAGTCGTGATTTATTTAGGTTTTATGTGAGTTACTTCTTCAGACCCAACAGGTTGATGCTCTTTGGCCGCTCGATGGGCAGACCCAATGCCCGGTCCCAGATGAGCTGCACCAATGGTCCCAAGGCGCGACTCACACCAAAGGTGACAGTGTAGTACAGCGGCTGCTGGAAGCCGTAGTGGTGGAAGAGCACGCCAGATGCAGCGTCAACGTTCGGGTGAGGGTTTTTGGTCTTGCCGTGCTCTGTGAGGACCTGAGGTGCGATCTCGGAGTTCTTCTTGACGAGCTGGAAGACGGGGTTGGCTAGCACGTCTGGACGAGTGTCGGCAAAGTCCATCAGGGCTTGGAAGCGCGGGTCGGGCTTGCGGAGGACGCCGTGGCCGTAGCCAGGGACTACACGGCCGGACTTGAGCGTCGACCAGAGATAGTTGCTCACGTCCTCGTCGGAGAATTTGGTGCCGATCTTCTCCTGCATTGCCAGGATCCAGCGCAGCACTTCCTGGGCTGCGAGTCCGTGTAGTGGTCCGGCCAGACCCAGAAGACCGGCGCTGTAGCTGAGGTATGGGTCGCTCAGGGCGCTGCCAACCAAGTGTGTTGCGTGCGCGGACACGTTACCACCCTCGTGGTCACCGTGCAGGGCCAGGTACAGACGGAGCAGGTCATGGAAGTCGGAGTTTTCCTTGCCGCCCTTGCCCAGGAGTTCAGCAAAGTTGTGCGACCAGTCCTGAGTGCCGTCCAGGGCCTGTCTGCCCACGGTGTCGACCTCGTTGGGACGGAAGACGAGTGCTGCAACACGAGGAATCTTGGCCAGCAGCGAGATGCTGTCGTCAAAGGTCGGTTCCCAGTATTCAGCCTTGTTGAGACCCTGCTCATATGCCTTGGCGAACTTGGATTCCGTGTTCAGCGCAGCCACAGCAATCGACAACTGGGTCATCGGGTGCATCTCCCGGGGGAACGACCGAATCAAGTCCAGAATGTGTTCGGGAAGATGCGACTTGTCGGCCAATTCACGTGAAAAAGCGCGCACCTGGCCCGTCGATGGGACCTGCCCAGTCAACAGCAGCCAGAACATAGCCTCGGGAAGCATCTCAGTGCCAGAAGTACCCTTGGGCAGCTCCTTCTGGCAATCCTTGATCGTCCGGCCGTGGAACCGGATTCCCTCATCAGGGTCTAGCACGGAACCTTCCCAGAGCATGCCCTTGAGGCCACGCATGCCACCGATCACATTTCCAATCTTGACCTCGCCGATGACTTCTTCGCTTTGGTCTTTGACTTGTTTGAAGAGTTCGCGTTTGGCGGGAATGACATCTTTCAGGGCGGATTTGAGGTCTGGTTCGGCGGTGGCATAGCGGCGGAGGAATTGGCGGGGGCCCTGTACTTATTAGCTTGACTTGTAGCAGCAGCAATTGAAGGAGTGAGGCTCACAGTGGCCAGCTTGGTGGCATGGCGGGAGGTTCTCATAGAAAAGGCCATTTCGGGTGGGCTATCCGGGGAATGCGGGGGCGGAAGCGGGGACTAGTACGGAGTACAAGAGAGTAGACAACAGAGAGAGGACAGAGACAGAGACAATTGAGTATAAATAAGGAGAGCACAACCTGTATTGAAGACAACCTCGGAAGGAGAAAAGGAAGTACTCGGATACGTACACAGTAGAGATGTACGTCGTCAGGTGAGGGGAAGTCAGGTGACGGTCAACCGAGGCAAGCCGCGGAGCGGATATAGTGGCCTTGTGCTATGTACGGAGTGGTGAGTATCGATGGAGTATGAAGGGCAGTACTCTATGAATGGCAATTGACATAAAATAAGAATAGTATACTATATATTAAAGCAATTGATGGAGCTACATATGTACACATAAACTCAATTGAGGGCAGGGCACTGACATGAAGCTCTCTATAGTGAACTCGTTCCTGCATAGTCCCTGTCGGTACGGAGTACTTGTACTCCGAATTACTTGTGCACATTTGTACCGGCTGTCTGTGTCTATTGAGTAGTAGTTAGTTAACCGAGTAACTACCTTATTATGCCTTATTTCCAAGGCACCACATGGTTTTTGCCTGAGGCAAATACTGCCTTATCCCCCAGGAATGCAATATCTTATCAGCCACAAAACGGGGACACACCGCCACTCCTCATGGGCGGTTACTGGTCCCTGATTGGCCGCCACTTTGATTATCAATCATCGCCTCAGGCAGAGATTTACAGGCGGTGAACCCCATCTGCCAATGACTGCCTGCTTACTTTCGGCAAAAAAAATCGTGCCCAAGGCGGAAAGCATAAAAAAAGAAGATTCAAGTTTTCGCTGTCTCTTTTCACCTCAACTTCTCATCTTGTCTTTTTGTGTTGAAGACTGTCGTGGAGGACCTGTATACAATCTCCACTCTATTACTTTAATACTGTTGTTTGTTTCTTCAGTTATCTCTATCGGGTCCTGCTTATCACGTCCGGGACAGTCCCCGCCACGCCTCATTGAAGGCTTCCTCGCTATACAGACACACCGACATATACAGAATGCCTCATCCTGAATCCCCAGAAATGCCTGTCGCTGTGTCGAAAACTCCCTCCGGAGTGCCTCCCACACAAGAGGAGGTCTCTTCTCTCATCAACACCATCTTCAACGCAGAAGGCTCTCAGCAGGCCCTCGATGGCTCGTATGCCTTGACCAACCTTCTCATTCAGAGCGTCGGCTGCCGTGGTCTGCTCCAATATAACATCCTCCCCGAAGTCAAGAAAGCCGCTGCCGATAAGAAGAATGGCGCTCGTCGTGAGAGTGCTATGCTTATCCTGGGTGCTCTCTTTGAGCGTTTCCCCCGGGAACACCCTCTGAGTGAGTACGTTTTGCTCCTCGAGGATGGCGGTGTGCTGTACCTCGCTTTTGAAGCCCTATCCGACAAGGGCGCCGTTGTTCGCGACGCTGCTCAATATGCTATTGACGCCCTTTTCGCCAACCTGAAGCCCGAATCTCTGGTCAACGCTCTGCTTCCCGCCATCTCTGCCTACCTCAGCAAGGGTACTGGTAAGTGGCAGGGTTTCGTCGGTGCTTTCGCTCTCATCGAGAAGATGGCCATCAAGTCGCAGATGAGTGCTGGGTCCGGAGAGGAGGAGCGCCAGAAGGATCTCCTGCGTGAGGCCATGGGCAAGACCCTCAAGGAGCTCATTCCTCTGGTCGAGTCGGGCATGCACGATCTCAAGGGTGAAGTCGCCAAGAGGGCCACCAAGGCTATGAACGAGCTCACCACCCTCCTGTCCAACGACGACGTCCTCCCTCGGATACCCTTGTTGATGAACACCATGCAACAGCCGTCGGAACAGACCCTGCAAAAGGCCATCCACGCTCTGTCGCAAACCACCTTCGTTGCCGTCGTCACTTCGCCCGTGCTCGCCCTCCTGACTCCCTTGCTGGAGCGTTCGTTGAACACCCCGACCACCCCTCAAGAGACCCTCCGTCAAACCGTCGTTGTCGTCGAGAACTTGACCAAGCTGGTTCACGACCCCGCTGAAGCCCGTACCTTCTTGCCCAAGCTGCAGCCCGGTGTTCAGCGCGTCAAGGAGCGTGCCTCCTTGCCTGAAGTCCGTGAGCTTGCCACCAGCGCTTTGTCCGTCATGGAGAAGGCCATGGGTGACAGCAACCTGGCTGCCGGTTCCGTCGCCAAGGTCACTCCGGATGAGGTGCTTGCTGTTCTGGACGCCAAGATCCAAGCACAGGGTGGTTTGGCTGATCCTCAGAATGCCACTCTCCTTCAACTAGGCAAGACCTACATTGCTGAGATGGTCCGTGAAGATGTCAACTGCCGCATGCACGACCGTATCCCTGTCTGCACCGCGCCGTACCTCCGCGGCCTGCTCAAGGACGACAAGCACGACGCCGCTGCCGCCGAAATCGAGGCCCACTTCGTCGAGGATGACCACCGCAAGTTCGGTAAGCCCGTCGAGGACGACCCCAACGAGGTGGTTATCGTCAACGCCAACTTCTCTCTTGCCTACGGTGGTATGCTGCTCTTGAACCACACCAACCTTCGTCTGGTCAAGGGTCACCGCTACGGTCTGGTCGGTCGCAACGGTGCCGGTAAATCCACCCTCATGCGCAGTATCGCCAACGAGAAGCTGGAAGGCTTCCCGACCCAGGACCAGGTCCGCACCTGCTTCGTCGAGCACAACCAGGGCGAAGATGCCGACTTGAGCATCCTCGATTACGTCTCCAAGGACCCCCTGATTGCCGAAACCGGTAGAGAGCACATCTCCAGTGTTCTGCTCGAGTTCGGTTTCACCGACGGACCTGAGGGCCGCCAGTCGCAAGGCGTTGGATCCTTGTCTGGTGGATGGAAGATGAAGCTGGCCCTGGCCCGTGCCATGTTGAAGAAGGCGGACGTGCTCTTGCTGGACGAACCGACTAACCACTTGGATGTTGCCAACGTCAAATGGCTGCAGGAGTACCTGAAGAAGAACACCGAGATCACCAGTTTGATCGTCAGTCACGACTCTGGTTTCTTGGACGAGGTCTGCACCGACATCTACCACTACGAACAGAAGAAGCTCGTCAACTACCGCGGAAACTTGGCCGACTTTGTCAAGGTCAAGCCTGAGGGCAAGAGTTACTACACCTTGTCCGCCTCCACCGTGCAGTTCAAGTTCCCCCCTCCGGGTATCCTGGCTGGTATCAAGTCCAACACTCGTGCCATCATGCGTATGACCAACTGCAGCTACACGTACCCCGGTGCGAGCAAGCCGTCGTTGAGCGATGCGTCTCTTCAGCTCACGCTGTCTTCCCGTTTGGCTATCATTGGTGGCAACGGTGCCGGAAAATCGACCTTCATCAAGATGTTGACTGGTGAGACGATTCCTCAGACCGGTAAGGTCGAGAAGCACCCCAACCTCCGTATCGGTTACATCAAGCAGCACGCTCTGGAGCACGTTGAGCTGCACTTGGAGAAGACTCCCAGTCAGTATCTGCAGTGGCGTTACGCCAACGGAGACGACCGTGAAGTTTTCCTGAAGCAGACCCGTATCCTCACCGACGAGGACAAGGCGCAGATGGAGAAGCCGGTTGACTTGGGTGATGGCCGTGGTCCTCGCCGCATTGAAGCCTTGATGGGTCGTCAGAAATGGAAGAAGTCCTTCCAGTACGAAGTGTAAGTTCTTCATCACCCCTGGAAAGTAAGCAGTAACTAACAAGAATAGGAAATGGGTTGGCCTGCTTCCCAAGAACAACACTATGATCTCTCGTGACACCTTGACCAACCTTGGTTTCTTCAAGATGGTCCAGGAGTTTGATGACCATGAGTCGTCGCGTGAGGGTCTGGGTTACCGTGTTCTCGAGCCCCCCATCATCTCCAAGCACTTTGAAGACATTGGCTTGGACCCCGAGATCGCCAACCACAACCAGATCTCCGGTCTGTCCGGTGGACAGAAGGTCAAGGTTGTCCTGGCTGGTGCCATGTGGAACAACCCTCACTTGCTGGTTCTTGACGAACCTACTAACTTCTTGGACCGTGACTCGCTTGGTGGATTGGCTGTTGCCATCCGTGACTTCAAGGGTGGTGTGGTTATGATTTCTCACAACGAAGAGTTCGTCGGAGCCCTCTGCCCCGAGCAGCTCCACGTGGCCGACGGCAAGATTGTCAAGCGTACCAACAACGCCGTCTCGGCGGACCGCTTCGAAGACAGCGCCGCCAGCTCTCCTCAGCCCGGCAGCACGGCCGTCAACTCGACCGCCACCAGCGTGAACGCTTCGGCCGCCAACTCGGGCGCCGAGGACCAAGGCGAATTGAAGTTCAAGGCGAAGAAGAAGAAGAAGCTCACTCGTGCGCAGCTCAAGGAGCGCGATACTCGTCGCAGACTGCGTCACCTCGAGTGGTTGCAGAGTCCCAAGGGCACCCCACACCCTCCGGACACGGATGATGAGGCGTAAGCATGTCTATGTCTTGTTATTAAAAGCGTTGTTATTGTTCATTGTTCATTATGATAATGACTGGTTATGTTTTTCTTTTCTTTTTGGCATATTTGATTTGTTTGATTGGTTCATTGGATAGACTGGGTTGGTTGCGTTTGCTGGCATATAGATGACATTCCTGTGTATATGGTAGATAGACTATGCTACATATTAGAGATGTGACCCTACCCTTTCTGTATTAAATACCCTGTACCGTACTCTGCTCTACGGTCACGGGACTCGTATACTCCAACTTCCAACCTCACCTCTCCCATCACCACCACTCTATACACTCACTTCCTCACCACACTTTCTTCACACACTCACTTACCTACACCCTCTTAACTACAGTCATTCTCTAATTAATATCCACGACTTTCCTCTTTCGTCCATTTCAAACTCACACGCGTCCCGTCGATCGCGGCCCAGAGATTGTTCTCCCTGATTGGCCCACCATCATTTCCCTCCGTTTTTTCGTCCCTGAAGACACTTGGCTCCTGTTACTTCCCTTCCTTTATTACCGTCTCACATAGAATATCTCCCGAATCACTCCCACGGCGCAACTCCAAAAACTTATAAATCAATGCCCTCCCCGGCTTGATCCATGCCTTCCACCCCCGCCACGGCTTCCGCCCGCTCGGGGACCTTCCGCAACAGAACGAGAACGTCCAGCAAAAGCAATTCGATCCAAAACTACATGCCTGTCCACGAAATGATTCCTGAGGAGGAAGGGGATGCGTCCTCGAGTCGGGTTCCTGCGCAGCCGCCGCCGCCGTATCGCGATGATGACGATGAGGTGGACGACACGGCGAGTTTACTAGCGGAGTCGGAGTCGGATGACGGCTATAATGACGATGGGATAAAGCTGCGGAAGCGTAATGTGTCAGGGTCCAAGTCGAAAGCAAAAGCGAAAGCGAAAGCGCCCGCACCGTCCCACGCCGCTGCGTATGTCCCCGTCGTGCGCAATTCCGGCGATATCGAGAGTTATCTGGATAGTATCACCGAGGCGGAGCAGGAGTTGTTATCGTCGTCGCGATATGACTACGAGGATGGCGATGGGTATGATTATGAGATGGGCATTGCGGACTCGGATTCTGATGGCGATGGGTACGGGACGGATATGAAGCGGAAGAAGGCGATGCGGAAGATGAGTATGGTTGATGGGGGCCGGCCGAGGGGTTGGAAGGCGTTTTGGTACTCGAAGACTTGGTGTCGGGCGCTGGTCGTCGTTATTGTTTGTCTCGTGTTGTTGATTGTGGGGTTTGTGACCTTTGCGAGGTATAGGAAGGTTCCGCCGCCGTATTATGTGAGTTCACCTTTTTGAGTCTTGATGGATGTCGTTAACGGAAATTTCTCTAGCCTATTATCCCTGCCGATCATTGGTATCCTACGCCTCGAGGTGGAACGGTCAAGTCTTGGGAGGATAGCTATAACAAGGCGCAGGATTTGGTGGGGAATATGACTTTGATTGAAAAGGTCAATATTACCACCGGTACTGGGTGGCAGATGGGGCTTTGCGTTGGCAATACTGGTATGTCCTGTGTCTCTTTTAAGCAACCTACGACTGACAGTTCACTCGTACAGGCACCGCCGAAGAAGTCGGATTCCCCTCCCTCTGCTTGCAAGACGGTCCTATGGGCCTACGATACGCAGACCACATTAGCGCTTTCCCTCCCGGCCTTACCACCGGCGCCACCTGGAATCGAACCCTTATCCGCAACCGAGGAATCGCATTGGGTCTGGAAGCTCGTCGCAAGGGTGTCAACGTGTTAATAGGACCGTCCATGGGCCCGATGGGCATGATGCCCGCTGGTGGTCGCAACTGGGAGGGTTTCGGGTCAGACCCCGTGCTGCAGGGTGTGGCTGCTGCGGAGACCATTCGTGGAATCCAAAGCAACGGAGTCATGGCTACGGCTAAACACTACGTGATGAACGAGCAGGAACACTTCCGTCAACCGTTCGAATGGGGTATCTCGACGGCGCTGTCTTCGAATATCGACGATCGCGCCCTGCACGAGGTTTTTGTCTGGCCGTTCGCTGAGAGTATCCGTGCAGATGTCGCCAGCGTCATGTGTGCATATCAGATGGTGAACAACAGCCACGCCTGTGAGAACAGCAAGTTGCTCAACGGCGTTCTCAAGGATGAATTAGGTTTCCAGGGTTTCGTGCAATCAGACTGGCTCGCCCAGCGATCTGGCGTCAACAGCGCCATCAGCGGCTTGGACATGAGCATGCCCGGCGATGGTCTGCATTGGGCAAACGGCAAGGCCCTCTGGGGTAGCGAGCTCACCCGTGCGGTACTCAACACCTCCATTCCCGTTGAACGGTTGAATGACATGGTGACCCGTATCGTCGCCGCTTGGTATCATTTCGAACAGGATCAATGGGAACGCCCACCGCCGGACGGTGAGGGTGGCCCGAACTTCTCCTCTTGGACTGATGATGAGGTTAGCTATTTGCACTGGGGAAGTAATGATGATGCTTATCGGGTTGTGAACCGCTATATCGACGCTGGTGAAGGCCATGGCCAGGTGGCGCGTGAGGTCGCTGCCGAAGGAACCGTGTTGGTGAAGAATGAGGAGGATACGCTGCCACTGTCGCGCACGCCGGATGGTCCGTACCGGGTTGGAATCTTCGGTGATGATGCCGGACCGGCTGAGGGACCCAATATTTGTCCCGATCGCGGCTGTAACCAGGGAACGCTGGGATCTGGCTGGGGTAGTGGCACGGTCGAGTTCCCGTACCTGGTTACTCCGCTGGAGGCGTTGGAGGCTGCATGGCAGGACTCGGAGAATGTCGAGACGACTGCGTACCTGCGCAATGGAGTTATGCCGGAGGATGCGGCGGATAAGGATTTGTGTCTGGTGTTTGCCAACGCGGACAGTGGTGAGGGATACATCTCGGCCGGTGGTATCCACGGCGATAGGAATGATCTCTACTTGCAGAAGGGCGGGGACTCGTTGATCAAGACAGTTGCGTCGCATTGTGGTGAGGGTGCAGGTCGGACTGTTGTCGTGATTCACTCTGTTGGACCGGTGGTTGTTGAGCCGTGGATTGATTTGCCTGGTGTGCATGCGGTGCTGTTCGCCAATTTGCCTGGTGAAGAGAGCGGAAACGCACTGGCTGATGTGCTCTTTGGCGACGTTGATGCCAGTGGTCGCTTGCCGTACACGGTAGGCAAGAGTCTCGAGGACTATGGCGCGGGAGCGCAGGTTCTGTACGAGCCTAACGCGCCAGTGCCGCAAGTCAACTTTACAGACGGACTGTACATCGACTACCGGTACTTCGACAAGCACAACATCACCCCACGCTACGAATTTGGATTCGGCCTGTCGTACTCGACGTTTACGATTTCTAATGCGCATATCAACTCCCTCCAATGGAAGTCCCGCTTCCCAGCCGCACGCCCAGAAAATGAAATCGACCCGCCTGAATACGACCCCGAACTACCAGACAGCGCATCCGCCCTCTTCCCCGCAGACTTCTCTAAAGTCTGGAAATACATCTACCCCTACCTCGACACCCTCGACGGCACCGAACCAGCCAACTACACCTACCCCAAGGGCTACAACCTCTCCGACCCTTCTCCTCCCTCTGCTGCCGGCGGTGGCCTAGGCGGAAATCCCTCGCTGTACGACGAAATGGTCAAAATCCAAGTCCAAGTCGCCAACACCGGCCGCCGCAGGGGTCAGGAAGTCGTTCAGGTTTACGTCTCTTTTCCATCGGGCGTCGTCGAAGAAGTCCCGCAACCCGCTCCGACCACGACCTTGCCCACGCCAACAGAAACACCAACAGATTCTAGCACACCCACTCCGCCTCCACCAATACTCAAGGAAGTCGAATTCCCAGACCGCGTGCTCCGCAACTTCACGAAGGTCGAACTCGACCCTGGTCAGCGCGAGACGGTGGAGATGACGCTTAGTCGTAAGGATTTGAGTTACTGGAGTGGTAGGTGGCAGAATTGGATCATGCCTGAGGAGGGGAAGTTTGGGATTTGGGTGGGGAGGAGTTCGAGGGATTTGGAGTTGATGGGGGAGTATTAGTTTAGGTACTGTATACTGTGTATGTGTACTGTGTGTAGGTGTGGGACTGGATGGGATTGTATATAGATTATGGGATATGTATTAATAACATAGATATGGATTGTTTTATTACGCTTTGCTCCTTGTTTTTGTTTGATGCACTTCTTCGGCCACCGTCACTATCACATTCCAGAGTAAGCCGGCATTATCAATCTCAACAATCCGACCATATCACAGGAAGATTGCATGTTACCGAGTAATATCCTTTTCGACCTCGTTTTCCTCTTTGTCCTGGGCTCTTTACAAAGGCTTCATAGATGTATCAGATATCAGTATCCAAGAACCCTAACCCTACTCCATCTAGCATCTTCATCTACATCTACACCTACATCTTCATCTACATCTACACCTACACCTACACCTACACAACCTCAACCCTCAAACCTCAAAAACCTCTGCCCAAAACTCAACACACTCCCTCAACACACTCCCTCAACACACTCCCTCAACACACTCCCTCAACCCCTCCCTCAACCCCTCCGGCAAAACCTCATCCGGCAACGCCACTGAAATCTTCCACGCCAGACTCGCAATCCCACCGGGCCCGTCAACTGGGCATGCCAGGAACCCAGCCTCCTTACCGTCCTCGTCCTGGATGGTGAAGTTACTGTTTCCGTTTGAGTTTGGTCCGTGGGAGACGCGGAGGCGGGGGAGGAGGGTACCAAGGCATCACCGTCATCACCAACAAAGGCCGTGACATTTGGACTATGGCCGAGGAAGAAGGAGTTAAATAGAGCGTTGAAAGGGAGGCCGTCGAAGTCGGATCCTTGGGCGGCGGCTTTGGCTATGAAAGCGCGTTTGGTGTTGCCAGCGTCGCTGGCTGCGAGGGCGACGGGGAAAATGGATAGGAGGGTAGTGAGTTTCATTTTGGGAGTTGGTGAGGATGGATTGAGAATGAGAGGAGAGGGTGGTGGTGGTTTATATGGCTATCGAGAGCAAGCAGCGTGCTTGGAATCTCACCTTGATACGGATTAATCGGTAAACGGCGCCAGAATCCCAGTCGTTGATCCCGGTTGAGGTATATGTCGCTGGACCACATCTGAATGCAATTTCCCTGTCGATCTATGATGTGTGTGATTTTGAGTCGGTTATGATGGAGATTGTATGGGTAGCTAAGGTAGTTAATTTATGGTGTATTGGAGGTTTTCCTTTGAAATTGAAAGGCTCTAGCGATTCAGGTCTGTAAATTGAGGTCTAGTGAGTGGCCATACTCGACTAGCCCTACATAGCCACTCCATTGAATTGATGAAGTGATCTACAGCTGTGATTGACATGTTACATTCTACTGAGACTGTACGGAGTACACAAATTTGCAATTGGTCGATCATGATTAAAGGTAGTAAAACTGACCTGTGTCCGTTGCTGAAAGGGGACGACGGTATCCATGTTGACATGGGTCAGGATGCAGGTATTGATTTCCAATAAAAGAAATGCATAAGCTGCATATTAGAATTCTATGGAAGTATCACAGGAGAACCAATCACATCATTATCCTCAATAAGCAATTATTGAAACTTCAGTTGGTTCGGCTTGGGTTGATATAGTACAGCCAGGGACCTGGTTCAATATCATATTCGTGCATATGTAGTAAGCAACAGTCATCGTGTGTGCAATACCCGAGATTCGACCGGCCCGTTCAAATACACACCAAATCCCCGTTTCGCTCGCCAGGTAACTACACGCACAGAGGCGACACAAAATTTATGCCGTGTGATATCGGGTAGTGGCTGACGCAGGTGGGAGGTGTTTGCGGTCGTGAGCCTATCGCTGAAGTCATATGCAATAGGAAGAAGAAAAGTGATTCTGAGTGTGTTCGATACCTGAATTGTGCCAATTCCAAGCCTAGCTACTGAGGTGGTGAACAGGATCGACCCGCTGCTTATGGTTTGCATAGAAGCTTCGATAATCGCAGATCGCGATTAGTCGTGCCATGGAACCACTTTTCAACATCGATAAGGTGCATAGAGAACAAGAGACTACTGAGCTACGTGCCCCAATTTACTGTGGAAGAGTTTGATATGCGATCATAGACATTAACAGTTATTTACTCATAACGCTTTTGTACAGACAAACAAATATCAACATGCACTTATCACCCTTTCTTTCCTCCTTTCCAGCGTAATCACATCACTGCGCGATGTGTTTAGATGTACTCCCAAGCGGCAGTAGCGTTCTGCTGAGCCTGCACAGCCATAGCAGAGAAACCAAGACACTTGCTAACGTCACCCTGAGGAACGGTAGCGTTCTGCAGCGAAGCGAACACCTGCCACTTGCTGTCATCGGCAGGGCAGGCCATGAAGCCAGAAGCACCCTGGCCCTTGTACGCCCAGTGGCCGATACCAGTGGAGGTGCTGGCGGGGGTGTACTCGAAGGGACCGGTGGAAGCACCCTCACCCATGTAGCCGGAGTGAGGGGTGGTGAAGCGCAGAGCGCCGTTGGAGTCGACGTAGACAGCCTGGCCGCCGGGGACGGAGACGTCCAGAGCAGCGCCGGTGCCGACGAAAGCGGTCACGTCGCCCTTGGGGCAGGGGGCGACCTTGGAGACGGTCTCGGGGCAGTAGGTCGAGGCCTCGCCGCCGAGGTAGAAGTAGCTGCCGTCGGCGTTCAAGGGGAGGAGGTGGATGGGGGAGGCAGAGCGAGCGGACATGACGGAGAAGGCACCGTTGGAGCGCTTGGCATGGCCACTGCTAGTAGGCAGGGCGAAGGCCATGGGGAGGACGGAGAGGATGGTAGCGAGCTTCATTTTGTTGGTGGTTGGTTTAACGAGAGTTCGTTGAACGAGAGTAGTTGGTATTAGAGTAGTAGTGATTGATTGATTGATTGAGTGAGTGAGTGAGTGAGTGATGATGATGAGCTGAATTGACCGGGAGATCAAGAGGTTTATATAGCTTCGTGGGATATACCTGGGAGATAACCTGTCTCTTTCAGGATATCAACATAGGGTCTGCATGTCTCAAAATGATGTCTTTCTGTCGGCCTGGATCGACCACGTGTGGAGGCAAATTTCCTGATTGGGGTATTTCTCCGCAGGGTGCATTCAGGGTTATTTTTATCGGCAGCGTTGCATCGTCTATTTGTTTATACGGTACAGAGTACTATTTTGATAGCTGTACCGTTCTATACAGGTCTATTGTTCAGTACACAGTACGCCAGCACATATTGTACAGCTATGTGTACAGAGTATCAGACTCGGTACATCTTCGGCATTGGCACGCCGTTATCAACTGATGCCGATCTATTTCTGGCTTTCCCGATCTGGAAAACACCGCCACGACTGCACTGCCCTGCAGAATTTTCTAATGCACTATCACCATTTAGCACTATGTCCGGGGTATTGACCATGTCTCACAACAATCTTCCAGGGTTCACATCTTCTCGGCGCTCCTTACAGGGCTCCGGCACGGAATAACCGTCTCTATTAATATTTGAGGCATGATGTCACGATGTATAAACTTTGCAGATACGGAGTACGATGAATCGAACCGAGTTTGTTTACTTGTATGATGCTTCGATCGCTATGTTGGGCAGCCGAATAACAGCCGAAACTATATGGGCATGTCTTAATTGGGAGGCCAAAGCCCTGTCTCCGGAAGTTATCCGATAAGGCCTAGTGGATTATGTTCGATATGCTCCGTACCGGCAGCCTTGAAAAAGCCTCTGTGAATTCCGGAAGAGGCTAGAGACTTCGGTTTTGTTCCTGTATAGAGAGGTTGGGAGGCGATTTCACACTCATCGATGGAAAGCTCAAGTGTACGGGGCGCAGAAAAAGACACCGGCTAGCTTGATTATAGGGTGTTTTGACTATGAACGCCAATAGTATCAACAAGATACCGTTCATAAGTACTGATGCACAAATTATATATCGTACCACCAACCTGCCTCCGGGACACCACCATAAGCCCAACAACCCGAATGGAATCTACATCCCAGATATGAGACATGCAGGATGTATTTTGCCCAAGCCAATGTAATCCGTGCTTGTCTATATTTTTACATCAACGATTGAATAACACACACACACACACCCTTAGAACCTGGTAATGGCAGAGCTGGCCGAACGCCGATATTATTCGGCCACATTGGCGCGACATAAATATTCTCCGAGGTTCCTTACCTACAAGCATCTCCATAGGCAACAAGTATGATCTCCCTAACATATCGCTCCATAAACCAGCACTCATCGTGCACAAGATCTGACAGTTATGCATTAATGCGGGTCACAAAGTGCCGAACAAAGCAGCGATTGGCTGCGCCCCTGTATAATCTAGTGCTAAATCGGTGGATTAATGAGGGGCAACGCAGCGGGCTGGCAATCCCGCAACCACCGATCTGATGCAAAAACATAACGAGCCATGTCTGGTCTCGAAGCAATCGGCATCGCAGCGAGCATTATCCAAGTCGCTGAACTTGGTGCCAAGCTTGCGGTCAAACTGTGCACTTTCTATCATCAGGTTAAGGAGTCGAATGAGGCTGTTCAGAGTCTGTCGAGTGATGTTTCGCTGACATGCAGTATTCTGCATCAATTGGGGGATAGTCTCGAGCAGGATGCGGAGACGAGGCTGTACTCGGCCAATGCATTCATTACTGCGCAGGAGGTCCTGGGAGAGTGTAGGAAGGTGTTTGATAAGATCGACCATGCGGTCGAGGAGCAGAAGCGCGATAATACGAAGAATCGGGTCGCTCGCGTGACGAGGAAGTTTGGACTCGCGCTTATGGAGAGAGATCTGGATATGATGAGGACCAATTTAGAGAGGCTGAAGAGTACGGTGTTGTTGATGTTGAATGTGATTATTTATGCCGGGCAGATTCGGTGGTATGTCTTACTCTGCATAACTAGTGGTGATGTTGACTAACAGATATAGTAAATCCGAGTCTCCTCTCCTGAAAGAACAACGAGAACTCATCGATCTCCTCGTGGCAGAGAAAAAGGCCAACGAGGACAAATACACCAATCTTCAAAAAGCCATCGAGTCGGCCCAAGTGAACAATCACTTCCAGGCGTTGACTCCCTCCATCAGCCAGGATACGGCGAGTACCACAAGCACTGCATACGACCCATCAACAGAAGTAAAAGAGTACTACACCCTCGTCAAAAACCTCCTCGAACGAGTCGACGCCTGCAAATATACTCTCGATCCAAGCCGACACCGGCGCATTCGCTACGGCGTTATGAATGTGCATTTAGCAGAGGAAAAGCTATTCCGGTCTGTCGATGAAGAGAAGCTCTCACAGCTCATTCGTGGAGACCCGATATTCGAGTCGCAAGCCATGCACGCTCCTGCAAAGGCCACAAAGCTGCGAAAAGCACGACCAGCGGTTGCGAACACCGGTGAAACGTTTAGCAATTTTGATACCCGTCCACTGTTTCCACCTTTATTTGGCTCCAGCCCTATCCACTTTGCTACAGAAAACAATGGGCAGACGTCGTCTTCGGCTTTTGCCACGGTAACAAAGCCCAAAATGTTCGGTTCTGCGAATCCGAGCTACAATCACCGCGGATCGGAAACTGATTATGAACCTTTGTTTGGGCGGGGCTTTGAAAGCCAGGACAGCCCCAGTCATTCGGCGGATGATGTCTCTAATGCCGTGGAAAACTTTGTTCTTGAGTGGACGACTATAGACAAGGGTGAATTACATGATTGATTATCAAGAATGGCCTTGCATGCAATAATTGGAAACATTCAGGATTAATTGCTGGGAGGTATTCGAGAGAATTACTTGGCCAATCGTTGTATAAAATCTGTATCTCATAAGCTAGCAAGGTGATAATAAAGTGGTTTCATGTAAATCATTAACCGTCAGTCTATGCTATACATTCGGCCGTATAAGAAGCCATAAGCATTTCCGAAACTTCATCTCCTCATAATAAGACTCACTTCTTCGGCCGCTTCCAGAATCCACTGGATCCGTCCCATTCTTCTTCTTCAACGTCGCATTGAACCGGGTTAATTTCGACTTGGACGTCCACGGCAGAATATCAAGCTCAAGCTCAGCAATCCACGGCTGCAAGATTTTGATTCGCTGTTGCTGCAAATCAACCCCACCCTGCACCTGTCCCTGCTCAAGTCCCTGCCAATTCGCAGAGGTGGCAGTGCCCGCGCCCGCCTCATTCAAAAGTCGCTGCGAATCAGGCATCTGCCGACTAACTTTCCCCTTCGAATCCAGAATCGGTATGTTGGCAATATACGCCAACGCATCATGCTTCACAATCTCGACCTTCAACCCCCTCGGTCCGAAAATCTCCTGGTTCGCTTGCCGGATGTACGAGTCCGTGCGTGATTTCGAGACTCCATGGCTTCCTAGATTCGCGAGGCCGCTTACTGCGGAGCCGAGCCAGTGGAGCGGAAATAGGATTGGGACGGATTGGAGGATGCCGCCTGTTGCGTCGAGGACTTGGAGGGGTGGGTTGCTGGTTATGAGTTTGTTGAGGTGGTCGAGGAAGGTGAAGAAGGATTCGCGGGGGAGGTTGTAGGCTGTTAATATGGGGGCGTAGGCGCGGAGGAAGGGGGAGTCGAAGGAGGGTTCTATTGCGGGGATTGCTATCGGTTTGTTTGATTGAGTGGTGCCCGGCTGGGGTGGTGAGTCGGTGCCCAAGTCTGTTGCTGTTGGGGTGTACGGTGGGGGTTCCGCGTTGGCTGGGCTAGTATTTGATGGCCCAGCAACACTATCGGAAGGACTGTCCAAGTTCTCAAATGGGTTTTGTGACTTTTCGCTGGCCATGGTGTGAATGATAGTGCGATGTTGAGTAGTACTCCGTAGTCTAATTGAAAACAAGCACATTCTGGGGGACAATCGGGTCTTATAGAAATTCGTAGTATTCGTTGTTAGGGCTGCTCAGCCTCGTATTTTTTTTTTTTTTTTTTTTTTTTTTTTTTTTGTTAACTACCTAATCAGAAAGCTTGTTCCTCTCCTTTTCCCGTTGCCTTATAGTGGCGGTGCAGAATTAGGATGAAGTGGTCATAAAGCAGTCAGCCTTGCCGACTTACTATACTAGATTGGGTACATTAACATCATATGGACTACTATTGCAGAGCGCTATAAAATATCAAAATGTATACAACGTCGTCAACTTGTAGTTTGTCTGGCCCAATATAGCGGAGGCAATTCGGACTCTTGGGCAATTTCGAATACATTCCCATATTATTCGTGGGCTACATATATCCTTTGTCATTTTGTCGGGAACGCCATCCCACTTCGAATATCAGTCGGTATAAGTGCTGAGTTTTCGTGCACATATAGATGGCCATTATATCGCGGCAATTAACGTGTGCAAGTACTTTTATTTACTTTTATATAGTTATATATATATATATTTTTTGGCCTTCCGACACGGAGCCCAACTCTTAAGTGTGAGCGTGGTGAGATGTTGCCAAACATCCATACTTTGGAGCGGATAGTGCCTGGCTCTCGTCGACGTCGATAAGAAGGAAGACTTTTATGTTAGAATGTGTGAGCCGTCAATTTTTCTGCTGACCCGGAAGGACCTCACTAGAAGAAAGCGATCACATGGTTATTCCGTCGAGCAGTTTCGCTGTTCAGCTAAAATTCGCATCATACCAGGGAATTCGGCTAACGCCTGAGTGCGCGACCACACCATTGTATCCATAACGCTAACAAAATGATTCCTGGTGTCAAGCCACCTCCACGGGACCAGCTCGAGGAGCACTACATGTCAGGTTTGAACATAGACTGGTGTATGGCCTGGACGGATAATGATGCTTACAGCATCCACTGCGCACAGATGCGAGTGTTGCTGATGGGTCGATAGTTTCTTCGTCGACTGCTAGAAGGGTGGCTAGTTTTGTGATTAGGGTAGTTGCTGCTGTGTTAGATGGTTGTCCGGCGCCTTTCGAGATTTTAACACCACTGAGCCTTGAGGGTGTCTTGTCTGCGGGTTGGCTGTTGTCAAAGAGTATTGACGGTGGCTGTGGGTGCGTTGGGGGCTCTGTTGGAAGAGGACTTTCGCTATCAACCAGGGGGGTGGTATTGAGCTTGTAGGGTGTCGCTTGCTTCAACGGAGGGAGCGGTGCAGTCATTGGTAGCTGTTGACGTGCGTCCAATTGTGCGACATGATTTGTGATCCTGTAGTATCTCCTGGCAACGCTTGCGAAGCACCGATGCACTGTCCAGATCATCCAACAACTCTCCTTCTTTGGTACCGTTAGTCAAAGTGTAACCTTTGAAGATAAACTGTAGACTGCAAACTCACCAGGAAACCACCCCGGGAGAGTCCCGAATATCAAACAATAATACAGCGGAAGCCTCCTCTGATGCAGAAAGATAATCTCCCCATTCTGACCAAGCAACTTGAATATATTCGCTACAGCATCGTCCATGTTCTGCGAGAGATCAGGGATTCCGTTGATAGCGATGAGATCGTAATCGTGCCATGTGTATCCTTGTGACTCGGGATCGTGTATGATATCCAGTAGCCGGAGACTAACCATCTCGCTACAGTCGCCAAGTTTCGTAGCAGTAGATAGACTCTAATACATCGGTCCGGACGCTTGTCGCGTCGTATCTAGCAAAACGAGCCTTGTTGCTGCCAATTCCTCCCGTGGTCTTGAGCAGAGAAAGCGTGGACCCCGGTGTCATTCCAATTCCCAAGATATTCATCTCGGGATCTTGATGGATTATATTCTCCAAGTAGGCTCTTGTTTCCGGGGACATGTGCTTGGCCGCGTAGGCCTGTTCGTATAGCTCATACCAGACATCCTCTTCCGGCGTGAGTATTAGCGGGTGGATTTCTTCTCTGAGGATTTGAGGAAGGTGTTCTCCAAAACGACAGAGGAACTCACCAAGAGGGCCTGAACGATGGAGTTTTTGTTGGAGTTCGTCTCTTTGAGCACCGTTAAAGTGGACAGGCTCGCTAGCCCTGTGTTCGCATTGTAGCTTCATGTGTTCCACGTAATTCTAGTGAGCGGGTTCGAACCCCTTCCCGTCGAGTGAGCTCATCGCGTCGAGGAAGAACATCGATGACAACTGTTCAAGTTCCCCTTCAATGCACGGGCCTGCCACCCGGCCAAGCTTCAGATCGTGTACCTCGAAAGCTACCTCCTGGGAGTCCCCGGTCTGTTGCACGACATTCACAGCGCTTTGCGCCCCAAAGATGCTTGGCTCTTGGATACAGATTTCTGCGAGAAGCTCGTCTCCTGGTTTGGCGCTAATGCTGTCTGAAACCCACATTTCTCCGATTGCGACGGGGGTTAATAGTCTAGGTCGTCCCTCGGGTCCACAGGATGCGAGAGAGGCGGCATGAAATAGAGCTTCCACTGAGATAGGATGTATGACGTGTGGATACTCGAATCTACAAGGCATCGTGGATTGAGTATCAGGGATGCGGGTGGTGCAGACTGTCCTGGATGGCTCTTGAGACATGTCGACCATACTCTGGTACGCCTTACCGACTTGCAACCCGACGCTTTCCAGGGTAGTATATGCGTTCTCCGGCTTCATGCTCTGGGCGGAAATTGGCTTGATATCAACAGGGTCCATGGCTTCCAAATGCCTTCGCTTCCGCTCAACATTTATCTGCCCATAGCAATGCTCCCTGCACCCAACGCCCACCAAGTGCGAGAGCACAGTGAGGACCGATTTCAAGGAGCACATCCACATCGGCTCCGACGCACAAGCTGCGGAGAGAATCCACAAAGCGAACGGGTGACTTCATGTGTGTGGCCCAGTAGCTCGCATTTAGCTCTGATGGGTGTAGCAAGTGACCTGTAACTGAGCTCCGGTATCCGATCATCAGCAAATGTCGGAAATCCGACGGCCGAACTAAAACGGTAACTCGCCGATATCCATTATATCAAACCGGCAATTGCGCGGGATATACCATACGCTGGACCAATCTTTGCAGGACCAATGACAGGGGCATTTGTAATTCCTTTCGCATAAAGGAAAAGGAACGACCCTAACTCAAATGCATTATACACAAGCAGATTAGGTATCTATGTTACAGTATAGGAAAGTCCGGATTAAGCCACCCCAATGGCACCTCACTATTAAACAACTGCCACATCAGCCAATCAGCCGAAAGCCCTGGCTCAGAGTCGGCCGTATCTTGGCCCAGATCTAGATTATCACCGGCATTCGTAAAACTTCGAACTGAGGGAAGTGCCTCCGCCGGCCTTTGCATTTGTAAATTAGACTGGGAAAGTGCCTCTCCATCCTCGTGGAATAGCGACTCGCAAAGGCGCTCGAGGGAAGTAAGAAGGTTGAGAACTTTCTCCAGGTGCGGATCGCGCTTGAACTGTGATAGACCAGTGGTAATCTGGTGCATGACCTCGTGGTCGTCCTTATCGAGTGTTCCGATGATATTACAGAAAACAACGAAGAAAGGGCTGAGTGGGTATAGAAGCAATGTCCTGCGACTTTGTTAGCAAGACTCCAGGAGCAGAGAGGAGCAGAACCAACCATGTCAAAAAGGATGGGTATGGATCGTCAAATCCCAACTCAGCGCGGTGTTGCTGCAGAAATAGAAACGCCCCCAGAGATTTTCGAGCGTAGACTAGACATTCTCTATGTACTAAAGGGGTGAATGTGCATCTCAGACGCGTTCGGAGGATTTCCACGTAGATTGCATAGTAGCAGAAGTCGGCGGCAATCCAGTCATATTGAAACGTTTTTGGGAGAGATTTACGGCTCTGTTATTGTCATCAGTGATGCAATCGGGATAGCCAAGGGCCAGGGAGCTTACGGATTCTAGGTCTTTAGAGATGCTGTGCATCCTTTCCTCGATCAAATTGCAAGTATCCAAAATGTACCTGGAATCTGCTCGCTTCAAATGCGACGAAAATGCAAGCAGGTGCCCTTGGATCTGCGCGAGATCCAGCAGAATTCGGATTAACGGGTCATACGGTGACTGCTGCATGGAGGCGATGAGCTCTGTCGGAGATACATTAAGATCAGGCAAAGCTGTAGGCCGCAGGAGAAGTGCGCTGACTGTTCTATCCATATAGTAGCACCAGTATACGGCGCTGTGTATCTCCCCTTCAGCCTGTGAGCGAGCCGGTATGCTGCGAATCCGATCATAACCGAGTGCGACAATTTGCTGAGCGGCGTATGAGTTCAGAGCCCAGCATTGTTTGACATCTCCCAGTTGTTGCATCAACAAGGCCTATCCGTGTTAGTCTCGGGTCATGAAAATTGATTGCAGCGCTTACACTCGATACCAGGGACTGAATGGACTGCAGGCTCGGCGATGCAAGGATGTTAAATTGGCGCATACTCCGGAGAGTAGCTGCGATGGAAGCATTTCTTGACTGAACGAGCTGGTTCTTCACAACGGGGTTGGTTATCATTCTCGAGAGCTGATAGAAATGCATGATTGCTTTGACGTAAATGCAGACGCAGTATTGATGGAACAATTGTCCCTGGCAATCACCCTTCATGAGAGCCGCGGCCATTTTTTCAAGCGTCTTGTTCGATATATGGTCTGGCCACTGAGGCCCGGTATTTGGATGCAAGAGCATCAGTAGTAACTCTGCTGGAGGAGCTTCCGGTACAGTAGCAGGTTCCTCAGTAGCAATGTCCGTTGTATCATTCCCGACGCTCTCGCCTGGCTGCTTTTCCTCACATCCTCCGATTTGGTTCACCAGCTGTAGAGCGGCTTTGAGAACAGTCTGTTGTTTTTGACTGGTATGTCTGCTGTCACCCAGTTCTAGCTGGATGACCGATCTTGCGCGCATTGCATGATGGTTGGAACAATCAGTGCCGGCGTCGCTCTCCGCACGCTCTTCCAAGTGTTCGTGAACATCAATTCGTCGTCTCTGCCTTGCCGGTGCCTCCTCGACTTCACTGTCATCTAGATTTGCCGAAAGCTGGCCACCTCTGAACGACGCATTAGTTTTAGTTTGGGCGTTCAGTAATACCAGAGATTAGAAATGGAATCGCACCTTTGCGACGGAGGTGTCAGCGTTGGTCTTTCTACTTGAAATATACTCTCCTCCGGAGTCAAAATACTGTTTTCATTAGCATGGCATCTTATCATGGGTAAGATACAGGCGACCAACCCCGGCAACGGTCTTTTCCTCGACCTCCCCGGACGAACTCGGCGACAATCCACGCCGGCATCCGCGCAATTCGCGCAACGTTGCTGTCTATCACATTTGACCTACGGCTATATAAGCCAAGAACATAAATTGGACCAGATGAATTGAAGGATAAAAACCTTTCTCGAATGGCACCGATCGCACTAGAACCGAGTAAGCCTAAACATCCCGAAATTCAATGTACCGGAAAAGGCAGTAAGTGGGCTTACGGCAGATAAGATGTCCCCAATGAAATAGCCTTGTGACATTCTTTCTAATATATGTACATGAAGAATTTCCGACGCAATAGTAGAGAAGTTGACAAGCAATGAATAATTTACAGAATCCTCCGTCCCGACCAAACTGCCGACGGCCCACTTTCCGAAACTGTTCGGATCCCCGAACACAAATAGAAAGGCTTAGAAAGGAATTCCCTTGCCGTCGTAAACCTCCCATCCGGCATGATAGGTATTCTTGAACGTGCCGTTATCTTTCTGCTCGACGGAATTGATGACCTCCATAATACCGTTTACTCCTTCGTCGACTGTGAGATGAGCCTTTTTGCTGCCCATGTCGGTTTGAACCCACTGTTTTTGTTAGATGCCGGGTAACGATAATCAGGGGAACGGGAGTGGAACTCACGCCAGGGCACAGTGCGATGAAAGTATAGCCCTCATCCTGGTAGGACAGGGCGTATTGAACTGTCAACGCGTTGAGAGCCGCTTTGCTGATTTTGTAGGCCGGGGTAGGAGAAAAGGCCATGTGCGGGGCATTTGTGATGGATCCGAGCGTGCTCGAGCTGATTTTAAAGTTAGAGCATGTTCCGGAACTATGGGTATTAGGCAGACTCACATGTTGATAACCTTCTTCACCTGTCCGCTCTGCAGCAGAGGAAGGTATGCGCGGGTGACATTATGCACGCCTGTCACGTTCACAGACATATGCCATGCAAGATCGTCCCTATGTCTCGTTAGCACCGTTCCCATAGCTCGCATTCATGTACACATACATCTGTGCCACCTTGCCATCCAAAGCCGCAAGAACTCCCGCACAGTTGACGAGAATGTCCAGACTCGACTGGCCCAGAATCGACTGGACCTCGTTGACGGACTGGGCAACACTGGACTCATCAGTGACCTCAAGAGGAACAAAAACGACGCGGCCGTTGGACTGCGCAACGACTTCCTCGATGCCAGGACTGGACTTTCGCGATGTAGCGATGACAAAATCTCCCTGCGACGCGAAACGCTTGACCATCTCGAAGCCGAGGCCGCGAGCGCTACCGGTGACTAGGACGTTGGGCATTGTGATTGAAGATAAATCGTATGTAGGTCTGTATCTTCTGCTATGTGTAAAGACCAAGTTACAGAGTACAAGGTATAAATAACAGACCGGACTACATTTGGCTCCCGAAGCCCGAAAAAATCGAGCCATTCGGAGACCCGCATTTATCTCCGGCCGTTGCTTAGCAATTGTATCGTCCAAGGAGTGGAGTCATGCTGTGGATATATTATTAATTGAGAGAGAAAATGGACAGTGAAGTTTTGAGAATGTAGAGAGTAGAGTACAGTAGAATACACGGTATGCCCAAGTGCGAGGAGGTCTGGTTTTGACCAGAGATGGCCATCCGTGGTGGTGAAGTATTTTAGGAGGGTACGTTGGGTTTTGAATCCTGTGTTTATAATTAGATATGCTGTAGCCCATGAAATATGCATTCGTTGAAAATACTAACCAAAACCTCCCCACACACCACCACAATACCGTTCAACTAATCTCTCCTGATTCTCCAACAGCGCCGGTTCGATCTGCGAAAAAGGGACTTTCAAAATATGCAAATCATGCACGGTAGGGTTATCGTTCGGGTTGCATTTTCTGTAATGCTTGTTCTGGAAGATCGGGTCTGATGAATTCGATATCGGAACCGCCTGGACATCCCAGGTAGTGTAGAGATATGTCCCCGTTGTTACGGCCAGGGCACCACCGCTGGTGGAAAAGCCTCGACGGAAGAGGATTTTGAGCATGTTCACGGATGGATTTTTGTTTAATGATGGCAGAGGGAGCTTGTTTAGACTCGGAGCAGAAATCGCAGCGGACCGTCGGAGATCTTGTGGGATAGGTCGGACATCCGACTCGGAAGGGAAAGGCATCAGTCCCACCTATCTACCTTTTAAGGATTTTACACGGGCTACGGGGGGGGGGATCTACAAGAGGTGCCGTCGGAGGTCGGAGTATGAACAAACCCGGTTATTGAAATAGGTGTATCATTGCTATACCTGTACTCGCTATTGCTAATGAAAAAGAAATTTGACTATCGGCGGTCAACGTCCTCCGCATGCTCGGTAACTTCGCCCTTCGAATCGTCCAATTTTGTTTCAGGCCGGTGCTCGATGTCCCGGAGATGCCCGAACGCAAATGTCCGTTCGAAGAGGACGTCCATTTCCTCAAGAGAACGGGCCTTGGTCTCCCGGACGAAGAGGAATACCCAGACACCCATAGCAAAGCAGAAGATACCGAACATGATAAACGTGCGCCAGCCGATGTTGGAAATAGCTGCGGGGGTTATGTAGGTAATGACGAAGTTGAATAGCCACTGCGTAGCAGAACCCAGACCGACACCATACGCACGCAGACGGGTAGGAAAGATCTCAGATACGTACACCCAGGGAATCGGACCCCAGGAGGCGGAGTAGCCAATGACATACAGATAAATCATGACGACCATGGCAAGAGAGGAAGAGGAAATACCCCCGCCCGTGCTGTCCGGGTCCGGGGGCTTGCTGACCAGCACCGCGCCCAGAACAAACATGATGGCGCTCATCCACCAGCCGCCGATGATGAGGGACCAGCGACGGCCGATCTTGTCGATACCTATGATCAGGAAGATACCCGTCGCGACGACCTTGACCACACCATAGATACCAGTGGTGAACAGACTAGTGTTGCCACCCGTGACACCAACGGTTTGGAAGAGCTGGGGTGCGTAGTATCCGATACTGTTTGTGCCGGAGAACTGTTGCCAAAACATCATGATGAAACAGTTGATGAAGCGTAGACGGTTGCCGGATTGGAGGGTCTCGCGCCATGTCAGGCCTTGTGTTTCTTCGACCTCGTGCTCGACGGCTGTTTTGATTTCGGAGAATTCAGCCTGGACGTCCGGGTCATCCATGGGCTTGCTGCGCATGTATGCCAGGGCCTTGAGGGCTTCTTCATAGCGGTTTTCTTTGGAGAGCCAACGGGGGGATTCGGTCAGGAAGAACATCCCGATAAACATGAGACCGCCAGGCACGAGCTGAAAGGCAATAGGGATCCGCCATTGTTTAGTCGTAGGGGCGATGTTCTCGCCAACACCGTAGCAGAGCCAGTAGGCCACCGTGACACCGATGACGAGGAACTCCTGGAACAGACCGGCGATACGACCACGGATTTTCGGAGGGCAGTTCTCAGACACGAAGACGGGAGTGATGGAGGACATGCCACCAATTCCGAATCCTGCAATCACACGCCCGCCGTAGATATAGGAGAGCGAGCCGTTTGCAGCGCTTTGCACGGCGGCACCGATGAGGAAGATCATGTTGAAGCCCATGATGGAGTATCGACGACCGTATTTTTCGTTGACGAAGGCACCCAGAATGGCACCGAAGAAACATCCGGCCGTCAGAAGGGACACGACATTGGACGAGACCTGCGCACTCTCGCTGCTTGAAAAGCCTCCTGAGGCGGAAAGACCGAAATCACTCTTGAAGCTCTGCAGCTCCAAGACACTACCCATCACACCAGTATCATAGCCTAGCCTGTCAGTATCACGACCCAAAGTAATAAAGCACTGAAAAGACTTACCGAATAAAAAGGAGCCAGTGTATGCCACCGTGGCCAGCACGTACACACGCAAATTCCCGAATGCCATGTTGCAGTCAGTCACCTCGTGAGATTTGAACAAGATGTGAAAAAGAGGATGGTCCCATTTATGATAGACGAGAAATCAGCTGAGAGACTGAAGTACCCCGGACTTTCCAAGCATGACGATTGGTAATGCATCATGTTCATTACCCGACATCAGGGCCAAGCTGAATGCATCAAACGCCGTTTAGTCCCAAGAAGAGGGTCCAGAGCAACGAGATGAGAATATGCTAACTATTATTCGAGCATCGCATATACGATAAACATCCGGGTCACGGGGTCGGCATTTGGGCCTCGCTCGGATAAATTCCGCAGTGTTTAACTGGTCCGGGGAAAGAAGGGTGGAGATTATATGTCAATCAGGATCTCATCTTGCCCCGGATAGGTCAATGAGGCGAAGAGAAAGCCTACCCCAGATTATGTTAGCCGAGATGCAGAGGCGGGGCCGATCTGGGGGAGTTTGATTGCACCGGCAAGTTATGGCGTATATTTTATTCCGCACAGGAGAGAGGGGAGCAGGAGTGTTCTCATGCCATATTGCCATACCTTAAAGCTGACAGTATCCGTTGTGCATGCCCTTGTGCATGCATCCGTGCTACTTGAGCCAGACCAAGCACAAATTCGATATCATGTTCTTGTCTGACATCCTACAGCGACCCCCCGGTCCTTCGGGTATACGGATTAGAGGCACAACCTCATGGCACAGACCTCGCCGGGGCCTGTTGACAGCCGATATATCCGGGGAATGTGTGGAGAGACGTGCCATGGGTGGTCAGGCAATACAAGCCGTTTAAATTGCTGTTTGCAATACATATATGATATATGATATTTGCCTTGATGTCGGGTTTGCACTGTTTGATTAGTTTGCTTTCTGCCTTCTTTTTTGGACCGCAACCATGTTTCTTCTACTCATCTGAGTCCTCATTCACCATGTGTCCGCCGCTCGGAGCCATATCCGGTCAATCAACTGATTCCAAAGAATATCCAGAATGTTTACCGCCGGATGATCTCTCCCGGGGCGCCTACGACCTTGCGCGATCATGCCTACCCCCGGCCATCCTGAATCACAGTGTCCGTGTCTTTCGCATCGGAGAATGGCTTGCTAAGGCATCTCAGTCGGACTGGGCATACGAGAAATGGAATCTTCTCTTCGTGGCCTGCATTCTTCATGACATAGGCTGCGCCAGTCAATTCGATGGTCCCCAGCGATTCGAAGTCGAGGGCGCCGATGCAGCCGCAAACTATCTTCACCAACATAAAATCGCCGGGTCGGACGTACACGAAGTCTGGCAGGCGATTGCTCTCCACACTAGTCCGGGGATTGCGGAGCGTATTAGTGTTCTTGCCCGTCTTGTCCGTCAAGCGGTTCTTATCGACTTTGGTACTCAGTTGGATCAGGAAAGCCACAGTGTTCGAGATGCTGCTGAGGAGGCGTTTCCGCGGCTTGGTATTGAAAACATTCTAGGGGATGTTGTTGTTGATCAAGCACTGAGGCAACCTCAAAAAGCACCGCCGGCTTCGTGGCCTGGTGTCTTGTTACGGGCAAAGAGGGACTGGCCTGAATGGGAAGGTGTCAATAAAGGGTTTTGACTGTCTCGGATATGGTCTCTTTCTATCCTGTCAGTCTGTCGCACCGCTACGGCATCGCTAGGAAGCGTAAGAGTATATATAGCAATTGTCATAGAATACACGACCGTAGTTTTCAAATGAATAAGAATGCTTTTGCTCAATTGTATAGCATCTACTCCCCACACGTTCAACGCCCAGAGAATCCCCTGATTTAAGCCTCCACGGCAGCAGAAGCCAAGTCTTTAGAAGCAAGATCAAATACAATAACCGATACACGGCCAGATGCATGCCCAATGAAAATCCGGTCATCTCCAACAGCCATTGCTGTCGCGTGATAATCTGGAAGAAGCCACAGAACCTTTTGGCTTCCAAGGACTAGCCAGTCGCCCTCCAGTCGAATCCAGTTCACGTTTATGGATTGGAGTGTAAATTGCCTTTCAGATGGTGGCAAAGAACATAGTCCTCCATTTGTCTTCACATATCTCTCACCACTCGAAATCGACGAGATATATTGAATGCCTATGTCAGTGTCAATGCAATGCCTGTGCTGTAGAACTCCTGTAGCTGCATCCCAAATCTTGATCATTCCGCGATAGCAAATTCCGGCCACAAAGCCGCCATCGGGTGAATAGGGTATTGGATCAGTTCTTCCATAGTCTCCTGTGAGAATTCGCTGCGGTGTATATTGAACCACGTCTCATAGACCCATTACTTCTAGCCAGATAAGGAAACTTCGACGAAGAAAGTCATATGCCTTGTGCATGTCGCATGGCCTCGCATGACCTCGTTCGAGATGTCGGACTCAGTACCGACATGCATATTCGAGACGCAGAAGACGCTTGTTTTGTAAAGCCGTGTCTTTGCTCTTCAGAGGACCTGGATCTTCAAGATCACAAATGTCTTCTTTCAGACCCTTGTTTGTATCCTGCATAAGCACAACGCATTTTTTCAAACATCCACAACTGGAAGCATTGCCCGTGTAGCCAAGTCACACTGGAGGACAGTGTAGGCCAGGCTGACCACCATATATCAACTAGCAACATGTTGGATAAATTGCACGCAAGATATTTCCTCAGCAACAAATGAATCAGTTCTACTTCCTCGTTCTTTTTCCTGGGCGCAAGAATGGGCCTAAAGGCATCGAGGGTGTCTCGTACGGTATTCTTACCAAACCCCGTGATGTCTTCCAGTTCTATGCTGGTCATCGGCCGCATAGCAACGGCCAAACAGTGCAGGATGTCAACAGTAAATTGTCGTGGATACTTTTTGTACTGGCGCTCAAGTATATCCCGGAGAATTCGATTGTACATAGCGTCCAGTCCGGCCGGAAAGAGCTTGTCTAGAAACACAGTATTCTCGTTGACTATTTTGCGTTGTGTCTTTGCATCGTCCAACAGGGGCATCATCCAGGCCATCCAACACAATGTAGAGATCATGGGACGCAATTATGTTTCGAATCATGTCGTCTAAACATTGCCAGAGAAGTCCAACATTGGGTTGACTGAACAAATCTGACTTGCGACCCGGGGATTTGTTCAAGATGACTTTGCACAAGCCATCTCCATTCTCCAACACGAGCATTTGACTTAAAAGGCCCAAAACAACTGCAAGCTCCGTGCTAAACCTGACGTTTCTCGTGTCACAGTGGTATTTCAGCACAGGAGCTTCTCGATGTTCTCCAAAGCTCTGCACAAGCCTGTCGACAAGGAACTCGGAGAGATGAGTCTTGCCCTTTCCAGGACCCCCACATATCCAGAGGAGGCTGTTTCCCTCATCGCGCTGCCATTCCTCGAATTCGCCTTGATAAGTCTGCCCCGCGTCAATCCCTCCACCAACTCACCAGCGGATCAAAGGATGAGAGGGAGTTGGCTAGAATCGTCAAGAATATCGACAATGGGAGGATGAATCTTCTTTTGCATATCCAGGCGGCTGGTGTTGGACTCACCGTTGATAATCAACACAAAATCACCGCCAATACCGCAGTCGTCAACGAGGTCAACCGTATTGTTCAGGCGAGGTTCGGCGATGATAGCAGGCTGAAGATCGCGGACATCATTGAGAACAAACCCATGCAAGGTACGGATGTTGCAAATAAGCCCCGTCAATCTTGTTGGATATGCTAACGACGAACAGCCGATGGCACAGTATCTCTCATACACCATGCTCATAGAGCAACTGCCCGAGCTCGGGAGGTCTACCGTTGGGCCAATAACCTCATCCTCGGGAACCGATATATATAGTAGCGCGCTAGTGCATGGAAACTTCTACTATAAGCATGGCAATTACAAAAGAAACATTGCAAAGGCCTAAGGGAAATCTAAAATTCTTACGCTGCAAGGATATAGGAACAGATACTTTCCAACAAAGGAAAATTCATTTTCTATGGGGGGATTATTCCCAATTATGTCGTCAATGTGATCATTTCTACTGATGTATAGTGACAAAACTTTAACTACGAATTCACGAAAGAGATATTCCCGGCACATTTCGGAGGACATCCAGCGAGATAGAGGCAAACTGATGAAGCTAGAACCATTCCCAGCAGTATCCGAGCCAAAGAGCGGCGTGTTGAGCAACAAGCTCAGACGCCGGAGATCCTGGGAGGTCTTTTATGAACCAATACTGACAACATGGGCTCCGATATAAAAAGTAGCTATCAGGTGCACAGGAACTTCCCGGGCTAAAATCAATAAACCCTTTGGACGGCAGTGCCAGACATGCGGTTCCGGGGTTATCCGTTATCCCCAATGAGTTCATAAAGGCGGGTCATCTCCCCGTGCATGAAAAACGAGGCAAAACGTGCCGCGACCTTAATCCGGTCACTTGTAATGCAGATCTCAAGCAGTTTCCGCAAATGCAACATTTCCGGCGTCATATTGCCGCAAACGAGTCCTTGAACATTTTTTTTTTCGGGGAGACCGGCGACAAACCCCAACAAGCTTTGACGAGACATGGCATCGGCGACAATTTCAACAAGCGAGTCACCGCTATTGTGCCCGAACTGTAAGGGTGTCCGAACTGTAAGGGTGTCCGCACGCACTCCGGATATGGACATGATGATCAATGATCTCATTAACGCCAGGCTGGGGAAATGGAGATTTGGAGAAGCCAACACTGATAGGCTGTTTGTATTTTTATTATGTATAGGCTCTGCAGCTGAAGGATTGTTCGGCGAACGAGACAAGCTACATTCGGGGCCCAAGTTGATACTTGGCATGTATGGTGGCCTTGGAGAAGTTAGGCCACGCCTCAGGGCGTGAATTCCTTGTGGATTTGGAGATGGCACAGCTGGCGAAATGTCTCGAACTGAGTTTCTTGACAGCTGAACTATATTATCTCCGACCGGTCAAGGCACGATACAACCAGAAAAAGGACCGAGTTTAAATTTCTTCCGAAATAGATAAACCAGAATAGCTTTACTCCGGAGTACTCACTACCGAGTACGCGTACAAGATAAAAGATATGCTCGCTTTGTTCAGGCAAGCCGGGATCCGCCGGTGGTCACCTCCTATGCACCCCAACGGTATGTACAAACTACTCCAACTAAGCGGCCGGCGTGTAGCTTAAGTTGAGTTAATATCTCATTATCTGGGGAGAGTGGATGCATTGTAGCATTAATCATTATTCATCGGCTCAAAGAGATAACGTTACGGACAATGGCCGATGGCACCGGGGGGTTCTAACCCAATGCAGTTTTCTCCACGCCCAAGTCAAGATAACAACCAGTCAACCTTGTTACTAACAAGAACTCTCAGCCCTAGATGTAACCAATGATACCGTCTGGAGATAAATTTGTTCCTGGCGTGGCGAACCATATCATACAATGACAGATACTGAAACACGCAGACGGGCAAGTGTGCCGCATTTGCACCGGCTCTTCTAAATCTTTATTACCCCGTCTCTTCCCTTGCTTTTCTGTCTCCCCGCAACTCAGAATCCATTCCTCTCGCCTTTTTTCGCCCTCATCTTCCCTCCTCTACATCCGCTTTCGATCATGGGCTCCTCCGAAGACATCTCCGACCACTCCACCCACAAGGCCATGGAGCCTTTCGGCGAGAAGCAGGGTGACGTGAACCCGCCACCGGTCTACGATGGCGATATGATCGGTGAGATCAGTGAGCGCGAACAGCACATCTACGAGCACGGAGTGCAAAAATTCAACCGTCTGGGCTGGAAGCGTCTCACCATTGTCCTCATCGTCGAGGCTATTGCCCTCGGAAGTTTGTCGATTCCCTCTACCTTTGCGACCTTGGGCATGGTCGCGGGCATCATCTGTACCGTGGGCCTCGGTATGATTGCCATCTACACCAGTTACTTGGTCGGTCAGGTGAAGCTGAAGTTCCCTCTCGTCGCCAACTATGCCGACGCCGGGAAGCTTATGATGGGTCGTTTTGGTTATGAGCTTGTCACTTTCATGTTGGTCCTGCAGCTGCTGTTCCTCACGGGCTCCCACACTCTCACCGGTACCATTGCTTTCCAGAACATCACTCAGAGTGATGTCTGCTCCGTCGTCTTCGCCGTGGTCTCCGCCATTATTCTGCTGTTGGTTGCGGTTCCTCCCAGTTTCGCAGAGGTCGCTATTCTCGGATACGTCGACTTTGCCTCCATTATCCTCGCCATTGGCATAACCATCATCGCGACCGGTGTCGAGTCCACCAACGCCCCCGGTGGGCTGGCGGCTGTTGACTGGTCTGCCTGGCCCAAGCCGGGTACCACTTTTTCCGATGCCTTCGTCGCCTTGACCAACATCGTTTTCGCCTACAGTTTCGCCATGTGCCAGTTCTCCTTCATGGACGAGATGCATACCACCAAGGACTATGTCAAGTCTATCTGGGCGTTGGGAATTGTGGAAATCGTTATCTACACCGTGACCGGTGCCTTGGTCTACGCCTTTGTCGGTTCCGGCGTCCAGAGTCCCGCGTTGCTCTCTGCAGGAAACTTGATCAGCCGGATCGCCTTCGGCGTCGCCCTCCCCGTCATCTTCATCAGTGGCTCCATCAACACCGTCGTCCTGGGCCGTCTAGTCCACGGTCGCATCTACAAGAACTCGCCCATCCGGTTTATCAACAGTCCGATGGGCTGGATCACCTGGTTGATAATCATCACCATCGCCACCATCATCGCATTTGTCATTGCCGAGGTCATTCCCTTCTTCGACGACCTTCTGTCCATCTCCTCGTCCCTCTTCATCTCCGGCTTCACCTTCTACTTCCCCGCCCTGATGTGGTTCCTTCTCCTCAAGGAGGGCAAGTGGACCGAGCCCCGCAACCTGGCTTTGGGAGCAGTCAACATCTGTGTGTTCTTGATTGGTCTTGTGGTGCTGGTGGCTGGCACCTATTCCAGTGTCACTGATATCGTAAGTCTCCGTCTACCGGTCTTTCTCAAACAGCTGCTAACGAGATCCAGATGAACAACTACAAGGCCGGAACAGTCCGGGGTGTTTTCACCTGCGCCAAACCGGAATAAGCGATGTTTGTACGCACAGCGACAGGCGTTCGATTCATGTCGCATGCCGATCCCTTGTCTTTTTCTCCAAACTCTTGGAAACGTTTTCCCCGGACAGCGAGATAATCCCTCAAATAACCCTTTTCGGCGACTCCGCATCCGGCCTCGTTTCCATTACCTAAATGTTGCGGGGATAGGCAGTGCGGTGATCGGCTAGAACATGTTCCATTGGGTCTTCGGGGGCATACGGTGGCCACTGCAACGTGGTCTGTCCATGTTGCCGATGCGGCACAGGTTGTCGCTTCGCTGGTCCTTGCGAGGCCTCATATCATCTCGCCGTAGTTGGAAAGCTGGTCTTTTCGGGTGGGATTACTTCGTGGCTATGTCGGAACATTGTCGGTCAGCCTGCATCCGGCAACGCTTACCGGTGTTTTACAGCGAGCTCCGAGAGTTGACGAAGCTACGCGGGTCACAAGAACGACTTGCTGGACTACAGCTACTTGCTCACGGCTGTAACAAAGATACCGGAGTGGACCGACATACCGAAGTTAGCCGCGACATTGTATCATACGGGATTTCCCCAACTGTATATAACGATTAAGATAATAGAGTCACGAATTTATGATTATACATTCTATTTATTTCCACGAGTAACGTCTACACATCGCATTCGCATCCAAATACATGATGTCTAATAAACTTACCCGACAAAAGGGCCAAGCCTCGGAATCATCTCGAACCGATTCCAGGCACCACTTCCAGCACCATCTTAGGGCTCTTTCCAACCTTGCTTTTTTCGTAATCCAAGGAGTGAGCTTCGCTTGCAGCGGGGCCAAGCATCCAAGCCCGTGTAACTGTCCTCGTAGACACTTGGCCATGCGGCCGGCCCAGGCGGTCTGTCCCGTGGCTTGGTATTGGGAAAATCCTAGGCAAATGCAGGCCAAGGAGCATCGGTTAGGTTGATTAAGGGGGAGCTAACAAGCGAGGGAATCCAGCGGAAGTGATGGGAGCAACGTATTCGTTCAGGAGCATCATGTTTCGGTGCTAAAGTAGCAGGTTCATGTACTACTGGGAAACTACCCGGAATGTCCCAGGAGAGCCAATAGATGGAGCGTCGCAGCATTTCAATTTAATATACCTAGAATAACATGCGTTTGCTTTTATTATTATTATTATTATTATTTTTTTATTCCTCACCTCCTTGGTATATACCACCAGTAGCCGTAATAATGTAGCAACGATCCTATATTACACGAACCACGGTTGACAACATGGGCTATGTGTGCTGCATAGGCTTTATGAAGTTCGGTTGTCATGAACGCAATTATGCAAATACCACCACATACGGCGAATCATGCAACAAGCCAATCTTCCGGTATCCATTCCTTTCAATCTTCCTTTTCCCGTTTGCTCTCACCTCCATCTTCGTCGAATGCCTTCTTACTCTTCGGCCTCGCCGTCGGCCCTCCTCGTTCATATCGTGGCTCTCAGCTCTCTGCGCCACAGCCGTGTCTAGGAGGAGTTTCCTGTTGCCTGAGACAAAAATGGAAACTGTCTATCCGTCAAGTAATGGTTTGGCCGTATCCCTACTTTGCCGATCTGGCCTCCTGGTATCCCAACTCCTCGACGAAAGCACTCAAAAGCCTGCGTGCCATGAGGCGACCTGGCGTTCCTAAATGGGGTTTCTGTGCTCGTCGTATAGCGCGAACACGGCCTTTCAGCTAGCACCAGCCTTCCAGGGGTGCCGCAAGTCCTGCATGTAATGAAGTATCAGACAGCCAGCTGCTTCCATTTCACCTCCGTGACGCCGATAGGGTCGTCGAGTTTCTCCCACTTGAGATCAATGATCCGTACCTTGTATTCTCTGACAGGAATTTTGACCCAGTCAGCAAGGTAATGAGGGGAGGATGGTCTGGGAGATCGGGCACGATGGTGAGCATGCCTCTGTCGAAGTTGTTTTCGATGGTTACGTGCATCAAGAGGCCGTCTTTTGGTGAAAAGAGTGAGGTCTTCGTGGACTGTCCGTGCATGATGGAAAATCACGTATGTCTTTATTAGCTTTGAGAGAACAGCTCTTGCAACGCAGAGCGCCAGAGCAGACTTTCATTTTCTGCACAAAGCGAGACTTTCCACCTTCATACCATGACCCTCCTCTTGTATGACCTTGTGATTATCAAGGGCCGGTTCAAAAAGCAAGCCTCCTCTATTGACTTCAATACCACCAATATCAGCACTGTCATCTCTGTATTCAGCAGCGTACTAATTCGTGGCAAACTGTCATACTGACCTTTTCAGAGATAACTGTATTCGGTGACGTGCCGTTGGCTGGCCATCGTCAACCCTTCGGCCATTGGGAATATGCACGTGTACACATGACACTGTTGCTCTTGGTCTGAGTTAGGACAGGGTTAGTAGAGTGCCTTTATGGAGGTCCAACGACCACGTACAAAGTTGACTGGTGTATAGCATAGGTGCCACTGAGGAGAGTGATGGTTTCATAGCGAGATTTGTTGACGAAGTAGCCATCACACCACAGGTTTGAAATGAATTCCTTGCCTCCTCGGGCCACCTGACGAATCATTTTTCATATACACACATCACGCAGTGAAGCATCTACACTATCTGGATCACTCTATCAGCGCCCCTATGGCGGACTTCAGTTGAAAGCGGCCCCAGTGAGCTGAGTGGCACAGCCACCAATTCCTGCTGATAAACAGTCAGCCTCGGCCACTGTAGTGACAACATTCTTCATACTATCTGGCATCTCCCTCTGGGCTCTCTTCTATCTTATTATTATTCCATTGTGCATTTTGCATATGTTAAGACACCCACGCCATGGCAACAGCAGCTGAATTTCCGCTCTTCTCAACGCTCCCCGCAGAGCTCCGCAACCAGATATGGCAGGACGCCTTGCCGGACAAAATCGGACAACTACTGTACTTCTACAAAAAGGGGTGCTGGTGCCCTCGACGCCTGGTAGAAGGTGACCAGGGTTACGACCCCGACAACGACGAGCTTAATTTGGCTTATGAGTTCCGCCATGAGTTGTTAAACCATGTCAGAATCGATGTTCCGGGCTACTTTGTCAACCGCGAAGCCCACAGTATTGCATCAACCTGGGTTCGCGGGCAAGGCCTTAAGCTGTGCTCCCACAAGGGTAAACTTATCTTCGTCCGCCCATTTGACCCATTGCTGGACACGTTGTATGTCCCGCTGGAGAAATGGAGTGACTTCCTCAACGAGCCTCATGATCGGCAATTTCAACCAGATCTTCTTTACCGGGATCTCGACTTTCCTGGGATTTATTTTACCCGCATTGCAATACCAACGACCATTCTGGAAGACGACCCAGACCCACTGCCCGCTTTTTTCGAATGTTATGAGCGTTTCGAAAGACTATTCATTATCGCCAACCCACCACCAGAGCTACAGCCTGATGATAACGGCACCAGGGTGCAGCAGCAGCGGTGGGAGCTTGAGGACACGCAGGGGCCGATGTATTTTTGGAATGGCGCGGGCTTTGAGTGGCAGGATAACTGTGTGGGTGACAACGCCCTGCACAAGCGGATAGAGGAAACTAGCAATATGTTAATCGAAACGCTTGCTCGGAGTGGAAAGGATCGTTTTGAGGTCCGGTCTGCTTTTGCCGCGGCGAAATGAGTTAATTAATGTGGTAAAACATCATAGAAATGTGGACTGGGCGCATACCCAAAACAGCACGTACGAGGGTGACTACAAGGTTTTATCATCAAGGACTGAGGCGAAAGAAAGGATTAACACCTTGCTAGGATTAATGATAATTATATTTTTGACACAAAAAGCATATGGACCGACGCCGGATATAAACTAAACGAGCAAATTGGCACAAGCATCCCCCGAGAAAACCTCAAGACCTGAGACGAATCCGTCCCACAAATCCTTGGAAGTCATAGGCGCGGTGCAATATTCCTGCATACTAGAGTCCCGCATGATATCCACTAACTCGGGGATCAAAGCATCGGCGGCTTGAGCTTCCATTTCTCGTTGGATCTCTCGACTAAGTCCGCCTTGCTCGGTATACCAAGCGGAGTCTTGCTTGATCACTCCACTTTCGTAAAGATCCAGTATCTTTTGATCGATGCCGGCTTGTTGGGCGGCTTCATAGGCCATCCGATGGCCAACGGCTTCGACCAACGGAAGGGCCAGGGGAAGAAGATCCCTGTTGAATTGCTCGCTTCGATGGGCCCCCTTGGCAGAATGTTGAAGGATGCTTCTTGCCTCGGAAAATACGGAGGCTTCATGCCGAGCAAGGATACTGTTGTGGTTGTTCGGTGGTGGCATTTGATACCGATTAATCAAGAGTTCGGAGGCGAGGCCTATGTCTTCGATGTTAGTCTTGTGATATCCCAAAATGATAATCGAACTGCGGACACGTACGAATGGCGAGAACATTGACATCACCTTCTGCAGTGGCTACTCCACGGACTTCCAGCTGCGAAAATAACATCAGCATATTCCTCTCGCGTTTGACCCATTGCTGAGTATTGCCAAATTATTTACCTCCAGCTGAAGAAGTTGGTTATGCTCAAACTGTCCCTGCCATCCACATCGCTCATTCATCGCCCGAACACTCTGTTTGAAATGCCCAATTGCTGCCGCTTTGAAGGCCGTGGCTATACCGTGGCGTACCCGAGGGTCGATCTTGGTGTCTCGAAAAGACATGGCTGCAGAGACCAGGAATGGCTCAAGCACACTATATTGAGAAACAGCGTGCAGGATTGGAAGATATTGGGTGCGGAATTCAATCACTGCCATTGGCTTTCCATCTTGGCCACTGACCATTCTGCGCTGGCTAAAGCGTGTTGCATTGAATGCGGCGATCTTCAGCGCTGGGATGACAGCAGCTGAGAGGAACAAAGTTCCCACGGCAACTCGCTGGATTGTGGACATGAAAGCTTCGCGCTCATTTCGGGTGTCCTCCAGGCTGCCTAACAAGGAAGACCTGGGTAGACGGACGTGGTCAAAGTACGTGAGGGCGTGGTCAACTGGATGAGAGCCTGTTCGTGGAGGCAAAGCTCTTTGAGAAATAAAATCAGCCCATCGGTAACGAAGTGTTGAATATTCGACCACTCACTTTGCTACAACACCTTTGCACATCTGTTTCCCATCTCCGAGTTGTACGAGGATTGGCCGGATCCCATGATCTTTGTTGTCACTCATAAGGCGAGCCATCACAATCGCAACGATGGGGAAACCACCTCTTGGGGTCGTTGGCGGCATGACCCTATCAGCTGTCAGCGAATCGTTCCTGCAGACCGAAGTTGATGTCCCTCTACTTACTTTGCATCGTTTACGGACGGAGTGTGAAGGTCAATGTCACCATCTGGCAGAATAGTTGCCGTAGTTTGAATGTTACGGGCATCCAATCCATGATTGACTTCAGTCAGCATGAACTGAGCTCTGTATATCAATTCTTCGTCAGCTGCATCGCCCATGAAAGCAATAATCAGAGAGAAAACCCACGAGATATCAAAGTTCAAAGCAGACTGAAGGATCGGTTGAAGCTCTGGACGTTTCAAGGAAAATGGGGCCAGCGTGCCCACAAAAAGATTACACTGGATGCTGAGCAGGGTAAAAGCACCGCCATCTAACGCTGCCAGAGGCTCGAGGTGTAGCCTCCAGAACTTTGGAGTGATGTATAGAACATCCTCAAGGGTCAAGCCTGCTCTCGTCAATAATCTTAATATGAAGACAAGGAAGAAGAAGAAGAAGAAGAAGAAGAAGAAGAAGAAGAAGAAGGAATTTACCGTATGCCTCAGTAAAGGCTTTTGCTCTCTGGTAACTCACTCGAGTAGCTTCTTCCAAGCTTAGAGAGCGTGGTGTCGGTTTGAAGAGCGGCGAGTGCACCAATTCATTTATGGCTGTACCTGACAGCTGCGACTGCAGTTGCTGCAGTTGCTCGTGTAATTCTTTGTTCATCATGGACAAGATATGGGACTAAGGACTAAAGACCAAGGACCGACAACTGAGAAAACTATAAACAAAAACCGAGAATCTAAAGCTTGATACTCCGTACCTCGTCCGCCGTTTTTAAAAGCGTATCGCTCGCTTAGGATTCCCTGTATGAAATGGAAAAGGATATCAAAAAGCACACATGGAATGGTGGAGCACTGATCAGGCATGGTAGCTGAAAAGCTTTTCACCGCTATGAGGCCCTCACGCGGCCAATTGTTCTTTTTGCGCAGATATTTGGAATAGTTTGCGTGATACACAGTAACCGCCGTGTACTCGGGTCAGCGCAGTGGCTAGATGTATCTTCCTTATCTCGGTATGCATGTATATGGGTCTTTAGTGGAGAGACACGCTGGCGTCTTTGCCCTTTTCTTGTAGGTCCCTCGTGATGGACTAAGTTTGACAGCGCATTTTGGTGCAGCCCACATATCCCGGCTCCCGCGAACGAGATAGGAAGTTGGCCCTTGGTCTGGGATAGCACATGAGCTGAACGTAGTGCTGAGTGTACAGCTGCATGGTGGCGTCTGACGATCTTCCGTTGATTTAGTTCTCGGTACTCCGTACATCGAAAGATCGAGGATGTACGGAAAGTACCGTGTATCTCGGCGACATACTCCACAGAGCTCAGACGCAGCTAACTAACTAGTACAAGTACAGAGTAGTCAGCGGAAACTTGCAATTGGACGGCAAAATTACAGGGGACACGTGGTAAGCCAGCCTCTCGAGTTTAAGGCTCATAAGCAAATGTAAGCCGGCAATGAGGAAGAGCGGGGCCTGCTAACTTCTGAATACGCTATGTAATTCCAAAAGCGCCCCGCAAGATGTAATCAAAATGCAGCATTTCGTATTAACATACCCAGCATAGATTCGTCATGAAATGGCTTCCACTTCTTTATATCGTTGCTCTCAGTGAGTTACATTCCGTCCATCCAATTAGCTGTGTACCATCTGGGCTCGTGACTGGTTATTCCTTTTTTTTTTTTTTTTTTTTTTATATATATATATATATTCAGTTCATATAACCGTACGGCATTTCGCATAGTAATAGACTTTCTTAGGTAGAAACGAGCTCAGTAGTCCTTAGGTGCGAGTAAATTCTCATTGATCCCGGGAGCAGGCATTGACGCAGGAGTAACCCCACTGTCCTCTTTCACTGACCCGTCAATCGTATAACCCTGGTTATACCAGTTCATTCATTCCCGGGCGTTTCCATCTAGCGTGCCAACTCTTTGGCTGCATCGTGTCATGGATCAGGTGAAATCTGCTTCAATCCGAGCTGTGAGACGAAGCAATAAAGAGCAGTCTTTTTGAATGGCTTCGTCAAACCATCCGCCACTTGCCCAGTAGTCGGAATGTAAACGAAGTCCATAGAACCCGCCCCGACCTATTGGTGTAGGAGATGGTAATAGAAATTAATGCGTTTTGTACGGGCGAGAAAGTCGGGGTTCTCTGGAATCGCGAGGGCCCATTTATTATCAACATCCGAGGTTGGCCGGCTAGGAAGAACCAGAGTAGCCAAATGGATGTTGCCATTGAGCTCGCTCGATGGCAGGCGTTTTACATGGTGCTGTCACTTGGTTATTGTAATAACGACGTGCTTGTCATCGAATCCGTTCCAGCTCCATAATTTATAGCAATGAACTAAGCAAACAACGCAGAAGCGTTTTCATTCTGGTATGAATCCGAATCCGATACATGAGACAGTCGTCCTTAAGTTGCCACAAGTCGCATTTGACAATAGTCAGTCTGATATCCTGAACACTGCAGCATGAGGCCTGTATATATCGAAGGCTGTCCAGAAGTACCCTTGTCTCTTCGTAGTAATCTTCCGGCACTTGCCCTGTCCGCCTTTGCGTTGATTTTGTTCTTTTCCAGGGTATTTAGCTGCAGTTAGTCTGTTGATCAACATGGCGAACGCCGACTGGTCCGATAGGATAAAGAATTCCCATGAGTGAGAGGGTCGCCGCAACCGCGATTTTCTACCACTCGAACCAGAGATTCCCTTGATCTGGGCCCGGTACTAGTATGCCACCGACAATAGTAATGCCTGCATCAGGTAGCTGAGAATCCTTCATGTCTAACAGCGACTTTGACTCCGCTTGTCGTTCGCCATCGCCGGCCTTACCGGGGTCACTTTTTTCTCGGTTAATCCATCCATCATGGAACCCATATTGACGCGAGCATGTGCTTGCGCTACGCTGCTTTGTGACCAGAACATTGCATGGTGTGGTCGTTCTCAAGCCTGTGGTGGTAGTGGGGCTCTCTTACTCCATAATTGTATTCTTCGTGACGCCGTTTGCTGGGGGTTAGTGCAGAGTCTGCGACGAACTCCATGGGAGATATCCAACTATCACGCGACAGAGAATGATTGTGCATGTTCCAAGATCGTATAGATCTGAACAGTGTCAAACTGAGTGTCCGTCGTATCGCCATTTTTCCGATTGGCGTATATTGCAACAAAACAAAGAACTCTCGGCAAAATCTCAATATCCTGGCTTATATGCTCTGCAGGAAATAAAGTGCGACAGCCTGTCACAGCTTGGACGTCACTGTGGTGCTAGATCTGGTTAGCCATACTATGTGTGGTGAAGTACGCAAAACGGCGTGCTTGCTAGCTCCCATAAGAAGACAACCCCCTCTTTTGTTACAATCACCAAGCGCCTCTCTTGTATCCATGCCAGCTATGGCTGTTATGACTGCCTGAATCCCGTTGCCATGAATATGCTTCCATTGGAGCTTATATATCCTGTTCTAGTCAGTGGGTTTCAAATTGCGCAGTTTGCAGGAACTGTCCTCGGCCACCGGATCCCTCAGTCTGTCAACCACAGCGTATGAATAAATGCCATTGACAACGTAAAATCCTGTCGTTTGGAGCGCATAATGACAGATTTAAGCTCGTTTTCTGGTAGCAACCCCGGCCCTCAGTTAGGTGTTGCCCTGGAATGGACGGAGAATATACCTGGAGCCGAAATCGCGCGATAGCCTCTCCACCAGGCAGATACCTAACGGGAGACAGAAAAGATCTCAGAGCTACTGCTTATTTAACCTCCACTTTCATACCATCTGGATCATAATAGGCCTCAGTGTTGTCAAAGAATAAACACTGCATATCACTGTGCTTCAACTTGCACCTGCTACAAGCGACCCTCCAATCACTGAGAATCTGGATGTTACACTTGTCAGGAGGTCTGGAACAATGGGGATCGCAGAAGCCTGAGTACCGCGACACCTGCTTGGTGACGAATCGTCGCAGGCCCCCGAATCCGTTCTCCTTGCACGACTCGACCCATCTCTATTATGATGTGACCGTTATAGTAATGAGGTAGCGGATCCGTTCAACAGTCTACTCGTTCGTAATTTAAAGCAGATAGAAGAGTTGAATCAAATTGGAACCAAGATACTTCGCAGAGCTTGACTAAGGTGACCACTTACGGGATGGAACAACCCAGGCTTATTCAAGCCGAGATGTATCTCGCGGCCGGTTCTAGGTCATCAGTAAGCGTGATCCGGCTGAAGATGGTGTCTTCCGGTAATAGTGACCAGTCGTAAGCTGTTTTTCAATTCGTACTGGAGGCCACACTCTGGGTTCTCTCCATCCAAACCCGGTGCTATTAGCTCTTGCCGATTGATCAAAATTCCCGAGTACTTTCATCGGTCCGTCGACAAAAGACCATGTGAGGGCGTTGCTTCGTCACCCCCTCGCACCCGGCATTATTCAACTTGCATTGGAGTTTGAACGAGTGCCTCCCACAAGTGCTTATATGCGAGATTCTTCATTGTCATCGACCTCTTCATGTGCACCCAGAGTTGTCATTGTACAAGTAGCACCTGTGATGAAATCGTCGTTTTCATAGAGTAAGATATGTCTGCACACAAAGCTGCTAATCGGTGGGGAGTCCATTGTAACTACATCAGTTCCTCATCTGGGAGGCGCAGACGCTCGGCCTCTGGTGTAGGCAGTGTGATTTCATCGCCAGAACGTACGATGTTGCAACTCTCACAGTTCAGCAACATCAGTGGCCTCTGGCCTTCGGAATGGCATTTGAATTTTGCTCATCCAATCGCTTCGGCGTGGATGGAAATATCCGTTCAAATGTGACTTTTTTGAGAACGGATATAGCAAGATGTACCCGTTCCAGGATAAATATCGATGAGATAAAAAGCTCTGTCGACCAGTCGACCATGGTGTCGGCCTAAGCATCGGATCTTGAATGGTTACAATGAAACACGACAGATGAGTTGCTGGATGATGAGAGATTGAAGAGGATGAGAGTCTATTACTCGAATTCACTTCTCTCTAGCGTCACTCCATATGCGAGAACGGAATGCCTCCTTTACTCCCTATTTTTGTACATGTCGAGATCAGATCAAGAGATATATATTCACCGGAGCCCTAGCTTATGCTCACGCTCTCTGCTTGACACGCGGCATGGTACATGTAGCAGGTAGCTACATATAAAAAAAAATATATATTTTGCTTATGAGTGCATGTCTCCATCCTCGATATATATTCATTATTGGCTATCGCAATCACATGACACATGACCCCCCTCATCATCCATCATTGTCATCCATCATCATAAAAATATACTCACCACCCACACCCTCCCCAAAAACCAAACCATGCCAACCCGACTAATATACCTCCTCTCCTCCCAAAACGCCCCCTTCCAACGCGCACATTTCGCCATCTTCATCCCCTCCCCATCCCCTCTGTCCCCCAACAATGAACGTGGCACCCTAATAAACGTCGTCGGCACCCCAATGGCAGGCTACAAGCTCGAGTTCGAACGCAATCAGGTCCCTGCTTCACGTCAACACTATCAACATTATGAGTTATTCCCGATTGGACAGGTTGACTCGGTGAACATCGTTGATAGCGAGGATGAGGTACATAGTGTTGATGATAGCCCAAGGGGAGAGGTTGAGATTGCGGCGGCGCAGGTTAAGCCGCCGGGGATAAGTGAGAATTTCCTCGCGCCTGTGAACGATGTATGTCACCCTTTCTTCCCCTCTCTCCCACCCATATTTCTGTCAAAATGCTGGAATGTCGAGATAACGATGGTAGACCACGAATAGAAGATGCCAAGAATGGACGATGGAGTATGTGCGGCTTCTGGTGAAAAAGGGGATTATCGCGGAGGAGGCTGTGAACATTGTGCAGGGGAAGAGGGATCCACCGGGGCATGGCATTGGGTTGAGTGCTGTTCAGCGGTGATGCACTTGTTGCGTGGATGGGCTTGCAGATGGGAAGTGGAAGGGGGCGGGGGGTGTGATGGATAGGGCTCGAACGTCGGTGTTGGTGGTGCTCGTAAACCAGGCGCTGAGGATCGTTCATTGGTGCCCAAGGTTGACATTTGACCTACAGAGTATATTCTAGCGAATGGATGCATACTCGTATACAAGTCACGCTACGAAGATGAAGTCACAAAATTGAACAATAAATTACGGCAACTAACATACAGGGGAATCATATCTCATAAACCATCCTCACACCTCAAAGCTTCGCAGCACTACCAGCCGACGAGATCTCGTTGTACAACAGACTCGTCAAGAACTCAGCATACTCCTCACCGGTAACCTGCGTAGCAAAGTACCGAGCAGCAAGCTGGAACTTGTTGCCTCGGGGACCGCTGGCAGCAAGGCTGTCGGCCTGCTCTTGCAGAAGACGCAGAGCGTAGGCCTTGTCGATCTTCTTGCCTTCCGCGGTGGGGGCGTTGTGGCGCGACCATTGCCAGAGTTGCGAGCGGGAGACTTCGGCGGTGGCGGCGTCTTCCATCAGGTAGTTGATCGGGACGCAGCCGACACCGCGGAGCCAGCCTTCCATGTAGGACAGACCGATGTTGAGGTTCTTGCGGATACCGTCCTCGGTGATCTTACCGGGGACATTAGTGTTCAGGAGATCGTTGGCGCCGATGCTGACGTCCTCGCGACGGACGAACAGCTGGTTAGGAGTGGGCATGTGTTTGTTGAAGACTTCCGAGGCAATGGCGGCCAGAGCGGGGTGAGCAACCCAGGTACCGTCGTGACCAGCACGGACTTCGCGGAGCTTGTCGGCACGGACACCCTCCATGGCCTTGTCGTTGGCAGCAGGGTTGTCCTTGACGGGGATTTGAGCAGCCATACCACCCTGCAAAGTTAGCATTGATCAATCACAACAGGGTATAGGAAGCTTACCATAGCGTGAACACCACGACGGTGGCAGGTCTTGATGAGCAGCTTAACGTAAGCGTCCATGAAAGGAACAGTCATGGTAACATCCGAACGGTCAGGCAGGACAAAGTTGGGGTTCTGGCGGTGACGCTTGATGAACGAGAAGATGTAGTCCCAACGACCACAGTTGAGACCGGAGCTGTGGTCGCGGAGCTCGTAGATGATCTCATCCATCTCAAAAGCAGCAGTGATAGTCTCAATCAACACAGTACCACGGATGGTACCCCGGGGAATACCAACGTAGTCCTGAGCGAGGTTGAAGGCATCGTTCCACAGACGGGCCTCAAGGTGCGACTCCATCTTGGGCAGGTAGAAGTACGGACCATATCCACGAGCAACCAGCTCCTTGGCGTTGTGGAAGAAGTAGAGACCAAAGTCGAACAGCGAACCCGAGATAGGCTCGCCGTCAACGATGAAGTGCTTCTCATCCAGGTGCCAGCCACGAGCACGGGCAATCAACGTAGGTAGCGTCCGGTCCGTCCGGAGCTTGTATTCCTTGTTGCCCTGCTTGAAATCCACCTGGCGACGGATGGCGTCGTGCAGGTTGACCTGACCGTTGATCATGTTGTCCCAGGTGGGCGCGCTCGAGTCCTCGAAGTCGGCCATGTAGGTCCACACGTCCGAGTTGAGCGCGTTCACGACCATCTTGCGGTCGGTAGGGCCGGTGATTTCGACGCGGCGGTCGACGAGACCGGGGGCCGGGGGAGCACCCTTCCAGGCGTCATTCTCCCGGATGTGCTTGGTCTGAGGGAGGAAGTCGAGCAGGTTGCCCTTGTCGATCTCGGCCTGGCGGTCGATACGGCGCTGCAGGAGGGCCTTGCGAGTGGGATTGAAGGTCCGGTGGAGGATGGCGAGGAAAGCGCAAGCATCCTTGGTGAGGATCTTGCGGGTGTCATCGTTAAGGGCTCCAAGGACGGCGACGTCCTTGAGCTGAGCGTCGACGTTAACCATTTTGATAGTTGTGTAGTACGGAAAAGAGAAATGCAGTCAGCGTAACCTAGAGAAGAAGGGACGAGGGGTGTCTATCTACTATATAACCACGATAACCGAGCAAGGACTACGTCAGACCCATGAGCCGCGGCCCATGGCCACCCTACCACTACTATCCATACCTGGTCCTTCCGTTTCCGTCCTGGATGAGCGGAAGTTGACTGATAAGGCAAGGCAAAGCACGTGACTTTTCCGCGGAGACCGTATTATTACCGACCGCCCAGTCAATTACGGAGCGATCATTGGTCGAATGGCGAAATATCGGCCGACAGGGTAACACCGGTAATATGCCCGTGACTCTTATCGCTCCCCTCCTCCGGTGTAGGAGTACAAACATCGGGTTTTACAATGCCGTACGAAGCAGTAAGACACAAAGAATAGCTGTAGCAATGCAATTGATATCTATCTGCATACACACTCCATGTCTAATTCGATGTGTATTCACAGATAGAGAGCTATATTAGCTATTGTGACTACCGATCCCCGCATATCCGATAGCCGCGGCTCAAACGTCAGTATGACTCTGCAACATCACCATAAAGTAAGGTCTTTGCTCGGTGATTTTCGGTACGGAAAGTCTATTGTTTTTCCCTTTTGGACCGAATTCTCCCGACTCCGGAGGGCATCGTTCGGCGGGAAATACGGGCATAGAGTACATCGATATCGGCCGGTAGACATGTGATCTCACAAGCAAGAGACCGGACTTGGCTACAGTAGTCTGGTCTAGAACATAGCAATCACGAGCTCGTTATTCGTTTCTGACTACTCTGTACAGAGTACATATATACATATCCTCACGGTCCTTACGACTAAACCGTTTCGATATAACGTCTCACCTCCCTGCGGCAGTTAGCTTCGTGTACTCTCTATCCTACATATGTAGACTCACCAATCAGTAACAGCCTCCTCCCACAAGCGCACTTCATGCTCCCGAGTCCCTCCGAAATGCTCAACAAATGCATCCCCAAACACCTCGCGCGCCATACTGTCCTTATCCGTAAACCGAACGGTAGCCTCCTTGAGCGATTTAGCTAGTCGAGCACCTTGGTCGCTAGCGCCACCCATATCTTCGCCCTTGGACAGCGGTGGGACCGGGATCTCCAGCTTCTTCTCCACACCCTTCCATCCCAATGCGACAATCGCCGCCAGGGCAAGATGTGGGTTGCAATCCGCCCCGGGTACCCGCACCTCTAACCGAGTAGCCTTGGGACTGGCCGTGGGCGGTGTGATGACTCGAACGGACGCTGCTCGGTGTTCCAAACCCCAGGAAACTGTCACCGGAGCCCAGAAGTTTTCGACCAGACGTTTGTAGGAGTTTATCGTTGGGGCGAATAGCGGCATAATGTCCGGGAGTCCGGTGAGAACACCGGCCAGGAAATGTCGCCCCAAGTCCGATAGATGCGCCACGTCTGGGTACGGCGGCGAGGGGTCTGGCGTGTCGCGGAAGAAAGCATTCTTTCCGTCCTTCATCAATGAGATATGGATGTGGCCGCTGTTTCCAGGCAAGCCTTGACGGGGTTTGGCCATGAAGGCAGGGGTGATGCCATGTTTGGTACCGATCGCTTTGACAACATACTTGAACAAACCAGCCTTGTCTGCCATCTCCTTGGCTTCTCCGAATTGCAGTGCCTGACAGTATTAAGCAATGACACTTCTAACCCCCAGTTAGAGGAACTTACAGCCTCATAAACACCAGGTCCACTCTCAGTATGCCATCCCTCGATCTCACATCTGAAGCTCTCGCACGCGTTAAAAACGCCGTAATAGTAATCCTGGTTGTGAATCGGCCGCGTTATGCTATATCCAAACATGCCTTCGGTCAACGGAGGAAGCGCTTCGACGGGGTTCTCCTTGAGGAAGGTGGCTGTCGACGACGCATTGCGCTCGGGGGTGGGATGGTTTCCTGGGGTACGGAACTGGTAGAATTCGTACTCCGCTATACAGATCAGCCGTGCTCTTCATACTCCGGTTGCTTGTAACTTACCACCCGCCATAGCTTGATACCCGGCCTCCTCAGCCTTACTGACGGCCGTATTCAACAACCCCCTAGGACAGGCGAAAAGTGCTTCGCGCGTGTCTGGATCAAAGAAGCTAACCAAAAAGAAAGGCACATTGTTCTCCCAAGGAATCCTCCGGAAACTGTTCAGATCCGGCACCGCAACAATATCCCGATAACCGTTCTCCTTGTTGCTAATCCCGAGCTCCTTAAAGTATGTCTGGTCGTGCATATCCCAGCCAAAAATCACTGAACAGAATCCAAAACCCTCAGTGACAATGGAGAGGAACTTCTTCTTGGCCATTAGCTTGCCGCGCAGCTGGCCGTCGACGTCGACACCGGCCACCTTGACGGCGGAGTCGTTCTGGAGGATTTCGGCGACATTGTCGACTGTAACTTCAGACATGGTGGTGTGGTTAATTGTGCTATAATATTAATTTGTCAATTGAGTCCAGGTTAATTGCAAGCAGAGAATAGAACAACTTACAGGAATTGGTCACGAGGGGAGTGAGAGGTGAAACAGGAGGGGAGATCATCGGGGCCGCTTATCAGCGGTCAACCCGCGGTGATCGCGACGATGCCTTAGGAGTCAGGACCTCCCCAGGATAAACCAGGCCATATACGGAATTATATACGAATCAATTGGATTCTCGGAGATAGTGACAAATCAGATAATAGCTAACTATCAATCTGTATGCAATTCCGTACGCCGTGGTTGTACATAATACTGCATCAGGATATAGTTAGTTACTCCGTATCTCCCCAGCTTATCTAATCTGCTCCACGTGCCCCGCGTTTCCAGTTGAGCTGTTAACCTTCTCCCCTCCCTTTGCTAGCATATACTACTGCTATATCACTGTATTATAAGTCTTAGCTCTTCAACAGAGTACGTACTTGTTCTTCTTCTTTACCAGACTCTGCATCATCACATTGCTATTCTGGCTATCTACCTCGCAACTGACTTATCGCAGAACACAACAATGGCTGCTCCTCGTGGACGTCTCCAAGGCAAGAATGCCATTATCACCGGTGCTGCAGGGTGCGTACCCTTGTAATTAACTCATTATTCACCATATTGACTCGAACAGTGGCATCGGTCTCGAAACCTCCATCCTCTTCGCCCGCGAAGGCGCCAGCGTCCTCATGGCCGATATCTCCGAACCCGCCCTCGAGAAAGCCCAGGCCAAGCTGAAGGAAGTCGTTCCCACAGCTCCCCGTGTCGAAACAATCAAGTGCGACGTCTCCAAGGAATCTGACGTGCAGCGCATGGTGGGCTCGCAGGACAGCTGGGGTGGAACGGACGTCATTTTCAACAACGCCGGAATTATGCACGCCGACGATGCTGATGCCATTGATACTCCTGAGAAGATTTGGGACTTGACTCAGAACATTAACGTCAAGGGTGTGTGGTTTGGTTCCAAGCATGCTGTGCAGAGTATGCGGAGGAACAAGAAGACGAGGGGTAGTATTATCAACACGGCGAGTGTGGTGGCTTTGGTTGGTGCTGCTACGCCGCAGTTGGCGTATACTGCTAGTAAGGGTGCTGTTCTTGCGATGACTCGTGAGTTGGCTATTGTGCACGCTCGTGAGGGATTCCGTTTCAACGCCCTCTGCCCTGCTCCTTTGAAGTACGTCCCTGTTCCAACACCCTAGCTTGATCATTGCTGACCCCGATAGCACCCCCCTTCTTCAAGACTGGCTGGGCGATGACCAGGCCAAGCGTTTCCGTCGCGAGGTTCACTTCCCTACCGGCCGTTTCGGTGAGGCCATCGAGCAGGCCCACGCTGTCGTCTTCCTCGCCAGCGACGAGAGCAGCTTCGTCAACGGAACTGACTTTGTTGTTGACGGTGGAATGAGCAAGGTATGTCAGGCCTGGAGTACCATTCAATATATGGAGACTAACGTCGACTAGGCATATGTCACCCCCGAAGGACCTGCGTTGGCCGCTCCTCAGAACTTGGGACATTAAACATTTTGTCTTAAACATTCATGCCCTATAGATAAATCTTCAGAATAGCGAGATATCCATATTATAAAGTGCACCTGCAACCACGAACTTCAAAAGTACTGTACATGTCCCGCAGCAGATTCACAACTGCAACGCCACGACAATCTCAGAAAGAAAGACACCATTCGGGGAAAGATCCCACAAACAAGCATCGCCTAGCGCGACAACCTCGACACCCATGAGCTCTGCGTAATATTTTTCTTGTCGCTTCGATAACAATCGTACAAAATGCGTAACGTCATGTAGCTAGCGGTAGCAAAGGACAAACGAGACCACGAGATTATCAACGTTGAACCCTGGAGCGACGTCTCTCAGGGGCAGTGTAGCGTATTTCTGTTTTATCTGGTAGGCCGAGCTACGCATTGTCGACTTTTCTTTCAAGCCGTTCGTTAATATGACGGCCTTGGACTTGAAAAATAGAACGAGAAGGCTGCGCTTTCGCAGTAGCTCCTGGTGCTGTATGGGCCCCAGGATCGTAGCCCGATATCCTCAATAACGTGGTAGAGCAAGACTGTTGTTGTGTGTTGACTAGGTCCTCAGCAGTCTGTTTAAAGTCTTTTTCTAGGCGATGATCTGGAGTTTGGACTGTAGGCGGATTATATATCAGCGCCACGGCATAGCGGGAAATTGAACCCATTCGCATGGCGTCGAAAATGCCCATAATATCTCCTGTGCGTGGGGAAGATGTTCATCGAGGAACTAAATCGTGTCCGATCTGATCACGAGCGCCCTGGAGTGTATCTTAAGACTTAAATAGAACACCCACCCCGCCACCACTGCGAGATGAGTGCCTGGAAAGCCTTCTTAACGGCTTTCGACTGACTGTTCGGAAGCTGTTGCAAAGGTCGCACTTTGCCGTCTGCTCTGCATGTATCAAGTGACATCGGAATTATGCTCTTTGTAGCATTGCCAAATAATCTTTCTCGATGCCGAGCTCGCTATGGCAACGGTTGATCCGGAGATGGTACTCATCACATAACTCATACATATTAATCATGGTCGAAGAAGGTATTGAACCATCCGGAACCATCTCTAGCTGTGCCAGATTGTCGCTGCCTTCCCAGACCAAATTGCCATCCTTTCCGCCCAAGAGGAACGGTTGCTACTAGACAGTAGGCTTTTTGCAAACTTCTTATAAACACGCTAATGATCTTACAAGTCCCGTGTCTCAAGGACTTAAGGGGATCTCATGACCCCCGTCTCCTGTGGTGATAAGAGATGGAGTGCCTCGATGAAAATGACTCCTTTTACGACCAACCAGACACCAGACCCCCATCTCATGGGCGGATTCAGACCCGGGAGTCCGAAGTATGATTCGGTCTATTTCTTTTGTGATTGACATGCTGTCACCGTTGAGCGCACTTCGCGAACATGACGTCTATGGTGAGAAACCGGACTTTTTGGACCTTGACGGCAGGGCGTTGCTCGCACGACGTTCAGGGCTCTTCACGACCATCACTGCATGCCTCGAGGGCTATAACAGGTGTCGTTTCACCACTGATTCCAGCTAAAGTAGGTAGAGTCGCACACTTTGTAAAGCAGGGGTAATTCTCATCGCAATGGATGGATGGTTCGAGTGTCGGACAGAGCTTTGGGCGAGTATCTGCTCTCTAATCATTTCAAACAAAAAATGGAACCAGTAAGCAATTGCACGGGGATAGTCTTAGAAGCTGTGACACAGGCAGTTCTCCTTCTTCCCACACGCGTGTCATTCATACTCAAGGAACTCGACTGGGATAAGTTTCTCTGGCGGATGAACGCCCTTTCTCGTAAACTATGGAGACGGGAAGCATCAGGGATTTACATATCGGAAGCACTGGGGCTATTGCGAATCTCTAGGTACGCATAGGTGTGGTTTCGCTCTCATGGACTCACAAGCTTGACACAGATTAGGGACCCTATGGCAGCGAAATCGAGCTGGTCTTGCAAGTTTTCGGGAAATGTCATTCCGACAGCTTGTCTGGTTAGCTTTACTCTGTGGATTACTTTGGACATAGAAAAGAGAGCGTACAAGTGAAATAACGTCTTTTTATGCTCCATCGGTGACTGAGAAATGTCTTGTTCTTTGAGTCGTCTGTATATCTTGATCCAACTAGTCAAACGAGCAGCAGGCCCAAAAATCGTGCGGACTTCACTCACCACAGAGTGGGTGTTTCTAATCCACTATCCCCGGATCATACCCGAAGTATATATAAATATCTTAGACAGTGCTGGTGATCCACGCTTAGCCGGATCGTGGTTGCATATATGAACACCTTTGCTCAATATCACAGACGCCATTTGCGTGGTGTCGACATTCAACTGGCCATTGACTTGTGCGGTGCGCGAGCCAAGGGGAACAAGAGCCGAAAGACTAGACGCGAGGCATGACTCCATGCTTCTACCGGTGTAGGAAAGAGCAGTATTCGTGGTCACGTCGCAGGCTTTCTGGTTTCCAAAAATCAAAGCGTATCTTATGGTAAACGTGGGAATGACAGATCTAAAGGTCGATGGGGAACGGTCTGTGGGTGAGCTGGGTATGCCTCTGGTCAAGTCTCAATAGAGATATATAATTTCGTTGCAAGTTGCTGCTATGCTGTATAAGCATCTCTTCATCCATGTAGGCGGGTACCTGAGCCTTTGTACAATAAGCACCTGTAGTATCACAACGCGCTTGTTTCGTTGCTTACCTAGGACCCTCAGAAATTTCACTTCCTCTACATCGAGATGACAGTCCAGAACATCTTGAGCTCCAAGGCATGTCCACAAAAATCGCGATCCTGATGAATGGTCAGACACATAACATCAGGGAATGTTGAGCGATGATGGTCAGCTCTAGTTTGAACATCTCCGAAACCCACTCTTGGGACTGGTGTTTCGACAATGTCGCCCATTGGCTCCAGAACACATTCTAAGAAGTGGACGCTTGTCCCCAACTCATTGCCAGTCATAGGATAGCATCCTGTACTCACCATTCGCCGACCACTTCAAAGCTATTAAACGAGATCTTGCATGCTTGGCGGAAGTATAAGATCTTGGGTGTCCCGGTTTTCAAATTCGAAGGGAACGCGGATGATACTATTCTCACTCAACCTTTCGTCGTCAATACTGCCACCGGGAGCCAATTGTGAGTGAGTCAGGTAGTGCAGCATGTATACATTTTTCTCTGGGCTGTGCTGATGCGTGAGACCCGGTGCCGCCAAATACCTAATTTGCCTTATTTAACGCGCAAGTGCGGTGAGAGCACGATACTGGTATTTTACCTTGAGTATACTGAAACTGGGCTTCCCATTGTACACGGTGTCACCAAAGCTGCTGGCACAAGAAGCAATAAAGCACTGGCGTAGTGAGGGTTTGCGCGGTATGGAGCATGGGTGATGGTAGCTCAAACATATAATCGTCGGTTTTACGTATGAAAGCAATTGTATGATACGTGTCTAGAATCGATATCTCACTAGGCGAGCGCGCTTATATAATGCTAGTTGATCTATTGTTGAAAATTAGTATAGCACCCACTTAATATGGCATTATAGCAAGACTTGCCGACGTGAGGTTTTAGTTCCTTCCAACCAATTGAAGGGTTCGTCGTGGTTTTGCAATCAGTCGTCAAAATGAATCGATGATAGAAATCTCTAACATACAGACTCAATGGTCCAGCGGTACTCCCGGGTGGATCGTCCCTGTGGACCAGTCCAAGGATGAAGACCGGGCATCAGACATGGTAGGGGACCGGGTATTTCTCTACTTGCCACGACATGCGAGAAACTATAATGGATCGGACGACATTTGTGAATGACGGGTGATTTGTGTAACATTCCACATCTGACCAACATGGTGAGTCAACGTGCTGTGGCGGCGCATCGTGAAACATTCCGTTCACGGATGTTGTAACTCCAGTTTATATCAACGATCCAGGATATAATTCGGGCATGTAGTATGTAGGCCTGAGACACAGCTCGACACACAGGCGTCCCCAAAAGAACAAAGAATAATCATATCTCGGTTCTCTGTTATGAAATTTATATAGAAACAAATGGCTCGCTGAGCCGTGTATGTTGATCAGTGGCCTTCGGTTCAAATATGTGGCGAAGCGTTGGGCAATTACAAGATTCCTGAGAATTAGTCAGTTAACAGCTGGGTGACTCTGGTTCTTTATCGAAAGCATTCGAAGGTGACTTGAAATTTGACCATTGGCTCGTGCTGACGGAACGATGTGCAGCTTTTTTTTTTTTTTTTTTTGAGACGAAATAGCGTTTGTGTTGTCTAGCTGGAGAATCTGTGAAGCCGCTCTGATGTTGTATTCTATTTTGTTGGAAAGCCACTGGCACAAAGCGATGGCCCCATCCATGTCTGTCCGGTCCTCGTGTAGGTTTGTTTGGCAACGCTGTAATAATAAGCCAATCCCAATCGCACTAGCTATCCTTGTCATTGTTCGAGAACCATCAAACGCGCCTGTGTGGACCTCTTGGAAAGCCTATCTGCATGTCTGATTTGTGGTTGGCGTGAGCAGAGCTTGTGTACAACCACACCTTTGCCTTGCCGTTCTATGTCATGCAACTCCATGGCACCTTGCGCTCTCGACAAATTGAGATTACCTGCTTTGTTGGTGTGCGCGCATTGCTTTCGGAGCGCATCCTTAGCGAACAGAACAGGGGAGCATCTTGTTCGTTGACTAGGGCGCGCACCTCATCGATACACAAGACCGCATTAGGTATTTCTCTTCCAGGGGTCGCCGTAAATGTCGAGTTGTGAATTCCATGGTCACACCACTTCCAACACGTGGAACATGAGCTGTATTGTGTCCTTGAGAAAATCAACAACGGGAAAATACAACAAGCAATAGGAACTCATAACGTACGCATAGTGTATTTGAATGCAAAAACGTTGCATCTTCGACGAGAACTACAAGGTGTCAGGGTCAAATTTCCAGTAGCTAAGCCAATAGAGAGGGAAAACTAGAACCTACCGTCAGGGGGGGTTGGCAATCCATCCTCAAAGATGGAGCTCCCCCTGAGCACTTTATTGTGGTCGTACTCCCACCTTTGATTCACAAGTTGGACATGCGCTCTATCTCTGAGGTGAGGGGTCGGTGGGGTGGTGTTCTGGCTTTCGGCTTCGCTTGTCGATAGTCGACGCTCCAGGGCATCAATTCGTCCCTCGAGGGCCTCAACCCCGTGGTCGGAGCCGGCTGCAATGCACTGCTCTAGTCACAACACAGGCCGCACCTGCCGCCGAATCATCATCTTTGCCATTGATTTCAATCCGCAAGCCAGAAGTCGCACACAAAGCCGCTAGTTTGTGCTCAGGAATTGCAGGTTACTGGCTTCGTGCGATGCTTTCACCCAGGCTTTATCCACATAAAGGTAGAGGATGGCTTTCTTTGTTTGGGTCTCTTAGCTTTGTATGTCCTACGTTGCATACTGCTTTGTGCAGTCTTTTGTTTCTGTATAATACGGACATGGAGGGTCCCATGTAGCCAGGTATATCCCTCCCCCGGGAGAGGCAAGTTATCGGGATCCGGCGTAGTTATGGTGATGTCGCTGCCGGAAGATAGAATTGGCGACTTTTGAGACAGCGATGAATATTCGTTAACCCAAGCAGTTTCGTTGCGTCGTTGTAGATATTCTATAGACCGAACGAATGGATCGGGACACTTGACAACTGCTCAGCTAGATTAGTATAATTAAAACAGAGCATGAATGACGTACTGTCAAGAATTGAAGAGGTTTTTCCCCCGGTAGTTGTCGGAAATGAACCACATTCGGAGGTCTAGGTTTCTCTTCTGTGGCGACATGGTACTATATAAGAGCATCGAACCACTGCCGAGATTCAAACAACCTGGAAGTCTTGTATGCTGTCTATCTGCATTGGCTTATTGGGGACAATCATTAGTATGTGTCCATCGGCAATGAAGAAACAGTAGGTATTAGTAGCTCTTACCTCAGGCATCGATTCGGGGAAGCGCATCACTGACATTGTGAATAGATTGTAATCAATTACCACGTTCTAAAACGCCAAAGAACCGCAATGGTATCTCCTTTTATCTATACATACATTAGTCTAGTCTCACTCCGGTACCTGAAGAGGGGGGGGGGGGGGGGTCTTGGGATCTCATATTCAAACATTCTCAGATGTGCGAAACAAGAGATATTACTTGTAGAACTTCTCTACCAGTAGCAATATCTACCAGTAATTAATGTTGCTTCGACGCGATTTTGCAGTAAACTGGTGTTTGGTCATCATTGAAGTATCTCCTTGTGTATTTATGGCTCTCGCGAAGGCGACCAAAGTTATATATAAACGTACGCAATGTTCGACTACCTCGCAACGACAGAAAGGACGACTTTGTAACCTCTCAAGCCGACGGGGTATCGTGCCGAGTATAGACGTTTCCCGCGAGATCGTTGGGATGTATTTCTTTTCTTCGTCGGCTGGGACATTTCAAAGGACAGTGAGACTGAGTGATAGAAAGAATTAGCCAGATCTAAACAAGACGGGCCCAATCTAAAGCGGCACTGTCACATACACGGTGTACCCAAACTCGCCATTTATGACCACAGAGACGTGTTGATGAAAGTCAGAAATCATTGAATAATAAAGGAGCAGAAGAACTCTCTTTTTGCAAGGTGATTGAGCATGACCACGCGCAAAAGTTGATATTCTTGCCAAGGAGTGTCTTCAGAATATGTCCCTTGTGTGGTTCTAAGTATACGTATATACGTTTCGTGTACATAGCAGAGCATAACCTCAGGCGCTTCTTGTGGTCGTGCTGGAACAGCGACGGATGCCCAAGGCGGGTAATATATAAGGTGGAAGGATGGATTATACCATGGTCGGATATATGGGTTAGAGTATATAGAGATGACGGACAGAGCGAAAGGAGAAAAGAGGAAGTAAAGACAAGAAAGATAGGGCCCGGGTCACGGGACTGGCGATGTTTGATGTGTTCACCCGCAAAGCTGAAACAGGAAGGAGATCATATGATCGCCGTCAGGCCATAACGACACCATCACCGTCATCATCATCAGTTGATTTAGGCTGCATTCCCGACATGTTTTGGACTTGTCTACATATTTAATAACCTGTTTTTCACTAGCTGCTGGTATTAACAACAATCTACAGCTTCATATACAAGAGCACAGACTATACAACATGAACTCCGCCATCCCTAACCACATCCCCTCTCGACCACGACCAGGTCCCGTTGGACGATGGTATGTTTTCTTGGCTACATTTCATGAGACCAGAATAACTGATCATACGCTAGGTACCTCCCTGTGATGGCTCTGATCGGCGTCGGTTCGTCACTTGAGACATGATCCTCCATGCAAACGACAACCACTGACAAGTAGGATAGGATTCGGAATCTCAAATTACTACTCCCAATCAGCGATGAACGCCCGGATCGAGACCCAAGTTAGGGAGGAAGAGCGGCTTCAACGGAACAAGCAATTGATGGATGCATACGGACACAAGGATAACTTGGACGATGTCGAGCGGGCATTGAAAGTTTATGAAGTTCAATGACCTTCTTACAAGCGGTGTTTGGCGTTGCTGGAATAAATTATGACTTATGATTCTTAGTTATCATGAATTAGCGACATTCTAACTGTCAATATCAGCTGTCTACGCTACGCTATTTAAATGCGAAATGAAATTACGCCGTCACGGTCACACTATCCACCAGCCACCCATTCTCAGCAGTGTACGAATCCTCCGGAGTCGTACCGTGCAGCGGGCTGTAATGCACCCTTCCAGTACATTCCTCATCAATCCCCTCGACCTCCGTACAACGACCCTGCAGCATCGCCGCGATCTGCTCACCGGCCTCTTTCCCCTCGAACCACGCACCATGCAGGAAACCAAAGTACGCCGCGCTGGTTGCCTCACCCGCAAACCACAGGCGGTCCGCGTTGGCGCGCAGATTCTGGTGCATCTCTAGTGTGGTGCCAGCGGGCCAGTTGGAGTAACTACCGAAGGACCACTCTTCCTTCGTCCAGCGGGGATAGCCGAAGTCAATTGGTTCAGGGATGTCCTTGTCTGGGAACATCTCGCGCAGCACCTCGAGGACTTCCTCCTTCGTCTCCTCATCGGATTGTTGCTCGACGCGGTAGGCTTGTTCGGAGACGACAGTGACGAATATAATATTCGAGCCCGGGAGGAAACCTTCGGTCGAGAGAGATTGGAATACAGGGTAGTAGCCCCGGGTGGTGGGCGAGGCGTACAGGAAGTACTGCGTGTCTTCGGGCCAGAAGGTCTCGTTGAACTGCATGAAGATCTTGGTGTACGTGCCCATGTTGAACTTGTGGATGGCGGTCTGTTTCCACGGCGGGAGAGCGGGGGTGAACTGGACGGCGTCGTTCTGCAACACGCCCAGAGAGAACGTGCAAATTGCGTACGCAGCAGACACGCAGCTGCCATCCTTGTTGTGGATGGTCACGCCGTGCGGGCTGTACTCAATGTCCGTCACCTGAGTGTTGAGATGCAATCGGTGGTCGTCGGGCTGGAGGAACGACGATGCTTCCCCGGTGATGATCTGGCGGTAGCCACGGGGATCAATGACGAGGTTGTTATCCTCGCCAAACTGATTAAAGGTGAGGTTCTCGCCGGCCACACCAAAAACGAACGAACTGGTCTCAGGGGAGAACGAATCCTCCCAGTCTAGTCGCGTTAGCGATGGATTCCTCTCGTGGGAAAATGGTCATACCCCAGCTCCACCATTCAACCGCCTGAGCTGCCATATCATCCTTTCGCGGTCTCCAACCAGCCACAGCAAGTCCAGTACGAGCGGTTTGATCCTGCAGGTTCTCAGTCAAGATGCGGCCGGCATTTTCACCGGCCTTCGTGGAAGCTTCGCTGTAGATATCCAGTAGATGGCTGTAGTCGGTGTAGCCGGTCTCGTTGTAAGTCAGGATAGAGCTGTAATTCGAGTAGTAGTTCTTGAGGTTGTATTTTTTGGCCTGTCGGGTTAGAGCCCATCGCTAAATGCGTGTCCGGGATGCTCACCAGAGTCCACACAGGGTTTTCTACCATCGTTAACCAGCATCCTCAAGTCGGGACGATCTGTCTTACCAGTAGTCTCAGAACCAACACCTTGGAGCTATCCGAGTCAGTCGATGCACCGTCACACCAGCACGAGACATACCCAATTTGCACCAAATTCAAGACTATACGGATTCCCCTCCTTGTCCTCGCCGAAATCTGTATTCCACACACGTCCCCCAATCCGATCGCGATACTCGAGAATCACATAGTCGTCGATGGAGGCATTATGCAACGCTTGCTGTAATCCATGAACAATTGCCCCTTTTACTGGGTGCTGAGACATACCGCCGCCGTGATACCTGCCATCCCTCCTCCGCTACTCCGGTTAGTTTTGTCTTTTCTACCCGGGGATAGACTTACAGAACGGCCACTGTGGTTTTGGTACATGTCTCACCGTCCGCCCGGGGTCGTGGTATGTACCCGGCACAGCCGTGGATAGCCCACCCGGCCAGAAAAGCCGATATCGAAAGAGCGCGCATTTTGAGAATCAACCGAAATACCGAGTTGGGTTATTACAGAAATCTAAGAGCCGGGAATGAAATGGGGGATCCCACGCTTGAATAAATAGCTCTTACCACCGACACTACCCACCGACGATCACCGGAGAAAAAGCAAGCATACAGATCAATAGACTAGTATCAATGGTTCCTGCACCACTTTTGGCCCATCCACATGACGATGCAAGAGCCAAGGCAGCTGAAGAATGAATGGACGGACGGAGGGAGGGGAGGGGAATGCGCTGTCCCCCTGTACAGCGTCACATTGTGGAACTGCAAGGAGCATTTTGCATTGCCTTGGATCATATGGATTAGGGATGATGGTGATAACTGTCGTCCACATGGGAGAGATGATATCGCTTCGCATACGGAGTAGCTATCAGTATCTCGCTTGTACCTAACCAGCTGAGTTAAGGCTGGCGACAGACAGAGGGGAAGCCTCGGATCTCACCGATTCGCGTACTTTGGTATGTCTCCGCTTCTTATCGGTCTGATATCAGATGCAATCTTGCAATAATATATATGCGATGCTACCCAGTTAAACTGGATTAAGTATCTTATCATGTACCATAATTGATCGTTTCAATAGATTCACTATGAAGGACACCGACAGCAATTCCGAGCGCAGTCCCGAACTACGGCGCAACTTTTCCACTTGGTAGGCTACCGATGTATACATCGATATCGCTTCACTTATTGTGATACTAACTGACTAGGTCGATGCTTGGCTTGGCCTTTGCAGTGCTGAATGTACGTTTCTGTATCGCTCCGGATTCATATACCGTTAACATAAGCAGTCGTGGACAGCTCTCTCGGCCAGTTTATCAATCAGTCTGACATCCGGGGGAAGCACAAGTGTTGTCTGGGGTATGTCAGCATCTATCTACTTGGATAATACTAATGCAGGCACAGGTCTGGTCACCGCTGGCATATGTAACCTGTGCATTGCCGCATCGCTGGCCGAGTTTCTTTCTGCCTACCCTTCGTAGGTTGCACATATCGATCTTCTTAAAAACACTGCTAACTGACTAGGGCGGGTGGGCAATATCATTGGGTCGCAGGTAAGATTCTTTTGCCTTAAATGTGACTGAGCTGACCAGATAGTCGGTATGTTATTGAACTTAAACCATGGATCTTGGCGGCATCTAACGGCTCAGTGTCATGGCCGAAATGGGTCCCGATCTTGTCTTGGATCACGGGTTGGATCAATGTCGCCGGATGGGTGAGTCGCATTGCTCCGAGTAGCGATAGCCAGCTAATGAACAGGTCGCTCTCGTCGCGACAAACTCGCTCCTCTCCAGCCAATTGATCATGGGAATCATAGCTTCGCTGCATCCGGTAAGTCCCTCGGAGTTGTCGCGATGCGATGCTGATGAATTAGAGCTTCGAAAGTCAACGCTGGCAGCAATTCCTCGTATATATCGGCTTTACACTTGGGGCGTTTGTGATTAATGCATTTGGGAATTCTATATTGCCAACAGTTTATCGCGGTGCTTGTACGTTTATTTCTTGTCTTTGATCGACTTATACTAAATGCTCAGTTATCTGGTCGATTGGTGGTTTCGCCGTTGTATCTATCACAATCCTTGCCTGCGCTTCTCCAGACTATAACTCGGCATAGTAAGTGAGCATTCCGTTGATGAGCATGCTAGTCTAACCGGAACAGTTTCGTATTCTGTGATTTTGTGAACAAAACAGGATGTAAGTGTCATACACGAAAACTATTAGTTGCGATGCTGATGGACAGGGCCCGATGGAATCGCGTGGTTGCTGGGAGTACGTAGTTGACCCGATCATACGAACATCACTAACGAGGACAGCTATTGCAAGGAGGACTCGGAGTGACTGCATTTGTATGCCTTTGCCTCTGTCTCGTTGCTCTTAAGATACTGATAACGCAGGACTCCGTGGCCCATATGATCGAGGAAATCCCCAATCCCCGCAGCGAAGGACCAAAAGTAATGGTATATTGCGTTGGCATTGGCACTTTCACCGGAGCCGTCTTTCTCATAGTATTGCTGTTCGTTGCCGGTGATATCAATGCAATTACCAGCTCGAAGGCCGGGCCTTTGTTACAGATTCTTATCCACGCGACGAATAATACTGCCGGGGCTATTTGTCTGTTGATGCTGCCGCTCGTTTGTCTTGCGTTTGCGACAACTAGTGTTATGACGACGAGTAGTCGGATGATTTATGCTTTTTCCAGGTTTTTTTTCCTTCGCTTGATTACCGACGTAGCTAATGAATTAGGGATGGTGGATTGCCGGCATCGCGATGGCTCGCTCAGGTCCACCCTCGATTGGGATTGCCATTGAACGGACTCATTCTCACGACGGCTGTCGTGATTATTTTCGGCTTGATCTTCTTGGGGTCTTCAAGGTATGCTCCCTGCACATTTGCATGCCAACGATATTAACCATGGCTAGCGCATTCAACGCCATCGTATCCTCATCGGTCGTCGCCCTGGACCTATCTTATGCAATGCCCATCGCCGTCAACTGCCTCCGCGGCCGGAATCTTCTCCCCCCGCGAGCATGGCATTTACCGTCTGGTATGGGGTGGCTGGCGGATATCGTGAGTTATCGAGTTATCTGTTATGTTGTACAAAGTGCCGTGCTGATGAATGGAATGCAGCTTGGCTTGTCATATATCGCCCTGACAACGGTGCTGTTTTTGTTTCCGCCTGGACGGCCGGTTACTGGGAGTAGCATGAGTGAGTGCCATTCTCCTGTCGTGGGACTGTGCTAATGAGGTAGATTATTGTATTGTTGCCTTCGCCATTATTGTTATTATCTCGGTAGGTCACTGGATTATACATGGGCGGAAGCATTTTACCGGACCTCGTGAAATATCATCGTAACAAGATTCAGAGATATATAGAAGGGTATAGATCTCTTGAAGAGATTAGAAAAATGCAATACAGCCAGTGTTGATGGAAGAAACCGTCTACCAAGAAACTACCGATGCCATGCTCGTGCCAGCCCATGATCATCAGCGTGATATCCTCCGGCAGAAGCAAGGTTGAGCCTTGGGGAAGCAAGAACCCAGGTTTAAGCCAATAAAATCGAAGCTTCATTTCAGTTTTTTGATCGTTGACCGATATTGGTTGTAATGCAAACAACGCCCGATCCCAATAATCGTGAGCCGAAGATTGTAGCGCGAGGGCGTTGGCAGTTGATTTTGCGAGAGTTTTCATTCTGTCTAACCACTTCTGAACTTGCGCATCCGACCAGAACACGGCCAGGGAACTTTTGAAATGGATGTACTTGTCGGTATAGTCACGCCTGTGTTAGTGTAGAGATACAGCACAGATGTGGGCGGCTTGCAGGGGGTCGCTGCTCTTCGTGATGCCGCACACCCAGTCACGGTCTAAGCACTGCGTCCAATTAGCTTTTTTTTTTTTTTTCTATGGTGGCTATTGGTTAAAAAGATACATACAGTTTTGGTAAAGATGGGATCTCAGTCGCAGTCGGAAGCGGTGTCGGAGTTCGCGGGTGAAATCAATTCTTTGACGTTTGCGGGAGAGTTGCACTACAGTGGGAGACGGATCTGTTGGCGAGGGTCTCGCTGGTGAAGACTCAACCGGCGTCCCCACTGCCCCTAGTGTGAGCTGGGTGGTTCTGTTGATGGTGGGCGTACTGGGCGTGGTAGGGTTAGCAACAGCTGAAGTTGGACGGGATGGCGGTCGGATAGTAGGGAGTTTGGGTGTGATTCCGGAGTGTGGAACCCCTGTCTCAGGTTAGTCAAATATGCGGTTGCGGTATAGGGTATAGAAGAGAAAACAACCTACACAAGGTCACCAGCCGGAATGGCTCGGTCATTGTGTAAAGACCTGAGGCTCGTCCTGGGTTCTGGTCAAACGCGGTTGCAATCTCCTCCAGACGATCCATGTCGGAGAGCCACAGAGAGAACCAGGTGGCCGAAGGGAACTGGTACTTTCCGCGGCCATGACCTTCGGATTCTCCATCCCTGTGTATTGCATTGAGGATTTTGGTAATCAACCGACGGCGATGCACGCTCACGAATTCTGCACTCGGTCCGGGGGGATCGACGTTGTCCATGACTTCGGCTCCACTCACTGCAGTCCATGGCTCTGTCAAGTCGATTTTGGTTCGCAGGAAAGGAGAACTGAGGAGGCTCGTCGGGGAGGAGAGGAGAGAATGTATGGGGTTGTAGCCCCGTTGATCGTTTTGCCGGCTTTATGCCTCAGGCGTCAAACAAGATTAGACGACAAGAGGAATAAACCTCTTGGTCCTGGCATGCCATTCCTCCCAGTCCTTTCCAAACTGCTCATGCAACATAGTCTCCTCATCCCTCACCCGAACCCCCAACACACTGAACAAGAAAACCCCCCAAGCAGCAGTGAACAACCATCCGTATCCGTTTAACATTGCCAGCGTTGACGGCTGCATCCAGCATGCCCCGGCCGCTGTGTCCCACCGCGTTAGCAAGCCTGCCATGCCGAAGGTTACTAGTGCCGCGCCGGTATAGCTGGGGTGTTGCAGGTATTTGTACACCCCGTCTGTGACGAGGTGGTCTGGGTTTGAGAGGTGGAAGGTGAAGTTGCGGCCGAGACCCCCGTATGCGGAGAGGCGGATGAAGGCGCCTAGGAAGATGACAAATAGGACCTTATACATGCGCTCGTTCCAGGTAAAGAGGGCGGGAGGAAGGTTCTCGGGGTGTGGGCAGATGGAGTTCAGCTGGGCATTGTTCTCGGGAGTATAGAGGAGGGTAACGAGAGCGTGGTAGGCGAAGACGACGATTTGTACATGCTTGACGACCCATGGGAAAGTGCCGGCCAGGATCCCCGCGCGGTCGGATTTGTAGAGTTTTGATTTATCCGGGTTGGGATTTGGTGGCGTCGTGCAGAGTGCGCTGAGGTAGCCGGCCACCAGAATGGCGACGGCGAGGGAGGCAGAGGATATCGAAGGCATTGTTTTTTTTTTTTTTTTGGTGTGTGTATATTCTGAACAATTGATTCTAGAAAACCACCAGAAGCAGAACCGGCTCTATAAGTATAGCCAGCGAAACTCGCCCTCACCAATATTCCGTGGTATACAGTGGGCCGTACCGTGGGCCGTATACTTGCTCGGCCCATGTGTCAATCGTACTCGGTAAAGCCTCCGTATACGCCGTATTCCGTATATCTCAGTGGAGCACGGGGTTGACAGAATACGGAATACGATCCGGGACATGTACACCTTAGATAAAACATAACCTTAATCTCCTCCCGGATGCTTAGCGAGGGTCGCGTATTCGTCACCAGTTATGGGGGGTCTGCGTATTCCGTCGTGTTCTCTTCGGTGCGGGACGTGCTGCCCTATCGTATCCCCAACTTGGACCCTGGAATTAGCAAAACTTTGCTGCAATTGCTTGTTTGCGCCGCCGAGTTTAATTTATGATGTGCTCACTTATTCATATTTTCCCCGGGCCGTTGTGCCCGTTTTCTGGCGCCGTATTTTGTTGATCGCTGCGAGAATACGATTCTACGCTGCTTCGTGGCTTTCTAGAACGTCCGAATGGGCAATGGTCAGTTTCGCCGAGGACATGCCGACTGCCTCAATTTTGGTCTATATGGAGCTGAATATACGGAGTACGCAGTACGGATACTATACTTCTCCAATTCACTACTAGTATTGCCTGTGATGCTCTGTGGATCATCGCGTGAACACCACGCTCGGAAGCATTTTCGTAAGCGTACCGGTATGTAGTGGTCAACCCCGTACTCTGTACTCTGGCCAAGTCGAATCGCCACCGTCCTGAGATCTATCTGGAAGGCGCAGTTCGTCGACATGATACATCTCATGCGCCTGCACCCTTTGTTCGCAAACCATCCAGATGCCCGAAACAAGAGACAGATCAATTAGACATAGTATACGTGCCTTGCAGGATGCATCATGGCTCCCCTAAATCTATTCCAGGAGCAATAATTCCCACCGTATAAACAGCAGTAGCCAACCCCGTCGAATGCGTATTCCGTACTCGACGCAGCAAACAATATGCATATCCTCGCAGTCCTGCCTTTGATCGGCTTGGCCGCAGCACATACTGCATTTACGACGCTATACGTCGATGGACAAAACCAGGGTGATGGGGTTTGTGTTCGAATGAATCGGGATCCTAAGACTGCTACATTTCCTATTGAGCCGTTGTCCAGTGGGGATGTTGCGTGCGGTATGCGATACGGATGTTTAGGCTTTCTGGTGGAATGATTGACTGACGTGGACAGGAATCGATGGCGAGAAAGGCGTCGCGCGTGTGTGCCCTGCGAGATCGTCGTCGACGCTGACGTTCGAGTTCCGCGAATACGTCGATGGCTCGCAGCCGGGAGTCTTGGACCGGAGCCACAAAGGACCTTGTGCTGTGTACATGAAGAGGGTGGACGATGCGACGGCTGACAACAACGCAGCGGGTGATGGGTGGTTCAAGATCTGGCAATCTGATTACGATGCGTCTGCGGGTAAATGGTGCACGGAGAGGATAATCGACAATAATGGCCATTTGTCTGTTGTCATTCCGGATGATGTCCAAGCTGGGTATTACCTTGTGCGGCCAGAGTTGTTGGCACTGCACTCGGCCCAGGAAAATCCCCCGGATCCGCAGTTCTACGTCGGATGTGCTCAGGTCTTTGTGCAATCTTCGGGCACGGCCAGTCCCCCGACGGTGTCTATTGGCGAAGGCACGTATGACCTGGATACCCCGGGTATGACCTACAACATCTACGAAGACCCACTACCTCCGTATCCAACGTATGGCCCTCCGGTGTATCAATCAGGACAGACAAAGCGATCCGTCGACAAACGCGGTCCCATGGTTCAGCAAATCGGCCTCAAACCAGACGGATGCATACTCCAACGCGATAACTGGTGCGCCTTTGAAGTTCCGTCATACAATGACCAACAAGGCTGCTGGGCTGTATGTATTGTTGTCCATCCATATAACACGTGAAGCTAACTTCGTGCAGGCTGTCGATAAATGCTGGGAACAGAATGATGAATGCTGGGAGACTGCGTATCCCACCGGGGGTCAGAATTGTCATATCTGGGAGAAAAAGTGCCATGATTTGAATGACTCGTGTAACAATGGTGCCTTTACGGGACCGCCGGATTCTGGGAAGGATTTGACGCCGCCGGCGCCGCCGTTGAGGGGGTCTACGAAGGTGTTCAAACGTGATCACCGTCGGTTCAGGCGCGGGCATGTATAGAGTGTCCTAGTGTAGTTGGTGACTTGTATTCTGAGCTGTATAACAGAAGATTTTGCAATCCACATTCATTTTGACAATAAAGTTCGTCCCAATATGGTGAGAGCATTCTATATATTGGCGCGTAGTCGTGTATCAACAGCCTTGACCAATGCATAAATCATCTCAAGCGTCGGCGTCTCCATCCCCAACTCTCTCGCCTTTTTCACAGGCACCCCCAGGATAACATCAATCTCCAACGGCCGACCGTTTTTACAATCCGTCTGCATACTACTCCCAATCCCAGGCATACCAAGTATCTTGTCCACCAATTTGCCAATCAAATCATACTCCAGCTTCACACCGCATGCACGACCGACATCGATCACCTCCCGCATTAATCTGCGCGTGGAAATCGTAGCCTCAGGAGAAGAATGTAGCCACGTCTGCGTATCGACCATCGTCAATGCAGTGGTGGAGTTCCAGGCTGCATTCCAAACGAGCTTTTCCCAGCGTTGACGCTGGATATCGGCCGGGGAGAGGAGTTGGAATCGCGTGCGGCCTGTTTCAAGGAGAGAGGCGAGCGTTGAGAGGCGGGATTCTTCGAGGTTGCTGTCGACAGCGCTATTGGGATATAGCCCGATCTGGAGGTCTTCAGATTGGGTGTGCTTGATCTGGCCGGGTTGGATTTGGGTTGCGCCGACCCATGTCTGCAAGCGTTAACTATCTGCTATGAGCTTGATGGAGGAGGATCCTCACCACACAAGTAACAATTGAACTATCCGAATGGGTTCTCCGAAACGGTTCCTCATTGCCTACGCCATTCTGGATGATGACTAGTGTCGATGCTTTGACGGATTGTAGTTGCGATGCAACAGCCTCTTGGTCGATGGCTTTGTGCGCGAGAACGATGTAGTCAAATGGTCCGGTAAGCTCGGATGGCGATCTCACCACTTTTATGCCGTTAACAATGTCCATCTCCTTCCAGGTGTAATCATACCTGCGTATGGATGAAAGCGATGCTGCCCATGGTTGGCGCTATCGATGAATATGCCCTATTCCATTAGCTCGTGTTTGGTTGGCAAGGAAATTGCTGGCAGCATACATCGTTCTTTACTGCTTCATAATTCGACCTAGCTACCACAGTCAACCGAACATTTGCATTTCGCTGCAGGATGAAGGCGTAGAAAGAGCCAATGCTATCCTTAGGTCAGTATCCATATAAACTCTTCAGCCGGGATACTTACGCCCCCAGGCCGTAAAGAAGAACGTCTATTTTGTCACTCATGATGTTTAATGCTGTATCCGGAATGAAGATGGCTTGCTTATTTCTATGCGGAGATATCGGCACAAGTCCGAGCGTGGAGTTTGCATATCCGGGGTTGTATCCCTGTGTTGACAAGGGTATGGATCGGTAACTATTGCTACAGCTTGACAAATCTAGCTACATCCCTCTCCAATCGTGCTGTGTTCAGCAAATGCTCACCCAATTCGGAGAGATTCGTGACGCCCAAAAACACCATATTGGCCTCGATCTCTTGCCTCAAGATAGTAACCGCCCGTCGAACTCCCTCCTCGCCATATCCCGACGCCAAGCTATACAGAAATGGCCGACCAAGTCCAACAGCCGTAGCACCCAGCGCGACCGCCTTGAGCACGTCCGTCCCCCGGCGAATCCCCCCATCGATGAAGATCTGCATGCGACTCCGCAGTAGGAACGGCGCGTATCGCCGGATTTCTAGCAGGGTGAGAAGAGGCGGTTGCGCAGTGTCTTGGGATCTGCCTCCGTGGTTGGAGAGGACGATTCCTTGTACGCCGTTTTCGTAGGCCATAATCGCGTCTTCGACGGTCTGGATGCCTTTGATTACTATCGGGAGTTTTGTAAGGTTGCGAATCCAGGTTAGGATGTCCCAGTCGATGAAAGGAGAGATAGTGCTGGCTCTGGTTTTGGCAACGCCTGCACCGCTCGTTTGATTATCGCGGGCCTACAATGTTAGCAAATGGAGGATAATCTTGGTATAAACATACCTGAACGGCCAAGTTCACCCTCTCATCCATCTCCCGCTTGCCAACGACCGGAGAGTCAACAGTGAGCCAGATAGCACTCGCTCCGGCCTCTTCAGCCCGTCGAATATGTTCCTCAGACCTACTAATATCTCGATTCACATATAATTGGCAGAAAAGAGGCTGGTCATCGTTGACTCGGGCCTCCCTCACATTCTCGATGGGAATACTCGACCCGTTGGCTAGAACCTGAGCCAGTCCTTCTTTTCCTGCAGCCCTGGCAAGGGCGCATTCACCTTCAGGATGTGCCAGTTTCGCAAGTCCCACAGCTGATATGTATACCGGGAGAGAAACATGGTGTCCCAGGATCGTGGTTGTAGTATCAACGGCGGGGATGTTGCGCAAGATGCGCGGACGCAGGAGGACTTGCTGGTAAGACTGCGCATTTTCTCGCTTGCTATATTCGTCATCGGCTCCGGAGGAGTAGTATGCCCAGGCATTAGGCGAGAGATGCTGTTTCGCAACTTCTTCGAAATCGTGCAGGTTGATGATGTGGGTTAGGGGAGGGGGTGTATTTTCGTCGGGGAGAGATGCGTTGCTCCCCTGATCCGTAGATTTGGCTAGTGTACCTGGGTCAATACCCCCGAGACAAGCAGAAGGAGGTAGGGACTGGTCCATTAGCTGGATATCGTGAACCGCATCAAAGTCGTCGGTGGCATCTTTGCCGGCGCATCGTAGGAGGACCTCTGGGCCTCCGGGATGAGAATCCAGGAAGTCTGCAGATGTTAATAGGCGAACTAACAATTCGTAAATGAGAATTACCTGTTACATCGTAGACGGAACCGTGAATGGCAATCCAACACGATTCTCGATTGTTATGCTTTTCGACTTCCTCGCTGGTCAACATGACATGCAATCGCCCTAATAGTTATACCTCTCCCAAAATTCGATATTGGAGTATCGCATCATGGCATACTGCCTTCTATAAGTATTTAGTCTTATAGAGAATGAAATGCGGAGAAATGTCCGCTACGGCGCATCCCCGATGCTGACCCGGATAATGACACATTAAGGCGGCTGTTTACACAAGGGTCAGGGACCAGTGATCAAGATATAGATAAACAACATCTTCAAGATACAGCAGTCGGCTGCTATAAATAAGAGCATTGCGACGGACACATTGGCGTGAGAAAATATGTCGGAGTGATGGCACTAATCGGCTCAAGATATACGGTTCCGTTCTCGATTGTTGAAAATAATCCATTTTTACAACTGTTCAACCTCGTCAATTCCCATGCTTTTTCAAGTCTGCAACTTCATACCAATGACAATGATGAGCCACATGAACAAGATGAGGCGGACGGCCACAGATCCACTTTGGCTAGCGAGTATCTGGTGGGGTCGAAGTACGATACAGAGCGCCTACGGCATGAAGGCCTAACCCCCCCATCTCAACAAAAACAAATATTTTCACAGTTATTTCTCAGAATATTGGGTATATTCGTACCCCTTGATGTGTTTCTCGACATGTCTTCTTCCAGAGTCATTCTTGCCGGAGATGCTCCCTATGATCTGGTGCTATACCCACAGAAATCAGCACTCGGACAGCGCAGTCTTCAGATCGACAAGTCGAGGCAGCGCATGGAGTGGTTATGGGGAGGAATACAATTGATTTCGGACCTTTTACAAGCAGCGCAGCCTAAATTGGAAATATGTTGCCCTTCCGTTAAGCAGCACGTTATGGGCTCTGCGACAGATTCTTCCGCTCGGCATCTCCTTCAATTGAGTATCTATGACAATCGTTTGCACTCTAGGAGTACGTCTTCGGTCTCTTATAGCGTGGAGAATATCACCACACTCGAGAGAGAAGGGGAGTGGTACTCGCCCACGGACGCCAACGGTACGTCTGGAACAACGATATTGGTACTGGAGGATAAAGAAGACGGTATTATCGACAATGATGATGCGATCGACTTCTTTCTGCAAGCTCGACCTGACTTTGTCGTCTACCATATGAGCCATCCACTCGGTTCAGGGAAGCTCTGGGACGTGGTTCGCCTCGGACCTTTTAGGCGTGATACCGGAAAGAAAGATCCAACCAAGCTTGTTGTGGTGATCTCTGCTGATGACCTGCGTGGCGAAGGTGTGGAACTATCCAAGGGTCTATCCTGGGAAAAGACATGCGAGGATTTTGTATTGAATCTGAACCCCAACGGCAAGCTAGCCACCCTTGCGACTTGTGCCCATCTTGTTGTTCTCTTTGGGTGCGACGGAGTGATCTATCGCCAGGGTCAAGGGGACGAGAAACAAAGCTTGTTCTTTGATCCATCCCGAACCGAGGGTGATTATGTCAAAGGAAGATGGGTGCCAGGCATGACCGAGGCGTTTATCGCAGGGGTGACATCCCATTTGGCTCAACAGCCACATCCGGGCCTGGATAAAGGCATAGTCTCAGGTCTTCAAGCTGCCAGATGCTTGGTGACCGAAGGAATCCACAGCCAAGGCACGAAGGCATGTCCTACTCATCCGGTTCAGTTGGTGATGGAGGATATCGGACCCAAAGATCTCCTGTATATCACGGTACCTTCGGAAGACATCTGTGGCGGGGCTAATCCGGACTGGAGTATACTTGCAAGTCTCCCAGAAAGCGATGTAATTGAAATTGCTCGTGACATCGTACGGGAAGGGCCGTCTGCTGGTCTCCGTCAAGTACCCATGGCAAATTTTGATCGACTGTTCGTTTATGACCGGAAGGAGATGGAACAATTTCGATCTGTTTATGGTACCATCAAAGCGTATACCGCCAGAGAATCCACGAGCCCGCTCAACATCGCGCTTTTTGGCCCAGGAGGCAGTGGTAAGAGCTTTGCCGCGATGGAGGTTGCGGCCACAGCATGTTATCCTCATAAAACCGCACGTTTGCACTTCAAACTGACTGAATTTGTGCAACTCGACGTCTTATTGAATGCACTTAATTCCATTCGCAATTCCACACTAGCGGGACATTTAACACTCGCATACTTCGAAGGATTTGACAACAGTCTATCGGATAAACCTCTGGGATGGCTTTCCTACCTATCTCGCTGTATGTTTTCTGGCACGTTTCTCGATATAGACGGCAATAGAAAGCATATAGGTCGGGCCGTATTTCTTCTCGGATCAGGCCATGCTGCAACATTCGACGAGTTTGAACAACGTTTGCAGTCACTGGCAATATCCGGGAAATCAACAGCGAACTACTCAGACTTCATCTCTTCTATTTACGATACAGTGGATATACGAGGACCAGACCGCTGCCATTCGTTCGACACAATGTTCCCAGTTCGGCGGGCTGTAATTTTGCGGGATATGCTCGATGAGATAGCACCATCTTTGAAGGTTGGAAACCGCTTCCCCATTGAGGACGACGTTCTGCATGGCCTACTTCTCGTTCCCAAACTGCGCCATGGGACGAGATCACTACGCTCCTTGTTAGAGATGTGTAGATTCAGCTCGCGACCGACATTTGATCGGATGGTTCTCCCTCCACCGTTTCAACTCAGGTTGCACATTGACTATGATGAGTTCAAAGAATCTATGGATTCCCGGAAAAGCCAGGTGACTTGAATTATTTTATGAAGTCAACATTTTACCTCCTCCAAATTGAAACGCATGACGCATTAGTAGCATATGGGGCCTCATGAACTGGCGGGTTGTATAATAGCCCCATCGTTAACTACTCGATTTATTGATATCGAGCTAATCGTGCAATTACAGAGAACACCCATATGAGCAGCCATCGCGCGGCCTCTACAGGATAGAATAATTTTGATTTTCGGGCACCTTGGGCACGATTAATTCCATCGTGGCTTGTGAATGCCCCGCCCACCATAGTCGGCGCTTAGAGCAGTCTCGATTCGCTCTTATTCGATACCACCACAACGGATCGACTCGCGGACCGGGCAACTATGATAATTCTGCTGTGTCGTATGAATTCGTTTGCAATATTCGGATCCTGTTATTGGTACTTTGTACATTTGAGGCGTGCTGTTATGCATTAGCAGCTTAAAGCGGAAATAGAGAATGCACATCGGATACTGAGCGTTTACGGCACAGTGCCACTCGTGTTAGCCTGATTGCTCGATAAAGTACGATTAAAATAGAATAATAATGGATATGAGGACATATTACAACAAAATATAAGATCTCCTTGTCTTTCCCGCCAGCCCGGATGACAATCAACCAAGCATATTCTAACGTTATAATAATGTACCAGGGATTAGAGTTAAGCACAAGAGCTATTGAGGTATTAAGGTTATACCTTATTTTGGAGAAATTGCTGACAGATTCAGAAAGCAGGGTGGAAAGTACACACGCCCCTCCAGTTACAGGATCTAGATTCCGATGCAGCCGAGCATTTTATTCAAAAGGATTGCAAGGTATAATCGCGTCCCGACCGTGGAAGAGATACGCGACTGACGTTTGAAGCGAGACCTGCGTATAAACTGGGACGGGGATTGCCTCCGGTGTCTGTAAGTACGCGTACGAGTAGCACCATCGAATCGAATCCGGTTAACTTGGATAGGGTCGTTGATCTCGAACCTCAAGAGCGGGTAGCAATCAAAGATCCAGTCTTGCAAACTGCGCTCCGAAAAGGATGGATTCCAGCGGAGTTTGTTCGTCTCCTGGGGAGTGGGAATGCGAGTACATCGCTCCTGTGGACGGCTGACCGACGAAGTAAGTATTATCTTTCCGGATAACGCTCGGACGAGTGATACGAGCTTGATTTTGTCTTCCAGGTCTTTTTCTACAATTACCCAAAGATGGCAATGGTTTGGTCACGATGATTCTCACATGCCTACCATCCGTGAGACCAAATGCAAGATGTCAACCCCAAACCGACTGGGCCTGTATCCTCCTGTCTTCCAATGGTGTCGACATCGAGAGCCTACTCGCTAAAGACCCCTTCCCGAATGATTATACGAGAATGCCGGCAGACTTTATGATTCTCCCCGTGAGCTTGTTTCGATGGCGGGTGGAACTGCTCGTCGAAGAATTGGAGAACCTCACCCGGAATGTGGTGAATGAGGAGGAACAGCTGATATCGGCAATTGAGCTGTCTGAGCTTGACTCGATTCGGAAGAGCATATTCGAGCTTGGAAAGGTGCAATTGCGATTACGGAGAAAATGGGTCTGTACGCTGGAGGTCGCGACGACGCTCTCGCAGTATTTCGACGCTATTGAACGGCGATACGGAGAGGAAGAAGTTGCACCGCGGTATTCCGAGATTCTTAGACAGAGAGTTCGAATGGATGCACAGCTTTGTGGGTCATTGGAGTATGACTTGCAGATCATACCATCGAAAATCGATTCCCAGCGCCAGATGGTATGTCTTCCACGAGAATTCGGGAGTATCACTGTTAACATGTTGCAGATCGACAGTAGATTCCACATGATGGTAGGAGATTCATCCACACCGGCAAAGACGGGGTTAATCAAGCATATGCGCACTAGATTGCTCAAAGCTCTGCCAAAACCGCAGAGGAATCCCAAAAAGACAGCTCGTCCATGAAGACCATGTCGATCATGACACTAATATTCTTGCCGGGGACCTCAATTGCGGTTAGTAGGGTCAATTCTTCCAAGATGTTTGAAGGGTACTAAGAGAATGGCAGTCTATTTTCAGCATGGGAGTCTTTAACTGGGACGCCAAGGATGTTAGACACGTTGGCAATCAGTACTTATGGCTTTATTTTGCGATTGCTATTCCTTTGACCATTGTAGTGTTGTTGACTTGGTACTCATGGGTCAAGTTGAGGCAAAGGAGGAAGGAAGCGAAGAAAAGTGAAAAGGATAAGTGTTAAGAGTGGTTGATAGACTGCACCGTTTGTCCATTTCTTGTTTGACGTATTATAGAATAGAATGCTAATGTCAACGAGTCAACGAATCATCAAATCCTGCCGCTTCAAGTAATGAATCTCCCCCATCATTATTCCATGTACATATGCATAGCCCCTGATGTGATAGTATTGGCCCTCGGGTCGCAGGACCAGTGGATATGTGCATCCAGGCACAATGACAACGATATCACCCGGCACAGTCGACGTTATGCAACACCCAACGTGGCCATCTTCAGTAACGAAGAAACTAGAGTCGGGATACTCGAAATCCCAGATGGGCTTTCCAAACGTGTGACCGTCTGCCTGTGCGGATTCTTCTTGTAACTCACGCGGTATGTAGTTATTCAGTATCTCATCGTCGATTATCTTCATGAGATAGGCAACGAAAGTCCGCGTTGCTTTGTTGACATCGGCGACGTGGTTGTTCTCGTCAAGGCTGAACAAGAAACTCATGGCGAGGGCAGCAACAAGTTCGCGCTTCAGCGGCTCTCCCGCCGGTTGACTAGCTCTCGCGGTTTGCAAAATGGTTTCCCATTTTCGTTTCAAGGTGTGGCGTCCATCCGGAGACTCGATCATCACCTTACCAAAGAAGGCCTGGTTATACGGCTCGACGGATTTAATCGAGCGGTATATAGAGCCAGAGACGGTCAGGATATTGGTGGCTGGGTCGATAATCCATGCCGGCTCTCTATCTCCGGCTGGCCTCCATGGTACGGGGCTGCTAAACCTGAACGGATTTCGGAATAGCATCGGTTTATCCCAATGAGGAATCCACGATGGACTCTCGTTTGCTGCGACGTATAGCAGAGCATCGAGGTTGTGAAATTTAAGGAATGATGCTTCGACGGCGTCCCGGTAGACATCTCGTAATGGTTTGCTGTAGTCAGGTTCCAGCACAGGCGTCACGATAGAGTGTTTCAGCAGACCGCGTAGACCGTATACCTTGTCTCGAGGATCCGCGCTTTTAAAATTCGATGCGAGATACAGCGTCGTGAGCCAGTTCCTCGGCTGCCGAATTTGTCCGGTCGTCAATATCGTTGCCCACCAGCAGTGTGTCTTATCAAATCCAAAACGTTTGGAAAATGCTCCATCCAAAATCATATAGCCCGCAACCAGCTCTACCCGTTCCCATTCCACAGTTTCATGACCGCATTGGACTGATCGACGTTTGTTCGCGTTTATTTCTTCGAAAATGGATACGCCCGTAAAGTATGCGTGCGAGTAGAACCAAATCAAGGAATGCCATATTGTCTCGGTGCTGAATTCGCATTTGTTGGGAGAGGGAAGTTTCTTGCGGTTTTCGTATATGATATCTCGGTAGACATTGCTAGTCACGCTGATTTCCGGGAGGTAACGTTGAAGAGAGCGGCAGAGGAAATCTGAGATTTGAATGATCGATTTAACGGCAATCTCAGCCAGATGTCCAGCGGTGTCCGATCCAATCCAAATAAGTGTTTTCTGGGATGCTCTGTAAATGGCGTGCACGAGACGGGCTTGATGGCTTCGTTCGGCGGTGTTTTTTCGGTCGACACTGAGACTTGTCAGCTAAAGTTTATAACTAACATTGGAATCTGCGATTTCACTCTCACTCACCATAGTTCATGAGCCCATAAATACCGCGGTTCGTCTTCCAACCGGAGATGGACCAGTGCTCTCTGAAGGTTTGCACTGATCTTAAGTTTTACCTTGTCACAAGTAACAGTTATCTTCGCGGTCGAGTCGTCCCAGATGTAAGAAATGGCTTCGAATTTAGGAGGGCCGTGCAAGTCTGCGATTTCCGTCTCGCAGAACATCGGGTCTCTGCGTTTGCCGGGCATGAGTTTGACTATCCGGAATGAACTCGTCTCCGGCAGATCGTCGAAGTGGTGCGATTTTGATTCGGCATTGCCCATCTCGACTGAAAATGCCTCGTCCTTGGAAATATCCTTGGAGATGTGTTCGACCGGATGCCGGATGACGGGTTCGCTGGGCGATATAAGACCCGACATTTTGTTTGCTTGTTTGCTCAGTTATTATTATCTATGCGACGTTAGTGTTAATGGCCCAATCAGTAGCCTTCCAGATAGCAAGGATGTCTCATTCACACTCGATTGTAGGTAAGCAATTGCGAGTAATCGGCTTGGCCTCATATACCAAGAGTGTCGAAGGGGTGGAAATGTCAAATAACAAGCTCTGCCGAGATTCCTCCCCGGCGAACACGTCCGCCGAAATAGCAGCTGTGGAACCATCACGATAGCCGGAGGTCATGATCCAATGAATTTGTCTATGTTCGGCTGCCGAGGATTTGTTTAATCGGATCTGAACAATCAGGTTCTCCATGGTTGATATATCCTTCGAATGAGGTCATGGACTTTGTCAGCTTACTGGATTGAGACCTTCCTATATTGGTACATCACGTGAAAATGGCGAACCTATCTTGTCATATCTTGAGATACTGCTTCATTCTTTCGCTCTTAGACAATACATATACTGGATGAGATCCTCACATGCGAAGAGGTTGCCAGAAGAGTCATCGAACGACGGACGATAGCTGAAAGGCATCTGAAAGTACAAAATCGCCGCATACAACATAGAGGGTTGAAAGTCGAGACCACTAGGGTTACGAGTTCTCTCTCTCTTTTTTTTTTTTTTTAACTTTATTTTGTCTTAGTTGTTTAATCTTTTGGTCTGGTGTTGTTCTGCTTATTGTGGTTGCCGCCACTTGCACGAAGACTGCTAATATATGTATAATTGCGGTACTTCGTAACACTCGAGACACCACTCAACCAAAGGCAAGCGATATATTCTCCGATAAGCCATGCAGCTTATGCAACCTCACGCAATGAGACGAAATGGGGACGATAAGGGCATATTGTATTACTGTGGAAGGGTCCGACGGCCAACGGAACAGCATGACAGTAGAAGACGATATTTAGCTGCCACTATCGCAAGCAATCTTCCTCGACCATAGATATGGAGATATTTGCTATGGTTACTGAAATGCTAGTACGATATAATGGGCATCAACAACTGATAGAAGCAATGACGAAAGACTAGGACGATATGAAAGCTACATCGGAAGTCCTCCGGTCCAGCACATGGCACCACATTGATTGGTCTGATATTGCCACAGCACAAGAGCATGTCTACAAAGAATATGAACATCACTCCCTAATGACTCGGGTATCAATATCATCCCCACGGGGAATGCGGGGACGAATATCCCCCACGCCTACCCCGGAATGTCAGACAGAGGTGCGTCATCCGAATTCGTCTCGAGGTCCATGGATGTCTGGATAAAGCTGGCTGTTGTCGAGCGTACAAATCATTCAAGCCACTCGATGCTGTAACGATGACAGAACGATCGGTACATTCTCCTACCGCGGAAGAAGGGAACAAATCGTCAACGTCCCATTTTGAGGACTCTCAGCGTACTATCCCCGAGAAAACTCACAATGGCGATACGGCACTTGCACTCTTTGCACATGGAGAGGGTCAAAATGAACCCATCGACCCGGCAGAGAACAAACGACTGGTGCGCAAAATCGACTGGATGATTTTGCCTTTCCTGTCAATCTGTTACGCATTCTACTATGTGAGTATTCTGTACTCTCCCATCATAGCCGTAGCTAATTGAAGATTGACAAAACAACCCTCTCATACGCGGCCATCTTTGGCATCAACGAAGACCTGGGTCTCTCCGGCGAGCAATACTCCTGGCTATCGAGTGTGTTTTACTTCGGATTCCTGGTCTGGAGCGTACCGACAAACTTCCTCCTCCAAAAGTTTCCAGTGGGAAATACCTGGGCGTGAATATTATTCTATGGGGAGTATTTTTGATGCTTCAAGGTGTGTCACCTAGTTCCAATAGGTTATGCTATGGCTGACAATGCAGCCGTTGCAAAAAACTTCGTCCAACTCGCCGTCCTCCGTGTCATCTCCGGTGCCGCAGAAGCATGCAGTGACCCAGCCTTCATGCTCATTACGAGCATGTGGTATACTCGTCGTCAACAACCTATTCGAATTGGTCTATGGTACACGGCTAACGGCGCCGGTATTGCTATCGGTGGCTTATTGGGCTACGGCATTGGGCAGATTAAGGGTGCTCTGGCTTCATGGAAGTACGAATTCCTTATTATCGGTGCGCTCTGTGCTATCTGGGGTATTGTGATTACTATCTTCCTGCCGGACTCGCCTGTTACGACGCGGTATCTGTCTAACCGGGAGAAGTGGGTTGCCATCGAGCGGCTGCGAGATAACCAGACCGGAGTTGAGAATAAACACCTTAAATGGGCGCAGGTCTGGGAGGCATTGACAGACTGGAAGGTGTGGACATTTCTTCTGCTAGGATTGTCAGGGAATATACCCAACGGAGGGATCTCAAACTTCGGAACTTTGATTATTCAAGGTTTTGGTTTTTCCACCCGTACGTGTTCCATCCACCATACACAACGTCGATACTAATGAAGCAGTCATCACAACCCTCATGCAAATCCCCTACGGCACCCTAATCGCCATCCTAATTCTCCTAGCCGTCTTTCTTAACGACCGCCTCCCACCAAATAACCGCTGCTACGTGACAGTCTTCTTCCTCCTCCCTAATGTCGCCGGGTCATTCGGTCTCGCGTACCTCCCGGAAGGCAACAAGGTTGGCCGGTTGATCTGTTACTACCTGACGGGCTCATATAACGCTTCCTTCGTGCTTATCCTCTCAATACTCACTGCGAATATCGCCGGGCATACGAAGAAAGTCGTTACGAATGCTATGATCTTCCTGGGTGTTTGTGCGGGTAACATCGCGGGTCCGTTCTTTTACAAGGATAGTCAAGCACCGCGATATCCACTGGGAATTTGGTCGATGATCGTGGCAAATTTTATTGAGATTGCCCTGGTCTTGATGCTTAGGATTGCGTTGGCGTTGGAGAATCGAAGACGGGATCGGGTGCAGGCTGAGCAGGGACGGAGAGATCTGGATGAGACGGCGTTTAGTGACTTGACGGATAAGGAGAATCTCAATTTCCGGTATATTTACTAGGATAGTATTCTGGATAGAAATGCAAATATATCATTTTGAACTATTACTTTTGCATATGTTGAGCATACACTTGACATAACCAAGGGAGCCATGTATCAGGAACATCATGACCTCGGTCAATAAGCAAATCCAGGCCTGGAGTTTCTCCGTCCCTCCTTGTCTTCTGTCAACCATCTCTGTCTATACCCCGGACTAAGCAATACATAACCCCGCCCATGCGGAGACGTGGGGGCATCACTCGGACTATACTCCGACACATATATCATCCAGCATACATACACACGCTTACACTCCCATCCATCTATACACATACTCAGCAAATGGACCTCTTCACACTAACAGGCCGGACAGCCCTCGTCACCGGCGGCACCCGTGGCATCGGCCAGCAGATGGCTGTAGCCCTGGCTGAAGCGGGTGCCGATATCGTTTTAGTTCAGGTATCCTGCCCAGCCCCTTCTACCTGGATACGCAGAGTAGTAACAAGAGCAGCGCGACGAAAGCAACCTCGAAACAAAATCACACATCGAATCCCTCGGCCGTAAAGCATCCATTTATACCGCCGACCTATCAAACCGCGAAGACGTCTCCTCACTCGTGAAAAGAGTCCTCAGCGACGAACATGATATCTCCATCCTCCTGAACTGCGCGGGAATACAAAGACGGCATCCAGCTCATATCTTCCCTGATGAGGATTGGGATGAGGTAGCCCTTTCCTTTCCCTTATCTTGCGCCAGGTATGGCGGTTGACGAGTGCAGGTTCTCCAAGTAAACCTCTCCACAATCTTCGCGCTGTGCCGCGACATAGGCGCATACATGCTCACCCGCCCCACGAAAGACAACCACCGCGGAAACATACTCAACGTCGCCAGCCTCGTCTCCTTCCAAGGCGGCCTCACAGTCCCCGCCTACGCAGCCGCCAAAGGCGGCGTCGCACAACTCACGAAAGCCTTATCCAATGAATGGGCGTCACGGGGTGTTAACGTTAACGCCATTGCGCCCGGGTATGTAGCTACGGATATGAATGAGGCGTTGTTGAGGGATCAGCAGCGTGCGGAGAGTATTCTGGCGAGGATTCCGATGGGGCGGTGGGGTGCGCCTGAAGATTTCAAAGGGGTGACGGTTTTTCTGGCGAGTCGGGCGAGTGCGTATGTTACTGGGGAGGTTGTTACGGTTGATGGGGGGTGGATGGGGCGGTAGTTACTGTCCCTGGGACAAGGGTATCGATATGTATTGTCTATACAATGTTAGGGCCCGCCCATATACGCCGACCATCCAATCCAATTACCCAAAATATCAACAATATAATATAATACATAGAATCGAAGATCATTATACATCAGTCATTATATATGTCCATGTTCATTTGGAGTCTGAGTCTCGGGGCTCGGTGGGTCCCGGCCTGGCGGCTCCCGGCCCAGCTCGCGGAGCTGGATATCTCCCGCTTTCGACGGGTCCCATTCACCTGCTGGTTGTGGCGGCGGTGGAGGAACGTCTTGTTCCTCGTCGACGGCAAAGCGCCATCGGCCGTCTGGGCTGAGGAATGCGCGGAATGCGTAGCGTTTGTTCAAGCGCTCTAGGTGTGCGCGGCGGTCGGTGTTGGTCCAGGTGTATGTGCCTGGGAAGTCGTTGAGCATCCGGCTGTGGGCCAGCCACGGGATGACGGCGCCAATTGACCGGGGGATGCGTGGGCCTTTGAACCGGCCGCGGCGTGTGCCAAAGACGACGAGGACGACCAGTGTGTCAAACGCGATGATCACTAGCGCGATGGCAAGCGACGGGACGGATGGATCCATGGCCCACATGCTATAGATCGCGGTGGAGTTCTTGGCTGGATATGGGTCCTGCAGTGGTTGAAGGTAGATTTCTCTCCAAATCGAGAAATAGGTGCTATACACCCACTGGTACACTGTTCGCGATACCTCAATGAGATCCGCCGCGTTGAGTTCAGTGATGTTGGTTTCCCGTTGTTGGTAGAGACGTGACACCAGAAAACCGGCCCAATCGTATGATGCAACATAGGAACCATTTCCAGCCGATTGGTTGCCCATGTAGCTTTGAGGAATGGCGGCAAAGACTTTGTTGAACTGGCCCACGCTGGCAGTAGCGTTGTCGTACATTTCACCGCTGTTGATGGCAGTCGAATTGATCGGATGGTACTCTTCGATCTGGCCTTTCTGGTCGAAGAAGATTGAGTATTCCTCTATCTCCATCCGCGGTTCGCAGTGCAACGCAACGGTATTCTGGTCGGTAACAGGAGCACCAGGCTTGTAGTTCCATCGACCGAGGACCACCACGGTCGACGTCTGACACAGATCCGTTTCGTCAACGGCCACGGGCGAGAGAAAGTGAATCGATAACGAAATCCCCGAGGTGGTGTTCTTCAATGAAGTCATGTCAACCTTGCATCGTCTTTCCGGGGCATCGAAAGGGTTATATTCCCAATACACGCGGCCCTCCTGGTAATCGTCCACCAGGTTCTCTGAAATTTCCAACTTTTGGCAATCCAAATCAGCTCCAACCCCAAGAGTGTGCGCACTGTACACGGCATTTGGATCGGGATCTTTGATTTTGATCGGGACAAACGAGTGGTTCGTGCTGGTCCAGGCCACCATTGGGACGCCGCTGGTGATGCTGGATTGGATGAGGTCGTACTCGGTGAAATCAGCTGCGAAATCGGTGCGCCGGAAGGTAGTCTCGCTATAGTTCGTAAGCAGTGTGTCAGTGGGTAAGTAAGAGGTGGCCAATTTCTGGGTGAACAGTCCACCAGCCACCACCGTGAGTACGGTGTTGACGACACAGGCAACGGAAACCAGGCCCAATAACAGATGGCGGTCTCTGGAGGCTTTGTAAAGGACAGCCCAAGGATTCTGTCCGGCGTAGTTCATCGACAGTGAGGTTCGGGCTGCTGCCATTCCCCTTTGAAGATGGACCCACGGTTCGAGGATGCTGAGGTTTCGGTGAATCGAGGTGCAAAGGGACCCAACGGCAGAGGCAACAATGGAGGGCAAGACGGAGAGAACGACTTGGAGAAAACTGGAATCGGATTGTGTCAAGTGTCGGAATTTACCGTTTCGTGCGAGTAAACCAATGATCAATGCCATGCCGGCGATCACTGCTGTCAGAAGAAGGAATTCGAGGATGAAGACGGGAATGAGCAGAAAATGCGGCATTGGGTCGACTCGAGCTTGGAGGTTTTCGCCTAGGTTTTCAACCAGTGACGCTGGTTCTGTCAGTACCCAAACACTTCACAATCCATGCAGGGGAGTTAACTTACCATCATCCTCGGAAGGCCGAATCTCTAGACGTTTGCCCGTCGGTCCATCTTGCCAGTGAATGCGCGAATTCCGAAGTATCCGTCGTAGCTGGCGCGTAGAAAACTGATGCAAGTCGAATCGCGAATCGGTGAGGATGTTGGAAGGACTAAACACATCGGCCACCATGCTGCACATGGCGCTGATCGGGCCAGGATCGCTTTGCATAATGTTCGGTCGGCGGTGGTAGATGTAGACCAACAAGAGACTGATTACAGTACCAGCTGCCAAAACGACCTCAGACCAGAACGCCGCGAACCCGACGGTAGCGATGGCGACTTGATTGCTTAGACGGGTGGCGTGGATTATGGCAGGCTTCTCGTCGGGATCGAAGAGACGGCCCATGGTGAGGACGAAAGTCTGCTTGACTCCCCTCACCACTTTGGACTCGAACTCGTCTGGGGACATAACACTCGATGTATCCAGAATGAGGACGGGCTCCATATCACCCAGTTGCTGGCTGATAACGGGAAGTTCGGTTACGGTGGTATCGCCAGAGGTCTCGTTGACTCGGATATAGAGCAGGTCACTCGTATACGGGGCGCGTTGCGACAATAGATCCTGAAAGTCTGGGACGTTGAACTGCTGAGGCGTCAATTCCCTCGTCGTACCATTGTGAATCGAGATGCTTGTGATGGAACTGTTGGCATGCATCGAGACCTCAGCCTCAGCCTTGTTGTATTTGATGTCACAGGCGAAGATGCTGGCGGAGGATGTGTATTGGGTCGGAGTGGATACAGCGTCAGACGAGGCATTGACGCTAAGAAGAACGCCGTAGAGATCGAAAGGGTCGCAGCCTCTAGCCTTGAAGGCCTTTTTGGTTGCCACGGCGGCCAGACTCGTATTAGCTGACACCGGTTCCCAGTAGCGGACTTGGAGCTTGTCCGTCATGGAAAAGAGCATGCTGCTATAATTGAAGTCCAGCTTGCAGTCATGTATCGTTTCGCCGTCCTTCTTCAACGGGACTCCTGTCACGTTCCAAGAAACTGTAGGGTCTTCCTCCGAGCCATCCACAATCACCGAAACCTTCTCATTCACGACGACATCCTGACAAATCGGTTCGGTCCAGTAGACGGTTTGATTCATGGTCCATACGGTGCTCTCTCGCTGATCGCCTCCTGGAATCTCGACGGGGGCGACGGCGTACTTGGTGGATCGCGAGCGTTGCAAATCATCGTTGGAAGAGACCACCGAGTCGAAGTTGTTGCTGGCCTGGGAAGCCATCCAAGTGGCCTGGGTTTGTAGATCGACCAAGTCGGGCCAGCCGTGCATGGTTTCATCGGACAGAAGGGTGACCTCGCGCAATTCGAACAGTGTACTCTGTAGTGCCGGGAGTGACATGCGCATCAGCATCGTAAAGACCGACACACATAGAACCACCCAATGACCTCTCCGCGCGGATGTGATGGGAGTGATAACCGATTGACCAAAGTTGTAGTTGATGAACAGGACAGTGGCCGGGGCACCTTCGGGTCGGGAAAGCTGAAAATACGGTTCGAGACGCAAGACATCGAATTCGACGAAGCTCCAAAAGGTGACGAGCACGAGGGCAACGATTATTGGGACGTAGTTGTATGCGAATGACTGAATATGCGACACGCTGGCGGTATCCTTGAAGTAGATCAAACCCCCATTCCACTCACTATATCGGCGCAGGATCTCGATAGCCAGGAAAATGACGAACATCAAAACGGCGACGAAGAGGAGGTAAAACGGACGGAGGGAAATCGGACGCCATCCTTGCGAACGGTGATAGCCATGACGGCGCGTTGATCCGCGGGGGAGTTGACCTAACAAAGAATCAGACTTGATCGTTATCAATCACAGGGAAACAGAGGGACATACTGGACCATTGCAGCGGATCCAACAGCTTCTTCACCAAACCCCCGGACATGCTTATACGGCATGCCCTCCGGGAACGCAGTGGTGAAAGAGAGTCAGACGGGATGTCATGGCCTGATTCAAACGAGGTCACCGGTGGCAGTAGTAGTAGTAGTAGTAGTGGTGGTAGTAGTAGTAGTAGCAGTAGCGAAGGCTCACGGCGACCATCTCCGACAAAGTGATATCGAGGAGAGAGGTTAAAGAGATGGTAGAGAAGGTTAAGGTACAGAGTAAAAGAGTGAGATGAAGCGGCCGAAAGACGATCCTGTCCCGGTTCCCAATTGGGAAAAGAGCAGATCTTGATTTGGACTAGCTGCTAGTCTCTTATTGGACAGTGTGGCTGTCAACCAATCAAAGAAGCTTTTAAATCGCGCCAACCGGTTTTCCCCACGTCCAAAGGGGCTAGTGTTGCGGGTCCAGGGGGAGGCAAACTTTCTGATTGGTTTAAAGTTGCCACAGACGCGTGGCTGAGTTAATCCATGGTCGTCATGTCACCTGACATCACCTGACCCGTTACCTGAGCATAACTGCATAGTGTGCACAATTTGTACAGTACAGAGCACACCTCTCTTCACTACAGTCCGTACATAGTACTTCGGTACATGGTACAATGACCGGGAATGATGGCAGACAGTGTACGGAGTATTACTACTCCGTCTGTACTCCGTATGACTCCAGACGTTTGCCTCCAGGTCCATGCTTTGCCAAGGCGATCGACAAGTGTGCTGTCTTCCCGACTCTAGAATCCCTGACTGGGTATGGATTATTCTGCGGCCAAGCTTGATCCTGAACATCATGTACTCCGGAGTAACTCACCACTTCATCGGCTTGAATATCTCGTTTTTGTAAGACTGGACCATGCAAATGTCGGTCTTCGTACTCCGGCCAAGACCCTGACTCGTCCTCGGGGGTATATCGGAGGTTCACCTGGTCAAGGCGTATATCCCGCAGAGTTTGCTATTCTCTTGAACTCAGTCAGTGCACTGGACTATTCTCGGGATCCAAAACCGCGGTCAGGTAGTATTCCGGCACATTAGTGTCCGGTTGTATAAGTCGAACCTGCCGTTATTACTGCATGATTGCAATGCTGGACCGCGAGATATCGTTGAAGAGTCTGTTCTGTCCCTCGGAGTATCGCCATGTCAATTCCTCATCGGGTATAGCGCGGCTTTCTTTCGGAGGTCCTCTCACTTCTTCTCTCCTCTTTACTACAAGTAGAAAGTACAGTATGGTCTCCAATTGACTTCAATTGACCATGGATGCGACTATATTTTCAGCATAAAATGACCTCACGGCCTCTGAACTCGTGGAGAATGTCTCGGGTGTATTTCCCGCTTTCCCTGCATCACCGGCTTGATCCGACGCTACCGTTGCCGGTACTTGTACATATATAAGTCGACCGGATTTCACCTTCAATCCAGCAATTCAATAAAAAATCAAAATAACAAGTCGCAATGAAGTTCCTCGCTGCTCTGTCCCTCTTCTCGTTGGCTTCGGCCATTCCTCTCCAACAGCGCCAATCCGACGATGCGCCGTTCAGTCTGAACCTCCGATGGTCCAACAGCCCTCTTAGCGGTCCCATCAACGCCAACGGCAGTCAATTCTGGCACGGCAAGGATACCGCATCTTTCTGCCCCGAGAACATCCCCGAATGCAAGACAGTCAACACCACTTCGTTTATCGGACGCGATGGCCAATTGTTCCTCAACACCGGAGTCCCCGGTGGCCAGCAGGGTACGTCTCCATATCCGGTCGATCCGGCCGATCCAAGCTAACCGTTTTAGTCTACGTCTCTCCCACCGGCCTCCTCACCTACACAGTTCCGCATAGCGCCAACATCCCCGAGGGTTCCTTGACGGATCTCGAGGTCTTCTCGACCAACAACTTTATCAACCCGTTCTTGACCTTCCACCTCTGCAGCGTGGACCAGGAGGACACTCAATGGCATCTTGTTCTGGAGTACACCAATGCTACGACTGGATCGATCATCAACAGTGGCTACACGGAGAACAATGCCTGCACGCGCGTCTCTCTCGAAGCTGTTCCCTACACGGGTGACACTGCTTGGGAATTCTCGTAGTGGCGTTCACCGACAAGTTAGCATGGCATGTACGATAACATTATATATAATGCGTGTGGTTACCAATAATTGAATATAATATCCCAACACTTCATATTAGACTCTTTTGTAGCGAGCTTCTCTGCCTTCCAATAACTACAGCAATATATTGATGCCACCATCATCAGCCACCCACCCTGCATTTCTCCCGCGTTCAGGTTTTAATGATAATAGTCGGCTTATGACTACATATATTTGCTGCCTTTGGTGGTTGCAGCGTTCCGTCTGTGTATGCCCGGAATATCTTCGAGCTTACCACGGTCTCCAAGATACGTTGGACAAAGATGGCCTTTCTCTCTGAGGCGGGGAACCACTACCATATCGTCGTCTTCTCGCGTTTTGCCGCTTTTCGCTGGTCTGGGGATTTTTCGACGTTCGTAGAGTGAAGTCCTCTGCCAATAGTGTATCCGTGGGATATGATGTGAATAACCACTTTCTGATCACTCTTCGAACAGCAAGGTTGTGCTGCTCAGATGAAGTTTCCGCTAATCAATGCTGTATGACATATAACGAAGCCGGACTCATGGCCTACATGGCCAGGCAAACCAGAAGAAAAATAAACTGCTGAAGGGATCCAGAAGATGCTCCATACGACCTGTGACATTTCCTGCTTCACAGCTGCCCGGAGTATTAACATGCGAATTTGCTTTTTAGCCTCGATAGCTGCATGGTTTTTTTGCTGCCTTTTGATGATTGCAGTGTCTTTTTTGTATAGGCCCGAGCTTCCTGCGCAGTCAATTGAACGCGTCATTATCCATAGCGAATCGTGATAGCCACACAGCCCAACATATTGCTCCAGAAGAACCGAAGCCAACACAGATTTGCCAAAAATTAGGGTTTGTCTGCTGAGGCTGGAAGACCAGAGGATCTGCGTATTCTGCGGTGCTCCGGAAGACCTTCCCCGCCCTTCAAGGTGGCACCCAACTCTTGTCTTGGGACGAAATGAGCCTCGAGCTGGATAGGATAAGTCTCAGAAGAGTCCTTTTCCATGACGGTTTCCTCGTCACTTGCTCGCCTTTGTCTGTGGTTGGCTGATATGGCTTCTTCAAATTCTTCCGCAGTACCTGAGATCCTTGTCTCATCTGTTCTAGCGTTAAAGACGAGAGCGAGAACGTGTTGCGCACCGTGCGCTTTGGATGCTCCGAGAAGAATCAATGCCCGTTTGTGGTCGACGCATCGTTCCTATCAGCCATCCTAGTTAAGCGGCAAGGAGAGCTTCAACGCACTGTCGCTTTGCTCAAAACCTTCGAACGATCCAAAGAGAACAATTAACAAAACGCACCATGCGCTCAATGTTCCCTCTAAGCGCACATTCATTCCGGGCGTGAGTGGCGAGCGTAGACTGCTTCTGAAACTGCGAACACAAGTGGAAAAGGCTTAGCCATTGTCAAACACCAGAGGGATTGTCTCGGTCCAGTAGGAATGAGAAGTAACGCGGAGCGAACCACGTCACTGTCATTCGAAGAGCATTGTCGCGAACGAAATTGTCATTTGTAAGTGTTGTACAGTGTATAACAGAGCTGGTCTGTACATGAATCGTTACCGGACGGCTATCAGGTAAGAAGAATGCGATGATGGAAGGAGTCAATATGTTTGTGGAGGTTGGGGTTGTCAGCTACGGTAGTATTCAGCACATTCACTGGTAGCCATAGTGTAAAGAGTAGAACGAAGTTTCGTGTTAGGAAAATAGTATTCACTAGCTAGAAGCGATAATAAAACGGAATCGTACATAAAGTACACGAAGAGAAGTGAAGCTGAGCAATCCCAATCATAGGGACGCATGGACGCGTTTAGTAAACAGGAATCTTAAACGCATCGAAAGAATAATCCCAGCTGTCAATCGACTCCTGGTCGTTGACACAGCTGAACGACGAGCTGTTACCCTTCCACAACGGACGAGTAGGCCACTGGCACAGCATCTGCGTCTCGCCCGCGTAAGTACCAGAGGAAACAGTCGCGTTGAGACGAGACGGCTTGACGCCATTCTCGACCCAGCTGATGATGGTCTCCATGTTGTTCTGTGGGTAGGGGCCGGGCTGGAGGGTGTTGCTGCCGCAGTGGGCCGCGCCGGGGATCAGGTAGAATTGGTACCAGTCCTCGAGGGCTTCGAGGGATTCTTCCTGGGTCAGGTTGCCGTACATGACGGAGCGGACAGCCTGCCAGTAGTGCACGGAGGAGGCGGCGGGGATACTGGGGTCGGATTCACCGTGGTAGTGCAGGAGCTTGCCACCGGAGGTCTTGAAGGTGGTCAAGTCGGGGTAGGTGGTCTGCAGGCTGTCCATGTACCGCACCATACCGATGTTCATCCAGTCGACGAGGGTGTCGTAGGTGACGCCGTTGAAGTCGGAGAGGTTGTCGATATTGAGAAGCTGGACGAATTTGGTCACGTACTCGCCGCCGATGGACGGGATGCTGAGCTCCCACTTGCCAGTGTCGTTGTTGTATTCGGTCGTCGCGTCGCTAAACTCAGAGCCAATCTGCCACGAGAGGTAGGCACGCTCGCCGTTCGAGTTGTGGAGACCATCGTAGATGGCCTGGGCAACGGCCACACCTTCAGCAGTCACAGTGCCATTCTGCTCGGGCTGGTAGCTAGTCATGCTGCTCTCCGCAGCGCAGTGGTACGACTCGCCAATGATCGAGGTCAGGTTGAAGCGAAGCTTGCACAAATCGGTCCGGGAGATGACACCGTCCGTCCGTCCGTCGAGAGGGTCACAGGCGGCGATCGTGGCGTTTACAATCTTGTCCAATTCGCAGGGAGGGGGGTAGTAGTCTTGCGTATGTTCGACAGCCGAGGGATACACGTGTTGAACCTGTTGCTGGCCGAAACGGAAGGCAGGGGCACCGGTAATAGCACCATCGTACTCCTCACCCCAGCGCTGCACCTGACTCATACCCTCGCGACCACCGTCTGAGCATCCCTCGTAGTAGGTGTAGACCTTGTCCTCCGTGTCGTAGAATCCCTGGGTGAGAACCTTACCCAGCTTGGTCATCTCACCCAACGCCTGGTAGGCGAACATGTATGTGGCATCCCAGTTGATGGATCCGTTGCCGTAGAGAACCACCTCGTCGTAGCTGTTGCTGAACGCGTCGTAACCGGCATCGGTAGCACCACCAACAGCACCATACTCCAGACCACCAGTGGCATCGTTGGAAAGAGAGAAACCACCACCACCGGCAACGTAGAAACGAGAGTTGAAGTCGGAAGGCTTGGGGAAAGCGTACTTGATGACGACCTTGTCGCCCTTGCCGGTGTGGGTGTAGGCGACGGTGACGTTACAGTAGGTGTAGGTCTCGGTGCTGCCCATACCAGCAGAAGCGTTGTAGACCGCGCCGGCCGTGACGGCAGAGGGGATCATGTCCATGCCCAAGAGGGTTCCATTGGCGGGCAAGGCCGAACGCACATTGGAAACGGTACAGACATCGGACAAGGATTTGGCGTTGGCAGCCGTTGCCAGAGCGGCAACCGCAACGCCCTGGGAGAAACGCATGGTGGAAAGGAAGAATGTAGAGAAAAGACCGTACTCTGCTTTGAAAGAAAGAAAGAATGTCCTGGCAGGAAATAATAGTCGACGGTGCGGGTGGAAGGTGACCTTTATATCTTGTCTCTAGCCGGGATTTGAGAAGATCTAGGAATGACCACGGCCTTAATCAGCGACTGGCGAGTCGTCATCCGTGGCTTCGCACGTCCGGTGAGCAAATCATCCTATATCGGAGCATGGGCATGAAGCAGAAACGTCGTATGGATCGTGGCGAGGGAGATGAGCTGTCCGCGTGTTCCACAATCTAGCCCAGACTGTCTGAAGAGACCCGTCGTTTCTCCTGACCGAGTACTAAGAAGAATTCTCATGCTGAACCACCACGTTCGAGCATTGAGGGCGCAGGCGGTTAAAAATATAACCGGGAGTAGATTAAGTGGAAACGACCGCGTCACGGTCCCTGGCCAAACATCAGCCCTGGTGACGCGTATCTTTCCAGGGCCGGTGATAAGATGCGAACAAGCTCATTTAGGCGCAGCCCTACTGCAGCCATCAAGGTTATCAATCCGCATCGGGCAGTGTTGGCGAGTTTTGATATTCGGCGCGGAGGCGGAGCATACAAAGACCTCCGCTCCGAGTCTTGGCACTCGCGGATCGACTCGCTGGTAGTATGTTAGCTGGCATTCGCATCTCAATATAGAAGGCATTTGTATGTTCATGTAACTGATATACCTCTTGATATAGATATAGCATATGCTACTGTATATAAGAGCCTGAATCTGTGTCTTGTCTACTACTTACAGGTACGGCGGACGAGATTACCCAAAACAGTCTCCGCCTACAGTAATTCTGCCGAAATTTTGCCGAGTCTCCGCCTTGATCGGCGACAAGATTAGAGTCTATTTTTACCACCGCTATTATACGCTGAAACTACGGAGCAGAATTGAAATTGATGAAAGGCTGGCGGATTGTAGAAGCAGACGCCGGATTCAGAGTCCTACTGCCGCGTCTACCCGTGACCTTAAACTCGGCCCTATCCGATATCCAAACGCATCTAGATAGCCCTAGCACCAACTCGATCTCGAAGGTCATAATAGGAGAACTCCATTTAATCATCAAGAAGCGCGATGTCCTTTGTACCATCCGCTCCTCTGCTGCTTCACCACAATATCCGACGTCTTATTATCCACTCTTTTAGGAGCGCCACCGTGGGAATCTAGTGTTCATTGGTAGCAGCCATGTTACGGATGAGAATGAGAGCAATAAGGATCTTGATGATCTAGCGCGTTCTTTTATACCTGTCGATTGTCCACGAGCCAAATGGTTTTGCACGCAGGAACGGGCCCGATGAGGTATCCCATGTTGCTAGATAATCTTTGTAGTCCTCGTCGCCTTTGGCAATTTGGAGAAATATTCGGTACCGGTTTATTATGATCGTCAACCAGCTAACAAAGGATCAGTCTGAAAGGGCTGATAAATGGAGGTCTAGACTTACCGGTTATTTTACACCGGGGCGAGGCCTTCTTTGGTCAAAGCTACCACCTTGGATATATCTTGCTTTGTGGTGGGCAGGATCATGGTGGTTTCCATTGCATTTTTTGCCTCAATTACGGTGTTGTTGTGCCTTGACCATTGATCCCCGTCCGGGTCAGCACGGAACGACTTGTTTTTTTTTTTTTTTTTTTTTTTTTTTCAAATTTTGCCTTTAGGCGTATTCGGTGCTGATATTTCAACTTAGCGTACAAAGCAAATGTTCGATCTTGGGACCCATGGCCCGGCCAGCCTCTTCCCAGATTTGGTCGGTTATGCCGAAATTCGCTTTCCGTCTTCCAATGCCTGCTCGCCTGTTCAAATCTCGTACGACAGCACACAACTCGTGCGTTGGCGGTGTGTGAGCCTGATACCATGATATCGCGTTGAAGCTCATGCAAGTTGGCGCATTTGGCGTTTGGCGACATGAGGCACATGGCCCTATCGCTTCAAAATATACAAACGGTTAAGTTCATCGCTGCGATCAAGAATAGAGGCTGGTAAAGAGAGTAATGGTTTTGTTATTATCTTACATAAAGTTTCGGGGGTGCTGTATATACTTTTGATCATGCCTACTCGATATTCCTCATAAGCCACCTAACTATTTCGGCGATTACGAGCATTAGGTCCTAATTCTAGTTCAATTGAGGATTGACCCATGGAAGATCAAGGGTCGGAGGCACCGAGATTATGCCCGAGACTCAGAAAATGCACATTTGTTATCTATCCATGTCATTAATGTCAGATCACATGTCTCACGTCAGACTCTGGTCAGTTTCACAACAATGTTCTTCTGACGAACAAACCAAGCGTTGGTTATCTCCCACTCAGCTTTAGGGTCCACTAGTTGAATCTGCACTGGTTGTTAGTAGTATATGGCGAATCAGGGACAAGAACGCACGTCATATGTGAGAAGCAATGATGGAATCAGCTTGTATATTTCCAACAAACTAATATTCTTCCCGATACAAGTTCTCGGACCCGCCCCAAAAGTTAAGGTTGCTCGAACCATCTTCTGTCGTCGTGCTTCGAATGCTATTTCGGATTCATCCTCCCCTCGCAGCCAACGCTCCGGTATAAAGTCCTCTGCCTTGTCTCCGAACACTGAATGGCGATGAATGATCCACGGATTGGCTCCTACGATAGTTCCCGGTGGGAGCAATGGCCCATTCGGCAACTGCAGACCACATTCTGGCACGACTCGCTCCAGCAGTAGTCCTACCGCAGGGTGGAGACGGAGGGCTTCCTTAATCACCGCGTCAAGGTAGGGTAGCTCCTGGCTCTGCTTCCAGGAAATTGGCATTGAGATCTTTCCCGCGCCTACGGCATCACGCAGTTCCTGGCAGAGCTTATTCATGACCCGTTCATCCTTCATGGTGTAGTACAGGATGGCTCGGAGAGATATCGCAGTGGTGTCGGATCCGGCGTTCATGTTGCTAACTGTGTACGAGAATACCTGGGCATCATCGACAACATTAGGCGAACGGACTTTCGCTTCGAGAAAGCGAGAAAGGAAATCCTTGCGAGACCCATTCTTTTTCTGTGGTGATTGTAGCCGCTCACGCATGCGATCCCGAGCAAAGCGCGCAACAGCCCCCGTTGATCCGCCAGGCACAAACTGTCTTAAGGGATTCTTGATGAGGAAATAATCGAGCCATGGCATTTGGCCAATCTACCAATTGTCAGGTGGTTTCAAAGAAGAGCATTGCAGTCCTTACTTTTCCTGCGTAATCGAGTATCTTCTCCAACGATGCAATGATTCCATCTACATCACGTCCTTGCTCCAGAAAGCCTAGAGGCTTACTGTACGTCAACTCTCCAATCACATCGAAGGCATCTGTTTCCGTCAGCCGAATTTCGAACATTGAGGTTACATATCGGTCCTACAGTACTGCATCCAAATAGCAATATCGCAACCTTTTCTGTTCTCGACAAACTCATCTAACCGTTTGAACAAGCTCCGTATTGTGGTATCGACAAAAGGCTCAAATTCCGTCAACGTGCTCATTGAATAAGCTGATGTCACCGGACGTTTGATCGCCGCATGGAAGTCTTCGTCCAACGTAGTGAAAAGCGTCTGTGTCGGTTTTCCATTGGCAAGTTGCTGTTGGACACGATAAAAGTTCGTCTACAAGGTTAGCTTGAGGCGATGGTACTTTGGATGGATGTTCCAACCTTGCGGAAGCCCTTATTAATCCCGTATATTGTCTTCAAGACATCCGGATTCCGTACGCTGACCACATTTGGTCCGAGTCGGACGTATTCGCCATATTTCTGGTGCAATTTATATAATGTAATATCCGGACGACCTCGAGCTACATCAACGAATCTCCAGATGTTTGAAAGCTTAGCAGCGAAAGGGCCTGGAATTGAGACAACACCCGGGGTGAAATAGTTGCGTGTGAGGTAGACAAGGATGCCGGCAATGATCAGACCCAAAATATGCTCACTGGCAAAGCCGATGATGCTGGAGAGAAAAGCCATATCTCGAAGAGTAGTCGACTTTCATCGATTTCTGTATCCGTATGCGTTGATGCAGACGGTCTAATGGACGTTCATGGATTTTGAATGAGGTCGAAAATGGTTCTCATTCACGGATTTATACACAACTACAAGACTTAATACGAATACTACCACATGGGCGTTTACAAACTATCACTTACAACGTCTTTCTGTGCAGCGGAATTTCCTCCGCCATCTATTTGCGGGGAAACCGCAAGCAAAGTTCAATATACCCGAACGACCATGAACATTACGCTCGGCTATGCCAACATGAATATACGGTTATCCGGCATTTAGAATAGCTAGACTGAACCGCATTGGAAGCGGAAATAGCATTCACTCAACGCTATATCACTTGCACCGCTATGCATCCACTACTTTTTATTTTTATCGGCCGCCGACTGTATATGCGAGGCCACGGACCCCAGGGCTGGGATAGTGCCGAAAGCGTGGGCCTGTAAGAGTTAGCATAATTTCGTCCCATGGGGAAGATCATGATGTACCTCCTTCGCCGTGACATTTTTGGCGTCGTCGGTTGTGATTTCATTCGCGGGTTTGCTCAAAACCTGCTCGGCTTTGGCTGCCCATTCCACCTGCTCGGGGTATTTTGTGTCTATCATTGTCAGCATCGTCGAAAGAGATCGGGTGATTGTAAGGACATACCCGGTGAGCCGGCCAGGTCTGTGCTTTGGTTGGTGATGAAGTTGATTTCGTCGTCCCTGAGCGGCTGTCCATCCAGCCGTCTTTCATTGATCCGCTGGCGGAATTGAATGGTGTCCATGTTTTCCATTTTGAAGCTTTGATGCGAGGTATTTGGTTGACAATAAAGTATCAGTACGATTATCAGTATTCTAAAGTCGTCCACGGAGCGTACATATATATTTGCCGTCCAGCCACCAGATATCATATCATGATTGCGTTAGTTGCCACGTGGTTGTCGAAGACAATGGACATTTCGCAGTCCTTGGTCGAATAGAAACAGTATCCATGGATATTCCGAGTTCCTGCCAGCCGTCACGGTGACGTGAATGCGAGACAGGGTATAGTGTGAGAATAATTAAGGGTCGACACTTGACGAGGTTTTCAAATGTTTCCGGGAGCATATCCTGCCGTCGCAGTCTCTGTAACAATTGTTGTTTTGTGGAGAAGTTCTCATAAAAACAGAGAGTTGCTGAAATAGTGACGCCGAAGTACTATTTCCCAAACAGGAAATGCCGGCCATAACCACCTCTATTCTCTCTCCCGAAGGCTACAACAATCGTCAGCCCCAGTCTTTCGCTTCACTCAGCTGCCCAACTTCAGCTGATTCTAGAAGAATGGAAGAAGCGGTTTACTCATATGGCAGGTGATCGTCACCGTATCTGACGTTCCTGGGATGGTAAACGAATGACTGCGTCCGACTGATATTAGGAGACGCGTTCGTTCGTCTTCCATCCCAGCAGTGTCAGTTACCCTTTTCATGTGAGGCCATTCGGTTATAGATCAGGTGAGGGCTTATTCTGACGAATGGTACGAGGTTTTTGGATAGCGATGCGCGTCCTAACTATGAGCAATGCCGTGAGTGACTCAAACGAAGACAGTTGCATCCAACATCTGTAATAACCACGTGCTTTGGACGGATAACTTGTGCTACAAGCCTTCATGACGAGCTCCCCAACATGAGGGTAGGTTAGGATTACTGAGAACACCCTGTACCTCGGGACACGTTATCGGCAACTTGTTTATTTGATATTGCAACTAATGATCCGAGTAAGCATCCTAATCCAAGTGAAAGAAACTCACTTACGAATGGCAATCGTCATATGTTGCACAGCAATCGAATTGCTCCGGATTGCATACTATCTCTGTGGCACGTCGATCCAGTCTGGTCTTCAGATTTGGCCAATCGCTTGCTTCCAAACCTGAAATGACCCTTCTTCTATGCACGATATAAGGGGTAATAGCTCCAATCGGGAAGTTTTGATCATTATCATTGACCAGTCTCTTCGACGGAAATAGCTGTGGTTCAAAGAACACTCATTGGCATCCCCAATGGGTAGCGGAGGTGAGATAAACTTGGTAAGCTTGGAACAAATGACCATGCCATCCCAGATAGCCGACGTTGAAGCACATCCAGCTATGGAAAGATCCCTGTTTCTGAGCAACGTCGCTGACGTTAATTTACCTGGCCTACGTAAGTGCGACAGCCTGTCTTCAACCCCTTAACTTCGCCCATTTGCTGGTATGCTAAAACCGTGTACGTATAGAAGCATGGCTTGTTTCGTTTTAAAGAGTCTGTGTTGTCACCTCCTTTTTTCGTCCCGTTTGAAGGGTCTGCCTCATAGAGCCCGAAATGGCGCCTCATCGCCTGCTAATATTTGGCGACCAATCTACAAGTCCGTCTTCAACAATCAAGGAATTGCAACGACAGGCACAAGACTCTCCGGCGCTATGCCATTTTCTCGATGCGACTGAGAAAAGACTTCGATCCCAGTGGACGCCGGCGACAATAGCAGAGCGCGGACTACTTCGACAATTCGAATCCTTCTCAAACCTGGTAGAACGATATACTCACCACAAAGACGCGGTTGTGTCGGGCGTCCTTCATTGTACTGCTCAGCTCGGATCCCTCATACTGTAAGCCTCTGAGCAATCAACAATAGAAGGCCGATCTTGCTGAACGTCCGATCAATGTAGTTTAGTTGAAAATGACCCCAGCGTACTCGCGACGTTTACCTCTGTTCATCTTCTTGGATTTTGCACTGGGTTGCTTCCTGCAGCAGCGGCTGCAACGGCGACATCCGCTAAGCAGTTACTGAAACTAGCCCCGGCAATCGTTTCACTTTCCTTGTATCTGTCATTCGAAGCCCATAAACGGTCATGGGCGATCGAACCATCCAGCGACAGTTGGACAATGGTGGTGTCCGATATCACGGCAGAAACTGTTCGAGACGAATTGAAGGGACTTCAGTCCACTGATGTAAGGACTCGTCCCACTTAGTGCTGTCCGACTCTTCAGCTGACTTCAAAAGGCTTATTCTTCGCACAAACGAGCATATATCAGCGCAGAAGTTGACTCCTTCGTCAGCATTAGTGGCCCGCCGTCAACATTGGAATTGGTAGCAAAGCATCTGCGCAGCCATTTCCATGACATTCCTATGCTGCTACCAATTACTGCGGCATACCATGCATCACATCTGCCAAAGTCTGACATAGATATTATGCTCCGGTGCGCCGAGGTCCCAGACTTACCTATTAGAGAGGAAGTGACTTTGATGTCGACCAGCTCTGGAGACCTGTATGATGCGCGGTCATTACACCAGATCCTCGGCTATGTCCTCGAAGATATATTCCAATTTCCAATATCGTGGAACAAGTCCCTTCAATCAGTCATAAAGCTTGTTCGAGGAGGTACCGTTATTGTCTCAGCTGTTGGACCGACAAACCTGAGCAAGGCACTTTGTCGGGGGTTGACTGAAGGTGAAGTAGACGTCAGTGAAGTCCATCAATGTATAGAGGAGACAGAATACTCCATCCGTAATAAGCCAACTGATGTTGCCATAATCGGTATGGCAGGCCGTTTCCCTGGAGGCGAGGATCTGGATCAATTCTGGGAGACCATCAGCCAAGGCCGCGATACGCACACGAAGGTTGGAAATTCTCCCTGGGATGTCAGTTTGTTATTTTGTGATCCAAAACTGACGCAGACTCCCAGATTCCTGCTGATTGTTTCGATGTCGACAAACATTATGATCCGACTGGAAAAACTAGAAATGCTACAACTTCGCCATATGGGTGTTTCTTGTCACGTCCTGGGGAATTCGATGTCAACCTGTTCAATATGTCACCCCGCGAAGCGAAGACAGTCGATCCAACACAGCGCCTTCTTCTGATGACTGCGTACGAAGCTCTCGAAAGGGCGGGTTATTCAGATCATCAGGGACGGCGTATAGGCACATTCTTTGGCCAAGCTACGGACGACTACCGGGAAACGAACGCAGGGCAGAACATCGATCTCTACTATATCCCTGGGGTCATGCGCGCCTTTGGTCCAGGTCGCCTGAATTACCACTTTAAATGGGACGGCCCTTCTTACAGCATCGATACAGCGTGTTCGTCCAGTACCGCTGCCCTTGAATTCGCATATAATGCTCTTGCTACTGGGGATTGTGACATGGCGCTAGCCGGTGGAGGAAACATTCTGTCAGGCCCGCAGATGTTCTCTGGTCTCAGCCGTGGGGGTTTCCTTTCTCCGACTGGGGGTTGTAAGACATTTTCTGACGATGCCGACGGATACTGCCGCGGAGAAGGTGTGGGAGTGGTGGTTCTGAAGCGGTTGGATCGTGCTATCGTGGACGGTGACAATATAGAAGCAGTTATTAAGAGCATCGTGACGAATCACTCGGCCAATGCGGCATCCATCACGCATCCCCATTCCCTGACGCAACAAAGGCTTTACCAGAAGGTCCTGCAGAAAGCCCTATTGAAGCCTGAAGATGTGCAATACATCGAGATGCATGGCACAGGGACCCAGGCTGGAGATAAGACAGAAATGGAGTCAGTAACAAATGTCTTTGGACAGCATCGTGATAGTCCACTATACATTGGTGCAGTGAAATCGAACGTTGGCCATGGCGAGGGGGTATGCTACTCCACCCAAACTAACCGGGCCAGGCGCTGATTATCGAATTCAGGCTGCCGGTATCACTTCTTTGATCAAGTGCACCTTGATGTTGGTGCACAATCTCATCCCTCCACATCCTGGTATCGAGGCGGAACTGAACCGTCACTTTCCACCGTTGTCAGAAAATAACATGCACATTCCCCAGAGTCCGCTCCCATTTACCCAGAGCACTGAGTGTGGAAAGAGGAGGATTCTTATCAACAACTTCAACGCAACGGTGAGTTGAGCAATCTGGTGAAGCGTTTTGGTCCGACATTAACCATCTAGGGTGGAAACACGAGCCTTTTAATTGAGGATCCTCCCCCTAACAGAAAAGTCCTGGTTGAGACTACGCGGTCCCATCACGTCGTCACCGTATCCGCAAAATCGCGCAAGTCATTAGATTGCAATAAGCGGAATCTCATGGATTATCTCCGTTCCCATTCTGAAGTCGGAATTGAAGACATATCTTACACTACCACTGCGAGACGGATGCATCACAACTTTCGAAAGGCCTACAGCGTTACCAATACCGTTCATCTTATCAATGCGGTTGAGGATGACCTCGGAAACAAATTTTCGGAAATACACAGGCCATCAGAGCGTCCGCCAATTGTTTTACTTTTTACGGGCCAGGGGTCGCAGTATCCAGGAATGGCAAAAGATCTTTTCGAGTCTTGCGAAACGTTTAGAAAAGGGATCCTCGAGCTGGATTCCATAGCCGTCAGTCTGCAGTTACCCTCATTCTTGGAAATCATCAGTACTGGAGGCCAGGCGATGCCATGTCTATCACCAGTGCAAGCGCAGGTAGCATTGGTAGCTTTAGAGATCGCGCTCGTCGATTTATGGAAATCTTGCGGAATCATCCCGGACATGGTCCTGGGACACAGTCTAGGCGAATATGCTGCATTATGCACCGCGGGAGTGTTGTCGGTCTACGACACCATTTTTCTGGTGGGAAATCGAGCGCGTTTGATGGAGACCTACTGCACACCCTATGAGCACGGCATGTTATCGATCGTAAGCGATGTTCGTTCCGTCGAGAATTATCTGAACACTGCAGGGTATACCACATGTGACATCGCCTGCATTAACAGCCCGTCAGCTACAGTTGTGAGCGGTCCCATGCAGGATCTCATCGCGTTAAAGGACAGCTTGGGTCATATTCGGTCGACCATGCTCGAAGTCCCATTTGCCTTCCATTCGTCTCAAGTCGATCCCATTCTTTCCGACTTCCGTCGCCTGATGGCCACCATCCAATTCCATGCGCCTAGAGTCCCTGTCATATCAACCCTCACTCCAGGGAAAGTCGACTGGCAGGGCGTATTTGGGCCGGAGTACCTCATTCGACAATCACGGGAGCCAGTGAGGTTCTTGCAGGCCGTTGAAGAGTGCCGAAACGATGTAATTGATGAATGGAGTGCAATGTGGCTTGAAATCGGTCCTAGTCCGGTCTGTTTGGGTAATTTGCGGTCAATTCAGTCAATAGACCCGGAAAAAATGCTTCCCACTCTGCGCCGTCGGCAGAGTTGCTGGGATACTATTACGCATGTCTTGTCTTGCTTATACGATGCGGGGGTAGACATACGGTGGTCCGAATATTGCAGGGAGCAATCGAGTAGTCTTCAATTACTTGACTTGCCCACATACGCATTCGATTTGCAAAACTACTGGATTCCGTACGAGGAAGACAAATCAACAACACCACGAAACGCGGCATCGACTATACCGAGGTTCGTTTCAACTTGCTTACATCGCATCGAAGAGGAGTCAGACGGCAATGGCTACCGTGGAGTTACGTTTGTCACAGACTTGACGGACACAGCCTTGCTCGAAACGATCTATGGCCATCGTGTAAATGGACTTGGTTTGTGTCCAAGTTCTGTCTATACGGATATGGCTTTGAGTGCGGCTTCCTATGTGCAACAGAATATCAAATGTTCGTCAGTTTCGGAAGATATGAGTGTCATGCATCTCAGGATAAATCGACCGCTGGTCGTGCCGCAAAGCTGTGACCGATACGATATCAAAGTGCACTGTGAATACCTGGAGGATAAATCATGCTTTGAAATTACGTTTCGCTCACAGACAGACCAGGGACCTCAAGAGCATGGCCGGTGTATCGTGGGGCTTGGGCAGCATGCAAAATGGAAAGACGAATGGCGTCGTACAATACATTTGATCAAGTCACGGATAACAGCCTTGTCGGGTCACTCGAGGACAGGATCTACACACCGCATCTTGAAGGACATGGTGTACAAGCTCTTTTCAAGGGTGGTGACATACGGAGAGCGATACCGAAGTCTCCGAGAAGTCTTCCTCGACAGCAAAGAGTACGAAGCGGCTGCGACTGTCCAGTTTTCAGCGAACGCGCAGACAGATAAATTCACAATCAGTCCCTACTGGGTTGATGCAACTATTCATCTCGGAGGATTTTCTCTCAATGCGCATCCGAGCATTCCCGATAACCTGGTTTATATATCCACTGGGTGGGACGATCTTTATGTCGCTGCTGCATTGTCAGCCGAAAAACAGTATACCAGCTACGTTCGCATGCAGGATTCGGGACACGGACTGTACATTGGAGACGTTTACCTTCTAGACGACGATATGGTTGTGGCCATATGTGCGGGACTACGCTTTCAGGAGATGAAGAGCAGTTCATTGCATGCGATATTGCAATCGACTCAAGTAGCCGCTCCTTCATTTGCCCCAGAGTCTACGACAGAGAATATTACGGTCCCAGACACCCAGAGCTCAATCATCGAGATCCCACTGTCCACGGAGTCCATTTTTAGAAAAGTCAAGTCTATCATCGGGGAGGAGATAAATATGGATCCCAGCAATATATCAGAAAATGTGAGATTCGAAGAATTGGGAATCGACTCCATTCTACGAATGACGATAGTATCGAAAATCCAGGGAGAAATAAACATTTACCTCTCTTTGTCCGCTTTCGATGATTACCCAACCTTGGCTGCTCTTCGAGGACATATTCAAGGGATGCTTGGGATAAGCAACAGCAACGGTTCGAGTAGTTCTTCATCGTTGATGAGCCCGATTATTACTTCGACACCCTCGACACAGCATGAGAGCGTTCGTCCATCGTCGGAGTCACGGACTCCTTCGTTAGAGATTGCTGCAACAGCAAAACAGTTCTATAGTCAACCGATTCTGCTATCCGGACGCCCCATACACGGTGCTCCCATACTGTTTCTGATGCCCGACGGCGCTGGTTCTCCGTCTTCTTATGCCATGCTTCCAACGCTGCCTCATGGAATCGCAGTTTACGGACTCGAGTCTCCATTCTGTCACAAACCACTTGAATGGAATTGTTCATTCGACAAAGTGGCGACTATGTACATGGATGCTATTCGCAGGATTCAACGACACGGTCCATATATATTGGGCGGATGGTCTTTGGGTGGAATACACGCGTATGAAGTCGCACGGCAGTTACTCCATGCCGGTGAGAAAGTTCAAGGTCTTCTTCTGATTGATGCTCCGAACCCGAACTTTCTGGGTCATATCTTGGATCCCGTCGTCGAACTGCTCGAAGATACTGGTATAATGGTAGCAGCCGAGCGAGTTAACGAAGGGAAACACTTGGAGTTGGAACGCGTCAAGAATCATATGTGCAAATGCGTTGAGTCTCTCAAACACTATGTTCCTGATCCAATGGGTCCTGACAGTCGACCGGACCATGTATTTGCTATATGGGCAGCGGATGGCGTCGAGCAATGGAATGACAAACCCGTGGAAGACCCTAGTGAAACTACTGTGACAGCAAAGGAAGAAGTGCGTCAATTGCAGCGATGGATGGAGTGGCGAACTACGTCATTTGGTCCAAATGGATGGGATAGAATGGTCGGCGAGGTAGAGTGCCATGTTGTTGAAGGGGACCATCTCTCTATACTCCGTTCGCCTTGGGTGAGTGCTCGGATTCCATTCAATTTTGTCTTTGTCTAACATATATCAGGTTGAGAATACTGGACATTTGGTGGCAGAAGCCGTTGACCTGTTCCTAGGTCGAGACGTACCATCTACGGCGTAGCCCAGGCTTTATATTTTTGAACTTCTTTAGGATCCTCGTTAATCATGTTACTATATCCATATCATAACAATGCTTCATAAAGGGGTATAAAGTAATATATATAACATCGTACATCAACGCCACATTACTTCTTCTGAGACGCACCACCACGAGCAGCCGCCGCATCATACAGAGCCTGAATATCGGCCTTCCACTGCTCCTCGTCAACTCGCTTAATGCGTCGGTCATAGGTCATTAAACCGTTAACTTCGCCCTCAACGTCGGTCGTCTGCGTCCAGACACCTCCGCTGCACGCATACCGACGAACCTGGTCCTCCAGTTCGCTGAGCAGGGCGTGGCTGCGGTAGTTCCATGCTTCGACCGTGGTGTCGATTTCGTAGGTTTGGTTGATCGAGTCGATTGCGCCTTGTTCATGCCAGAGGCTGGAAATGGTTAGAAAAGAACGAAATACTTGGTAAGAAGCGAAGCTTACTTTTCAATGGTGACGTTGTTACCAAGTCCTCCAAATTCACCCTGGAAGCCGATCCGACTCGGGTCGTATGGGCTGGAGTCCGTAGAGTAAAACGGTGTTCCGCATTGTGGGTTGGCGTAGTGATGGTTGTCCTGCGACTGTTAAGCTTCCAGGCCGTGAACGGAATTTTTTTTTTTTTTTTAAAGCCAACCAACTTACGCTAAAGTCACCGGCACCGTGATCAATCCAGCCAGAGGTCGAATCAATGAGTCGCGTAGGATCCAAAGTCTTGACGCGTTCTGTCAACTCGAATTCAGGATAGTAGTCGGTGATCTGGCCCCAGCCTTCGTTGTAGATAACCTGAGACTCGTTAGAACCAGAATAAGGATGTCCGTGTCCGACGTGTACTCACCCAGGTGGCAATACTCGGGTAACTCCTGAACTGGTTGATCATGACTTCCAATTGACGCCCAAATTCGGTTTGCTGCCGGTCATCTGCCAATAGCCTGGTCTTCTTGCAATCCGATTCGGTCCTTTCTTGCAATGGCCTCATAGAGGGCATGTCCTGGATGACCAGGAGACCTAGTTCGTCACATGCCTGATAGAACAAAGCTGGCTCGACCTTGATATGTTTCCGAACCATGTTGAAGCCGAGGTCTTTCAGAAACTTGAGATCATAGACCATTGCATCGAGAGAAGGCGGCGTGTAGAGCCCGTCCGGCCAGTAGCCCTGGTCGAGCGGACCGAACATGAAGACAAATTTTCCGTTAAGCAGGGGTCGGACAATGCCGTCAATTTTTCCTTTGGAGATAGTTCGGAAGCCGGTGTAACTCTGGACTTGATCATTTCCTAACCGAACGGTGACGTTGTACAGATTAGGAGAGTCTGGGGACCACAGCTTGGGTTCGGACACTTTGAACACGAATGGTTCATCCGATTGTCCCGTGTGAGAGGCCACTTCATCGTCGTTATCGTATACCGTGACCTCGACAGAGGTGGCGTTTCCTTCGGCGCTGTGGACGGTCACGTTGACTAGTCATATCGCGTTAGCATGGTCATAGACTCCGGTTAGGTTGTACACACCTTGACCATCCATATTAGCATCGAGATCTAGCTGTGTGATCCAGTTTGACGACGCTGGTTCCAGCCAGACACTCTGCCAAATGCCGCTGCAGGGCGTGTAGAAGATGTGGCTTGGATTCAAGGTCTGCTTGCCAATCGGAATGACGTTTTCGCCGTCATCGGTGGGATCGTAGACAAATACCAACCTAGGGTATCATTAGCTGCAGGTCGATCTGTTGAAACAAAGATGGATAGTTACAATTCATTTCCCTCGTTGGAAGACAAGTAATCCGTGACATCAACTTCAAAGTGGAAATAGCCGCCTCGATTGAAACCAGCGTTTTTCCCGTTGATAAAAACGGTGGCTTCATAGTCCACCGCGCCGAAATGCAGAAGTACGCGCTGACCGTTCCATGACGAGGGAACATCGAACTTGGTCGAATACCATGAATAGAACATGTCCTTTCCTTGGATACCTTTTCATATAGTTAACACATGTTGCGTAAGAGCATATAATTCCCAGAAACACATACCGGACAGGGCACTCTCCAAGCACGACGGCACGAGCACTTCATTGGCAAGAGTCTGGTTCGTTGGTGGCTGCTGCACTGCGTCCTGATTAGATGCGTTCTGATACTGCCAGAGCCCATTGAGGTTCTTCCACTGCGTCCGCTGCAACTGCGGACGGGGATACTCGGGCCAGGGGCTGTTGCCAACCTCCTCTGTCCATGGAGTATCCAGCGGAGATTGCTTCACAGCATATGGCGTACTGCGGGCTATGTTCTGGTGATATGTATTTGGAATACTGCGAGCTGCAGCAAGAGCCCCCAACAAAGGGGCAAACAAACTGTATGAGAGATGCATGTTACCGCGTGGACCGGGGTGGTTTCAGAGTAGTCGACATGCAAGTCAAAATTGAAAGAGGAGACAGCCCGTCATCGAGGGACAGTCGGTTTATATGGGAATGCATCCATCTATCTTGGGCACCGCTCCGAACCAGCTCTTGTCGAGCCAGCTACCATGTAAGGGTGATTGGCCGGCCTTACGGATTACTCGACTAATAAACCCACCATCCCCCGCACCACTTTGCTAGGCAGTGTGATTGTTTTCTCGTCCAAGAGTGTGAGATCCACCTAAGTGACCTCGGGAACGATAGGAGGACGATGCAAGGACAAAGCCCCGGTCAATGAGAGATCCGGGGGGCGAAGGAGTGAACCCACAGGGGCCATAAGCGAAAAAGAACCAAAAAAAAAAAAAAAAAAGGCGCATAAAACCCGCTTGGCACAGCCAACAAAATAGGCCATTTTAGTACTCTTACTGCATGTGCAGCGAGTAAGATTCTGACCGTGGTCCATGCAGGGAAGTAAGACTGGCGAACCACGGATAAGCATATACTGAACCAGGCCAGGAACGGAGAAAACGCTTCTCACTCCATGGAAAGCCCTCACCGCCGCTCAACTGTCCGTTATTGAGATTTAGATCCGTCAACAATATCCAGATCGCTCGTCCGGGGGATCGTCGAAATACGGTGATGTCCGCACAGAATTCCCCTCTTCGGTCCAAAGGGAACTACATGGCCTGGGGCACGAGGACACTTTCCTAGGGGAATCGAGTCGAGCCATTGCGGGCAGTGATCTTATTGGTGTTTGGAGAGTGTTTCTTCGGGTTCGGCCAGAAAGAATCTCCAAAGTCACGGGGAAAGTCACGGGATACCACCTGCCGCATCTGGAATGGTGACCGGTGAATTAGCCAGGGCACTGTGATTGGACAGGAGTGCTAAAATCGGTCTCTCATTGGCTGCATCTGAATTTCTGGTAGGGCTTGGCATTGTGCGGGATTCCCTTTTCGGACACTCCTCGGCACTGGTCGATATCAAATGCAGAGTCTAGAGTCCGGAGAACGAGCATCGAAAATGGCCGGACAGAATCAGTTGACCGGAATACCGTGTAATTGTGATCTACGAGGTGAAGGAGCTTGTGATAGAGCAGCGAGAGAACCATCGGGGTGTCTACTTCATAGTATGTAGACGTCTTGTGTGATCTCTATCGGGTTCGGCCGCGATCAGATGCAGCTAAACGAGGACAAGGCTGACTTTAGGCTGGGAAGGGGGGCCTTGGTAATACTCTTTATTAAGACTCGACTCAGCCGCAGCCTGCGTCTATTTCAAGGATCTTACGTGAGATGCCCGGCCGGCTGTACAACTACAAAGGAATAGTCTGCATTGGTCTGTGGCAATGCATACAAGCCTATATCATCCTTCGGAATGCCGAGAGCTGGTGCTAATAGACGCGAGTTATCATGTCATAACCACTATCCTAACGTGTCCGAAATTGCCAAAAGATATAATAGTCTACAGGGGTGCAACTACGGAGTTTACTTACGCACTTTCAGACACCCCAAAAGTTGGAGGCAGTCTCCAATCCATGCCAAATATAAACATTTGGCTCGGTTTAGGTGCATCGGTCCTTCGTAAAGTACCGAAGAGCCGCCGGGACAGGCGATTTCCGCAGACCAGTGTCGGTCCCGGTCTCGCGGCAGGAACCACCGGACCAGTTTCGCAACCCGCTGAATATCCACTCGGTCCATTTCTTCCCGCTGCGCTGCCCCCCAAAGACCATGCTGTGTGGGGTAATCTCAATTTGACCGCCAAGTAGAACATCTTTTCGTAAAAGATATTCTGGACCAATGGCTCTGCAAGGCCATGTTTATAATTAACGGAGCTAGTAATCCGCGTCTGGTCCATCAAGACGACTACCGGTTGGGGAGGTTGTGGCAGGCCCGCTATTGGGGCACTTCGCGTGCTTGTATAGTGTCAAGAGCTGCCCGTCGAGAAGGGTCCGTGGGGCCGTCAATCACCGACGGACCGATATCGGGCCAGTGGAAGGACACGGTCTGTCCGCAGACTACGAGACTAACCTCGTCCCTGCATATTGGTAACTCGTCAGCTTGAAGCTTGCTGAAGAAGTAGCGGGCGGATGGGTTCTGACCCATGAACCCTGGCCAGAGTTTGTATAGTCCGTGATATACATCGGCCATGATCTCTCATTAGTCAGGGCTTTCTTTGCGAGATTGATCCACGGCATCCATTCTTCGTCCCTCGGCAAGATCTGTCATCGTTGTCTGTAGGTATGGTCAATGACCCTTGGACCATGTGCGTTTCTGGTTCTTAGATAAGCGATAGCTGGAAGGTGCTGTGCTGTGTTTCACAGCCTACAGCTCAGCTGAGGCTGACCGACTCGAGTAATCGTATGCTGTGGCTGATTATTCATGAATGGAGGTGGCTTCGTCCACATTTCTCGCAGTAATATATCTGACGTCACTGTCACGTGCATCTACCAGGCCGGATCCGGTTAGCTCTACCCACGCCATCCGAATTGGACTTGGTCAATTCCTCTTCCTTTCTCCGCGACAACCTGCTCAAACTGCTCAAACGACATTCACAATGGCTGCAATTCTCCCCCAGACCGCTTTCCGCGCCCTTAGAACCCTTCCCCGGGTCGCCTCTGTCCCCCGGACCACTGTCCGCCCCGGTATCTGGACGCAGCTGCCCCGCGCACCGCAGCCCCTCACCCGCCGTTTCGTCTCCAACATCCCCCAGGAGCAGCCCCGGTTGCGTCTGGGAGCTACCGGTATGTGCCAGGAGAACGAAATGATTGTAATTGACGAATCTGGAATACTGACGAGCTTGCAGCCCCCAACTTCACAGCCCAGACCACCCACGGCGACATTGACTTCCACCAGTTCATCGGTAACAGCTGGGCCATCCTCTTCTCCCACCCTGCCGACTTTACCCCCGTCTGCACCACCGAACTGGGTGCTTTCGCCAAGTTGAAGGATGAATTCGAGAGGCGCAACGTCAAGATGATTGGTCTGGTATGTGGATACATTCTTGGAGACGGGCAGACTATGCACGGTTGTACAGTTCTGTGACTGACTGGAAATGCTGTGTCTAGAGTGCCAACGACCTCAGCTCCCACGGTGAATGGGTCAAGGACATCAACGAGGTCTCCAGCACCAACCTCCAGTTCCCCATCATCGCCGATGCTGAACGCAAGGTGGCCTTCCTCTACGACATGATTGACCAGCGGGATCTGGACAACATCGCCGAGAAGGGCATTCCCTTCACCATCCGGTCGGTCTTCATCATCGACCCGAGCAAGAAGATCCGTCTGACCATGATGTACCCGGCCTCGACCGGCCGTAACTCGGCTGAGGTCCTGCGTGTGATCGACTCGCTGCAGACGGGTGACAAGAAGGGCGTTGTGACCCCGATTGACTGGCAGTCTGGTGACGATGTCATTGTCCCTCCGTCTATTTCCACCACCGATGCGGAGAAGAAATTTGGCAACGTGCGCGAGCTCAAGCCGTACCTGCGCTTCACCAAGCCTTAAATGCAGAAGCTACTGTAAGATAGAAGCTCTCAAAAATTAATAATTCTCCAATATATAGTTAGTGGATATTAGAAACTGTATCCCGTATGTAAATGTATAGTCGTTGACAGCGTGAGTGTAGGATATACGGGTGGATATATATAACCGGCTAAGTATATATTCTGGAGTGTGATACACCACGACAGCCTAAAACCATTGCCAGAAATCACCAATACAAATTGTCGTCAGTAGACCAATGCAGAGTATTACAATACCAACAGCCACGACTTCGTTTAGCATCTTGCACCCTACTTTTGAGTTCGTCGGGGAACATTGATCGCACAAGAGATGAACGATTCTTCTCGGTTCGTATTCTTTTAAACCCCCGAACTATAGAAACAAAGAGAACTAAATTTTGTACAGGTACGATATATATACAAGTGACTGAATATAAACCAGGTATGAAATTGCCGAAAGATGGTAATGGGTAAGGAACGTCAATCCCGGAACAGGGGAACCTTTTTTCTTCTTCTCCTTATTTTCCTATCGCCGATCTGTTGTCACTGATGTAGACATATCGACCGTCTTCATGATTCCCATCTGATCACTCTGAGGTGAGCCCTGTCTGTCGGCATCGCCCATGACCGAAGTCTCGATCTTCGGGTTCCCCTGCGCATTGTACATCAGGACGTCCTCGTCGTCTGCCAGCGTAGTCAAGCCGTGCTTGCTACGATCGGTGCGACTCTGGCCGTAGCCCTTGCTCATTTCGTAGTTCGAGGGGTATGTGGTCTTGTTGCTGGAGTATTCACGGTGGATTTTCGTGACGAGGGCGGAGAGGGCAGGAAGGCAAGCGCAGATGACTCCGATTGCGATTTCGGCGTTACTAGAGAGAGAGGGCGATGAATATTTGCTATAGCTCGATGCAGAAGGAGGAAAAGCTACTCACCCAAACATACTGATCCGCAGGAAGGACATAGTCGCATCTGGGGATTGCCCGATGATTTCGATCAAAGCAAGGCGGATGATACTGCAAGCAACCGCTAGTCCTCCAGCACCCAGCATGCCCATCACTCGCATCTTTCGATTTGTGGGCATTTGCAGACTGAGCGTCAGCGGAAGGGGGAGAATAAGCACGATCAGATCGCTGACCACACTGACGACAGCATCGGCCAGGATGATAGCCGTTTGGTCCAGACAGGTGCCACCGTTGTCAGGGTTCCAGAATGTGGAGATGGGTTTGCAGATGCGGATCTTGACAATAACGGCGGGGATGTAGTAGGCCAACATGATACCCAGGAAGGCGTAGATAAAGATGACGGCTTTGCGGTATGGATTGAAGACGCGGGTCATGATCCAGAGGAGGGAGAGCTTGGTGAGAAAGGCGGCTGGGCCGTACATGACCATTGTCACGTAGACGGTCTTGTCATGCGCGGTGAGTGTCTGCGAAAAGGATGCAGGGTTGGCAGCGTACCTTCTGGAATGGAATGAGATTCTCCTCTGGCACGTCGGACTTGTGCATACCACCTCCATAGCTACCCACTACTATCGTCAGTTCGGACTCGCGAATGGTTCGGATAGGAGACCTACTGATGAGCGAGATGATAGAGTAGCCAACGCCCAGTATCTACTCTTCTTAGCATCACAACCCAGTAGAATATTGATCGATAGAGCCCTACCCATGCTCCTAGACATGTCCCTGACAGGGTTAGCGATTGTACCAACAGCATGGTGAAATCAATCACTCACAGTCCTCTCTTCCAAACCCATTGAGAATGAACAACCGAGTGTATACTCGTAGACCGAAGAAAATCGTCATCGCAGCGATACAGAGTGACTGTGTCGCCGTGTTCCACTGTTGCACCGATCTATCCACCGAGCCATCGCCTCGACGCAGCAGATCTGTGAAGCTCATCCTGAGAAAAGAGTGACACGGAAAGCTTTGAAACACGGCAGACACTCGATACTCTCAACAGAACCACAGACAAGCATTGGGGTTACCACGGACTCGGGAGGAAGGAATTTTATTAGTACGGAGTTCAGACACCAGCGACTTGGGATCCTCGATCGATGGAATGTATCAACCATCGCTGCGGCTAACCGAACTATCAGGCAAACATCTTAACTCAAACTACTTGATGCATTAGAGATCAACCCCCCCCTCCCCCTTTGGACAATCCTATTGTCTTCGCCGTATGTCAGAGAACGGTCAGGCCATTATCCCCGATGATAATTGTTTTCACTATAATCTTGGTAGTCTATAAATTATGTGAAGAATGGGTCCAGAAGGGGCAGTGGTAATTATGATACGCGGACTGTTAGAGAAAAGATTCCGCGGACTGACTCCCTTCTCCCGGGGTCAATTTTCATCAGGCGGGACAGGGGGTTGAATCCTTCGAGCATAAAAGGCTGCAAACAACCACCAACACCACAGGGGAATACTTGCACACCGTATTGCCGTATTCTTCTTCTTTATTACGCATTGAAGCGCTATACGACTTCAAAGCAGCAAAAGCGGACTCGGCACAGGGCAGGCTGTAAAGCACGGAGTATGCACTGCATGTTCCCGAAGGAGAACTGAGATGTAAACATAGAAACCGTACCTTTGCTCAGGAACTGCGCCAAGTTCAACGGGCTCCCATTTTAGTGGGCCATAACGACCGGGCAAACCTTGGTTTAGTGAGAATGGGCTGTAAATGGCCGAGACTACGCCGGGGACCGGGGTACTATGGAGCACACACGGACCGGGACCCATATACCGCCCGTCTAACGAGCCCCAATTAAAGGTCTTGGGAACCACCCAGTCGAAAGGTTTTCAAAAATTACTCAATCTGTTTCATGTGACTTGGCCGCAACGGAAAAATCAGCCATCGCGGGATTTTCCAACACACGATGATGGCCTCGATCTCCTTGATCGGAGCTATCTAAAGTCGTACTCTCGAGGCGAATTCTCTGTCACGGTGATTCATCCCCTGGACCGTCAAATGGCGTACAGTGGCGTATAGTGGCGTGCAGATGCTTCAGATGGATCATTACAGTCCTGCGTGGCCGAAGGAGAGGCCAAAGCCCCGAGACCAAAGCAACGGCCGCAGCTAGATTGGATACTGATTGGATACCGATTGGAGGCCCGAATGAATACCGAGCGGGCGAGTGCACATCATCATTCTACTTGTAATAATCAAAATCTGTTATTGCCCACGGACTAATGCAGCGCTTGACAGGGAAGTGATGCAAGTGGCTCCTTCGGGCAGCGTCTTTCTGCACGCTACTCGAAGAAAAGCTTTGATTGTCTGTGATCCTACTCTGTAGTTACTGGAAAAGCTAACTGCAACTACTGTTGCGGAACCTGCATCCGCAGGTCTAGAAAATGGCCATCACGTTCGGCGGCGATGACACTCCACCCGGCATGTTCAACGGTACTGACGAGACGAAGAACGACCATCGTTGCTGCTCCTCGCAAAGTCGGGCTAACGCTTCGAGATCGAATAGTTCGCCTAAAGTGGGCAATGAGCGGCGGTGCATTTGTGCTTCCATTACAGTTTCACTTACCAATGGGCATGCCCCATCCCGCCAGGACGTATTCGTGCAAGAAGACGTCTGGGTTTTGCGGCGGATACACCTGTTGATTTTCTGCGGTCAGTCATCCCATACATTATGCAGGATTTAGTGTGGTTGTAGTTGCCCTCTTTTTGGGTCTCCATCAGGAACGCATTCGATCTCGGGGGGAAGGAAGAAAAACAGGGTTTCTTAGTGTTTACTGGCTTACCTCCCAGCTGATGGCGTCTCCTCCTATGGCTGAAAATCCAGTGTCCCACAACCAGCGCAGGACGTCCGTGGTCGCCTCGACACCGGCGTGTTCCGGGGCCTTGTTGTCTGAGTAGGCTTTCTTCTGCTCGTCGGTCATGATCGTCTCCCACTCCTTGGTAACTCCGACGCGAACAAAAAGGACATCCCCTCTTTGGAACGTGATGTTACATTCCCGAGCTATTTCCAGGATATCGGACAGTTTCACCTGGTGAGTGGAGAAGGTGCTATAGGTGATCCCTTTTTTCGCTGCCCACGTCGCGTAGTCGATCAGCACTCCGCGGCCGGCAATACCTTCTCGCGCCCAGTGCTGCAAACCAATCCGATCGTTGGTGCGGTCATTAATTTCGGCTGCAGTTGTACCACCGTAAAAAAGCCGTTCCGTTTGTCCCGGGACGGTCTGGGAGAAGTGCCGGAGGCCATCCCATTGACTACTTTGCTCTGATTTGACATCATATTAACTTCCGGAACAGTAGTAGACAAAGTTTAATGCTCAATCCAAGAACAATAGATCACTTACGGGGATTCATAGTGAAAATATCGTCAAAAGCCACGCCGCCTAGTAGGGGCACAATCTGATGGTGGCATGGCTGACGATTCAAGTTGGGATAATCTAGCTTCGTCATCTCCCAGTTCGTGGTGACTCGTCGGCCAGTTTTGATTTCAGTGGCGGCCGCCTTAGCCACCACCTCTGGAGTCAGGATAGCTAGTCTCCCCAGACCTTCCTCATAGCTACCCGGTTTGCCGACCCAGACCTGCTTGGGATTTGGCAACTGGTCGAAAGGAAGGTCGAACGGAGATTGACTGGCCATGGCGATAATAACGATCCGCAAATTTGTGTAGCAGGCAAACGAGACCAGATGTACTCTGAAAATCAGTTATGCACCTTGGGAGCGGACGATGTATCTCTGTCAAAGGGCGACTTCTTATGCTGTCACTTCCGCTGTCATTGCTGTCAACTAAAAATGGATAGCCCGGTCCGAATAACTAGTCTCGGAATGGTCGACTATCCCAATTCTGAGCGGACCCTCAGTCCCGCAGCCACGAAGCATGGGCCACCTGTCCATCAAACTTTCTTTTTTCCGTGTTTCCTGAAGAGCTTTCAATGTGCCGACGCCATTCATGCGCCGACTGAATCGTAAAGTGGTCCGTCTCAATGGCGCTGTCCTTTCGGAAGACCTCCCGTTGGACAACGTCGACAATCACCACGGCCGAGCCATTCAGAGACAATCCCCATTGTCCGTCTCGCTTCTAATTGATGACCAGCCGGTGGATCCTCTAGCCTGACATTGCTGGCCCACCGGGCGTGCATTCTACAGCATGGCTGCCGGGGTTTTGTGGTACGTGTGTGATTTGGAGGATTGCTCTCCTATCTCACATATTAAATATGCAAAAATCATCAGCCAAGTAAGCCAAGCAATCCCACATATTTCTCTGGCCTTGCCGCTGACTCGCCAGATCTTCTTGAATTCTCATGTTTCTAGTATTGTGTTAAGCCAGTCAGTCCATTATGGGAAGATTCGGGTCGCAGACAAGTTCCTACAACCGACTGGTCACTATCTTTGTGGCCATCGGGTCGTTGGTGAGCTCTTTCTCCAATTGTTTCTCAATCCTGTCCACATTGCTAATCCGAATCTCTACTAGACCTACGGTTACTGTACTTCGATCATCAGTAGTACCATCGGTCAGCCAGGATGGTATACCTACTTCAATCTGCCCGCCGAAGGAGAACCCGGATATGCGTCTATAACTACGCCGGTCGTGTCGACAGCCAACGGTGTGTTTAGTGCTGGAGGAGCCGTGGGATCGCTGTTCATGATGTGGTCTTGCGACTTCTTTGGTCGCAAAGCCAACATTCAGTTCGGTGCTTTCTTTTCTCTCTTCGGTGGCGCATTGCAGGCCGGTGCCAACTCACTCCAGTATGTCGCCTGCCGGTGTGATGCACTATCAAAGACAGTCTGACAAGTGAAACAGGATGTTCCAAGCCGGTCGATTCATTTGCGGTCTTGGTATCGGAATTCTCGTCACCGTCTGTCCTATGTACCTGTCCGAAATGGCGAGTGCCTTCCGTCGCGGATGGCTCGTCGGTCACCACGCCATCTTCCTGGTCTTCGGTTACATGTTGGCTGGATGGATTGGATTCGCCTGCTACTATGCCGAAACCACCATTCCTGCCTTTGGTTGGCGATTCCCGCTCGCCGTTCAGTGTCTGCCGGCTTTGGTCCTGCTCCTCGGTTCTCCTTGGCTCCCTCGATCGCCGCGTTGGCTCATTTCGAAGGGAAAAATGGACGAGGCAGAGCATGTCCTGACGCAACTTCGAGCCTCACCGGACGACCCGAACAACGAGGTGGCCAAGGAGGAGTTCTTTCAGACTAAGGAGCAAATTCGCCTCGAGGCTGAGAGGCTTTCACAGTGGGGTAGTAGCCCTTGGATCGCAGTCTTCAAGAAGCCTTCTTACCGTAAGCGCATGGTTATTGGTTTCCTGACTCAATGGGGAGCGGAATTTGGTGGACCTTTGATTATCGTAAGTTCTGTGGCAGTTTATTCGATGGCTCAGTCACTAACTGGAATAGAACAACTACGCTGTTCTTCTGTACACCAACCTCGGCATGACAGGATCAATGCCCTTGCTGCTGAGCGCAGTTTGGTTGACCACTGCTGGTAAGATGATCCTGTGCACACTGGTCGAGGATGCAACTGACAGATGCAGGTGTCATTTACAACCCTCTCGGAGCCTGGCTCCACGACAAGGTCAACTCCCGACGGGGCATGTACATTACTGGCTTTGTCGGTATCATCGTCACTACGTCGTGCCTGGCTGCCATGACGGCTGAATACGCTGGTACAACCAACCGGGTTGGAAACGGATTTGGTATCTTCTTCATGTTCTTGTATTTGGCATTCCAAGGGTAAGAACAGCCGAGCCAACGACCGATACACGTACTGACTTGTCCAGGACCTTCTGTGATACGACCATGTACCTCTACGTCTCCGAGATCTTCCCGACTGAAATCCGACCTATCGGAATGGGCTTCTCACTGTTCGGACAGTTTGCTTGTAAGTACAGCCGCCGCCGTTCCATGTTATGCCTTGACTAACAGCACCAGCTACTCTGATTCTGCTCCAGACTGCGCCTATGGGCTTCAACAACGTCGGTTGGAAGTACTACCTCGTGATTATTTGCTGGTCCGCCTTCTTCATTCCGGGTATGTTCTCCTCCTTACCACCACATGACTAGCCGCTAACACTCACAGTCATCTATTTCTTTTTCCCCGAAACCGCCCGCCTGACCCTCGAAGAAATCGCCAAGAACTTTGGAGAAGAGGTTGCTGTCCACATTACCGATGCGACTGACGCCGAGAGGGCCGAGGTTGGTCGACAGGTCACCCAACAACCTCCGACTTCAGCCTCCGGAGAAAGCGATGAAGGTGCAGCGAAGACCGAGACGGAAGCGCCAAAGGTTGGATAAAGAGACATCCGAGCGGTGTCTCTAGGCTTATTAGCCAGAATCAATTACGCCGGACCCGTAATGTCCTCGGGACTGGTCATAATGTAATGAGAACCTGTCGAGTTTCCACTGGTTGTACCCTATCCGTGAATTGCTGGTCAGTTGCCGCTCATTATTGCTTTCGAGTCTGGCGTTGATCATCTGGGGATGATGTCTATTATATAATTGTGTAATCTCGTTCCGATATCTATAATTATTGCCAAAATATGACTAAATATAAATGACTCTTGGTTCCACTAAATACCTCTAGCCGGTGCAGCGAGAAGAAACTACAGGGTGACAGGCTCAAGACGCTACTACGTCCTATCCACAAATTTCATAACCTTGTTCCCAGTCCCGCTCTTCTCGAACCCCCCAATGTCGTCCACAAAGGTAATCTGGAAAAGATGTTCATTCTCCGGTAGAAGGTAGAAGAACCATTCGATTCTCTTAACAAGAGCCTCTTTGGACTGTATACCCCCCCCCCTATCAATTGCGCGAAGTATGCGGACTTCGAGTGTTGTCTGCGGGGATGACTCCAGGGTGCCGAGTATGACTTGCCATTGCAAAATGCCAGTTCCCTTGGCTTGCATCATGGTCGCAATGTTTTCGAACTCAAAGTAAGCGGCAAACCATTTGAAGCTGAACCGGCGATCACGGCCGTGCAGGCGCAGAACGCGAAGATGCTCCCAATCCTCCTGAGCGATAACATCACGGGCACTCTCGGGCAGGGCATGCAGAGAGCCAATGTCGCCCGTGTTATAGCGGACAACCGGATTGCGCAGTCGTTGTAGGGAGGTCTGGACAATAATACCGGGCTCTCCATTCGGCACAGGACTTGCGGTCGACAATGGAGCTTCGTCCATGATCGACGGGGGAAGAATCTCTATAAGCATCGTCCGAGTGTCAAAGACAAAGTCCATTGTTGAGGTACAATCCTGTCGCCCAGTGAGATCCGGACTTCCGATGGCATACGGACCGGACTCTGCGCTTCCGAGGATAGAGCAGATCTTAATCGGTCCGAGAGTCGCGACGATGTGCTCTCTTTGAGCCTGAGTGAGGGGCTCGGATGTGTAAATTATCTTGGTTAGCTTGACTCGCTGCCTTTGCTCTACCGGCAGCATTGATATATAGTGGACCACTTGGATGATCTGGCTGCCATCTCCAGTCAAAACGTTGACATGGTAGTGGGCCAGATACTGGACAACCTCGACTGGGGTCATGTAATTGCCACAGCTTAGAACAGTTGCCCCGGCATTCTCAAAAAGCTCACTCATGAGGTCGAGAGATCTAGGCCCTGTTGGTTAGCTTGTTCAAGGTCAATTAGGGTCAACAAATTCAGTGGGCTACCGTACCGGTACAAGTAACCTGACACATGGGTCGTAAGAACCCAATCGCCCGGGCCAACAAGTCCACAGGCCACCATGAACTCGCCGAAAACTGATCTGTGTCTGCGGTTTTCTTTTACATCCGTGGCGAACATCAACGGTAACCCACCGGAACCGCCACCGGTGATGCTGATGTAGGAACGGAGTCGGTAAACATTGTCTGGACTTGTATCATGGGTCAGACGCTCAATGACCCTGTAACTAGAGATAACACGTCAGTGGAAGATAGACAACTGGTGAATGGTAAACGTACAGATCCTTCTTCGTGACTATAGGCCGAGTATGAAGATTGACCTCTGCCGCAGTCTTTGTGGCGGACTGCCGAGCATGCTGAATTGCGTCAGGTTCAGGAGGATACTGGACTCCCGGATTATAGAAAGGGTGAATGTTGGCCACTGCCAGGACCTCAGCTAAGCGGTAGGATTCGGGGTGCATTGCGGGAGAGACACGTTTTGGAAAGGACTGTTCACAGTAAATGAATACAAAAATATCTGTATGTAACCAGGTACCCTTTTAATACCCATTTCAGCGACATCGTACAAAACACAAAGTGGAACGTGCACAGGCAGTTGCATCACATCTGATCGGTCAAGCTGGAATATGTACATCATCGATAGGTACAAGCCAGAATCAGCTGTTCAACTCGGTATATACTCATATAGGTGCATACCCCCAGGAGGCACGAAGTATTGAAGGTTGACCGCCAATCCGAATCTACAAGTATATTTCGTAATGATTCTTATCGACCGGAAGCCCAGGATACTACGAGACAGTAACAAAGATGGCCAACAGCAAACTCTTTCCGGGCAGTACAGTTGAGGAGCTCATCATCCGCCGAATTCGTGAGCTGGAAGAGTCCGAAAATGGCGCTGAGCAAGACAGGCCTTTCTTCGTGGCTGACATAAGTGAAGTGACGCGGCAACGCGCAGTCGCCACTCTCCGAGTTGAGGTGGTACGGATCAAGTGCTGAGAGTGTTGCGGAATGGCTGTGAAATGCAATTAAGACCGTCGTCTCCTCCGACATCCGGCAGACCTTGGGCTGGGATTCGATTGCGCTTCCCTGGCGGATATCGAGCTTGTTCTGAGCCTGGGAATCGACCCGCCCAGGATCATCTTTGCTCATACGTGCAAGCCGGAGTCGGCCATCCGGGTCGCCCGCAAATATGGCGTGTCCTTTGCGACTTTTGATAATATCGATGAACTTGACAAGATCAAAGCGGAATGCCCCAGATATGCAACTGTTGTTCCGAATTTACGCGCAAGATGACACGGCGGTCTGCAAGTTCAGCACTAAGTTCGGGGTTCCATTGGATGCGACCAACCAGTTGCTTCTCGGAGCCTTGGATTTTGAGCTCAGCGTGAAGGGGGTCAGTTTTCATATTGGTACAGCATCTAATACATGGACAAGAGCAATATGCTGACATACCAGGCAGGGTCCGGAGCATCGAATCCCAAGGCAATCGTGAAAGCTACACGGCATGCCAAACTAGAGAAGCGCGGCGGTTATAGATGGCGAAGAAAGACGGAGCAGTCAGTCAATTCTCATGACTGAAAGTGTACCGCCACCCTGGCAATCGTGTTGGAGGATCTGTAGGGATCTGTAGCGCGAAGTAGCCGGGAGGAGACTCCTCATAGCTGCAGTCCGTATGCCACGGAAAGTCCTGCATAGTCTCGGACCGGGCCTGGTGATTGTGGCTTTGGACAATTGTATCGTTTGGTCGGACATCCCAGAACCAACCACGCGCTGCACTGCGCGCAATAGGTAAGATGTAGCCATGGTTTCGGTGAAGGCTGTGGACCAGATCTTGCAGATATCGGCTCGTATCGTCCGGGAAAGCAAGACTGACCTTGAGGATGCCGTGTTCTCGAAGATGATTGGACACATCTCGGACACGTCTCGGATGGTGAGGGTAGCTGAGATCGCGTGCTGCTAGATGTGGCACCAGGTTGGATACTCCTGAGAAAGAAGGTCAGCGTTTCTTTCCATTCCACCACAACAGTTCGTGTTTACGCATAGACAGTAGACTAACGGAGAAGAGAGTCGGTTGGATTAATTGCCTTGGTATTGCGGACAATGTGATGCATTGTGAATAGCAAAGCCCTGCTTGCACAAAAGATTCAGAAGAATAATGTAAATGCGAGGGCCTCAGATTGCAAAGCTTCTGCCATGGCAGGAGGCGACCACTAAATACAGGTACAAAACCGAGGCGTGAAACTAGCGGCGAACGCTGGCCTCAGCTCCTCGCTCCTCTATGGTGGAATTTGTGCTCAGCTGCTGCAATGGAGAAAGGAATGTGCATTCGGCCGTGACGCTACAGAGGGTGGTCTCGCGCTACGTATTCAATCCGGCATTTCAGTGATGCACTATTATGCATGATGCAAGATGCGATATACAAGGAAATGAAAGTGAAATAGATAAAAATAAAAAAAACAACGAAGCCTCACCAAATGTATTGAAACCGAAGAAGACTATTCATTCATCTTTGATGACAGTAGACATCCATGCACCCCCATGGCTGATGGCGCAGATTCGGTCTGCGCTACTACGCCACACGCCTAGACCTAGATACTCACCGGCAGCTGAGTGGTATGTCCCAATGAGCGGGTACTTCACTTTCTCTCCTGATTCTCTCAACACGACATCATACAGCAACTGCTTGATTTTCCGCTGAACGACGTAGAGGCGTTTCCTGGGTTCCGGTTCCGGACATCGCAAGTTCTCCAACTCAGACACCCACGCGGCCGAGGTGAGATCTTCGCCAAAGACAATTCCATTTCCCTTGCCGCTTCGTATTGGTTTCAGGACGTATTTGGCTTTGAGGCCAGGGCATTCTCTGGACGATCGGAGCAACCGACCTAGTTCCGTTGATCCCGGGAGGATTGTGTCCGCAATTCCCTTATCCAGAGTTTCCGCTTGGGCTGGAGTCAATACCCCTCGCTCAGTCAAAGGCCCGAGTTCCTGCTTAACAATACCAAGCATCCGTTTATCATGGACCAGCAAGATGGTCCGCATATCGTTGAAACATCGAAGGCTGAGCTGGCGTAGCATCTCTGGCTCCAGTGCCAGCAGCTCCCGCTGATGAAGCTCCAAGCCTACCTGATGTATCTCCTGCAGACGCTCTCCGATACTGTTGGTCAGCGCTGAGGTTTGCGAAGCCGAATTATCGATGGCCTTTACTACGCAGCACAATTTATACTCTCCCTCGCGCTCTGCATCGGGTAATAGCCGTAGATCTGTGGGCGTAATAAAACGAGGGGTGATTCCCAGATTCTGCTGGAGGTATTCGACAAGCATGTGAATATCCATACCGGGCTCTTCGTCTTTGAGAAGATACAGAGGATGATCATGCCGGAAAAGGCGCAATAGTCCTCCTAGGACCTTGTCCGGATCGGTGGCGCACACCAGGCCGTTATTCTCATTAGCAACACCGATATCTCGTAACGTCTGGGATCCGTGTGCAGCAAACATAAAACCGTTAAATGAAAATCGTGCGTTGATTTCGCTGACTCGGACGCCATCCACGGTGGTGGAGGTTCCTTCGCTGCTCTCCTGTTCAAGAAGGAAGTCCGGTCGCCATGAGCCTAGGCGATCCCGGAAAGGAGCAAGGATTCCAGAATCCTGACTGTCTATCCACTAGGGGGGGAGTTAGAGTAGGATATGTAGATTGTAGATGGTGCTAACACACTCGCAGGAGGTCTTCTTCCTTTGGCTCCAATGGCATGCGCTCGGGGAAACGCGCGATAGGATCCTGCCACCAACGCTGGACAATATCAACGATGGCCAAGACCAACGCTTCATGGAGATCAGAAAGCTGTTTTTCATGCTGGCGGGTGACGAGAATTGGCAATGGACAGTAGGCAGCATGAGAGTTTTTGCCCCATTTTTCGGCTCTACACAGGCGCTCAAGACTGGACCTAGCAGTCTTGTGGTCTCGCGCAAATATAGCATTCTCCACGTCGAAAGATGCGATTGATTCGTAGCTCTTGCCGTTGCGTGGGACGTAAACTTGTTGAAGTCGGTGCGACGTGGTGGTACCCATTGTATACAAAGCGTTAGACAGTATTTTGGGAGAAAAAAGAGTGACAGAACACATAAGCATACGATAATGAGCGCAACACTCGAAATTTAAAAGTGTTGTCGTAATTTTGCTGGATGTACACCGTATCCAGGCTAGTTACATTAGTTACGGTTGTGGTGCAATTTTATATATCACATGCATTGCCATAGTAGCGCAGATCCTGTGGAACTGATACCCAGCTAATGAGGATTGAACCAGCATCAAGTTCTATTCTGATGCGTGCTCACGGAGACCATAAGCTGAATTGATCGCTCTATGAGGGGCTTCAACGACTAATGGATCATCTGCCAACTATCTCTGTGGCCGTTTGTCTTGCAGGCCTTGCCGTTGTTTTCTTGCTAAGTATATTTGCGCTCAGACATATTGTAGTCTGGGCATGTCAGCGGGCATCCATTGCCTATAGGCCACTGGATCACTCGTACCACGATGCGGACGGCAAAGCAATAGAGCTGTCTATGCCAACAGCTTCAAAACCAGTCCTACGTCTTGCTATAACCACCTGTGTCACTGTAGGAGAACTGGCCTCTTTAGCCGAGGCAATTCTTACAATTTTTGGGTCCCGTTTGGCGTCTGTCGGTGTCTGGTTAAGACTGGCGGCATGGGTAAGAGACATTATGGTATTCCGAAAGCTTTCCAGATGCTGACGATAATCACGCAGACGCTCGTCTTGTTTCAGTGTACTACATTGTTTGTCCAATCTTCCTATGCGGTCCACTTCTCTGTTGGATGGAGGACCGGACTGAGTTGTTTCACCATTTTGTCTCTGCTTTGCACCGAGGGCTATGTGCAATATCTCGCCAATTCCCTCAACTTATGGCAAATAACGCTGGGCACAGTAGAGACTGTCTCCTGTTTCTTGGTCGGATGCCTCTGCCTTTTGATTCCCCGGCGACCGGATGTTTTTCACAATGGCCTCGTTGTCGATCAACAGTACACAACCAGTCTGCTAGGCTGGATTACCTTTTCTTGGGTCGGAACATTGTTGAAAGAGAGCAAACGATCTTCGGATCTCTCGATCAAAGACCTCCCAGAGCTCGATAGCAATACACGTGCGAACACAATTTATAACTCACTCAAAGGAACCATACCGAAAGGCACGGCTTTCACATCCAAGGATCTATGGAGATTTTTGTTTCGATGCAATAGCGTACCTCTGATAATTCAAGGCGCTTTGGCGGTCGTACTATCAGTATTGAGCTTCCTGCCACAACTTGCATTACTGGATATCCTTCAAAAGCTGGAAGGTCAGCAACAAGACGGGAAAGGAATTGATCTCTGGGTGCCCGTTGCAGGACTTGGGGTGTCCATTCTGGCGTCGGCCATGTTGGAGCCAGTCAAGTATTGGATTTCGTATAATAAGCTTGTTATCCGTATTCAGCAGCAACTGACATTGGCTATACTCGACAAAGCTGTTCGACTGGATCGAACGACCGGGCAATCGAGGACTGGAGAGAAGACGGCAGAGAAGGAAAAAATGGACGATGCGAACAGACCACAGAGCCCGACCAACATCGTCAGTGTCGATGTGAAGAATGTTGCTGACTTTTTCAGCTTCTTTTTCCTACTATACGAGTCACCGCTGAGGCTTGCAATTGCGTCAGGCTTCCTGGTCCGGCTGCTAGGGTGGAGGAGCTTGCTGGCCGGGTTCGTGGTCTTGCTTCTGTTGACTGTCGGCAACGTACACACGGTGCGCAAGTATACCAATAAGCAAGGATTTGTGATGGAGCATCGGGATCGTAAGCTCCGAATGGTGACTGAGGTGTTTCAAGGGATCCGCCAAGTCAAGTTCTCGGCCCTAGAAGGAAAATGGGAAGAGGCGATTAACCAGGCCCGGGACCGAGAAATGCGAGGGCAGTGGGCGGTTTGTTTCTGGCAGATTGCGCTTATTTCGATTTATTTCATCTGTCCAACTATGCTGTCTGCGACTTGCTTTTCGGTCTATGTGATAGTTTACGGTACACTGTCTGCTGCCACGGCATTCACGGCCATTGCAGTTCTAAATGCTGCGGAAGTCTCCATGACCATCCTTCCGGACGTCATTTCAACACTATTGAGTGCTTCTGTCAGTATCAGGCGAATTCACTTCTACCTCACACAGTCTGAGCGAGAAAGTTATGTGGTTTCCTCCGATACAATTGAATTTAAGGACGCGACGGTTGCATGGCCTGGATGCCGCGACGCTAGCGGTGGGAGTGCCTTGAAAGGCCTCAATTTACAGTTTCCCCGAGATGCGTTAAGCATTGTGACAGGCCCAACGGGTGCCGGGAAAAGCCTTCTGCTCGCTGCTATCTTAGGAGAAAGTGAAGTGCTCTATGGGACTGTATTAGCACCGGTAGCGGCCTGCTTTGACGATATATGCTCACCCTCCCCTTCGGAGCCGTGGGTGACCTCGTTAGCAATTGCGTTCGTGTCTCAGTCCCCCTGGATACAGATGGGTACCATTAGAGATAACATTCTGTTCGGCCTCCCGCTAGAGGAGGAACGATACATAAATGTGATCTTTGCTTGTGCATTACAACAGGATCTCAACATGCTCCCTGGCGGTGATCTGACAGAAATCGGTGGGCAAGGCGCAACTCTCAGCGGTGGCCAGCAATGGCGCATTTCACTCGCGCGTGCCCTGTACTCACGCGCTCGGACGTTGCTCATGGACGACATCTTCAGCGCCGTGGATGTTCACACCCGCCAGCACATGTGTCAGCACGCACTTACTGGTCCGCTGGCGCGCGGACGGACGTGTATTCTGGTGACGCATCATCTCGATCTTTGCCTGCCGTATGCCAGCTACATCGTCGTACTCGACCATGGTGTTTTGAAGCATGCAGTCCCTGTATCCTCTGCGCTTAGAGACCAATTGTCTGTTCCCGAGAATGCAGATTCACAACCGCATGCAAACCACGTACAGAACACGGCACAAGTTACAGCATATGATGAGAATGAAAAGTCTCAGGACCTCCGGATCGGCATTCATACTGCAGGTCGGATCTTCATCAGGGAGGGCGGTAAGATCTACCACTGGATATTACTGGGCGTCGCGTTCCTTGGATACGGAGGCTTAATGCTGGCAAGGGTATGGCTCCTTCACACTTACAGTTTTACCGTTTGTTGCTGACGATGATAGTCCTGGTGGATTCATGTATGGACGGACAGGTATCAATCGCATACTGACGAGCAAAATGGCGAACCGCATCTGCTGTACTATCTCGGCATCTATATCGGTATCTCAACACTGACTTGTTTGTTCGGTATATGTCGCACATATTTTTCGTTTTCTGCAGCCTTGCGTGCCTCCCAGAAGCTGTTTCAGCATCTCTTGTTTGTGCTACCGAGAGCCCCTCTTCAATGGCATGATTCTATCCCCTTTGGGGCGATCCTCAGTCGGTTTTCCAGTGACTTCGCTATGCTGGACACAAGAGTCGGGGACGACCTGCAAGCGACATTGGGATTTTCCATGAATGTCATGATTGCTATTCTGGCGGGGTCTATAGTGAACCCGATAATGATCATCGTAGCTGCTTGTCTTCTGGGGGTGTACATCTGGTTGTCGGGCGAGTACCTCATCGCGTCACGGAAAGTGAAGCATCTCGAAAACGCAACCAAAGGCCCCATCCTAGAGCATATCGACACAGGCATTAACGGAATATCGACTATTAGGGCCTATGCACAAACCGGTCTCTTTATCCGCCAATTTCAAGCCAAGGTGAATAATCACGCAAGAGCGTTTTGGCATCTGTGGTTGCTAAATCGCTGGCTGGGCTTCCGAATCAACTTCCTCGGTGCTATTTTCTCCTTCTTGTCCGCTGCATTCATCGTATCGCTGCCTGGAATTGACGCTTCCACGGCTGGGTTTGCCATCAGCTTTACCATCGACGTGTCCCTCTCCATGGCCTTGAGCATCCGACGTTACGCCAACCTGGAACAGGGCATGGACAGCGTTGGAAGAGTCCATTCATACAGCACCGTGGATACTGAAAACTACAATGGCTCAGACTCGCCGCCCGCGTGGCCCACAGAAGGTGCTCTCGTTATTCGTGATTTGGTTGTCCGTCACGCGCCGCATCTGCCTCCTGTGCTACGTGGAGTTAGCTTTGAGGTACAAAGAAGTGAGAGAGTTGGCATAGTCGGGCGTACCGGGGCTGGTAAATCCTCCTTTATCTCAGCGTTGTTTCGGTTCTTGGAGGCATCGGAGGGTGAGATTGTAGTGGACGGCATTGATATCTCAACGCTCAAAATCGACCAGTTACGTCGGCGCTTGGCTCTTATTCCCCAACAGCCAATTCTTTTCCAGGGTACAATTCGATCGAATTTGGATCCGTTCCACGAGCATGATGATCAGGAACTCCTCGCGGCACTGCAGTCATGCTGTTGGAACCAGGTAACACCTGGCTTCCATGCCGCTTCAACAGAGAATGCATGCAGGCCATCAACTGAAACGGTTTCGAGCGTCGAGGCTGATGCTGTCGAAGAGGATACGAACCATCTGCTCCCCGAGAACTCAACATCGATATTAGAGAATCCCGTCTCCCAGGGTGGTGAAAATCTTTCCCAAGGCCAAAGGCAGCTGCTCTGCTTAGCCCGAGCAATTATCACGCAGCCTAAAATTCTTATCCTGGATGAGGCAACATCAGCCGTCGATCGTACCACAGCTGAGTTTATCCAGCGAGCGCTGCGTACCGTGGTTCATCAGAACGGAACGACACTTCTTGCTGTTGCTCACCGGCTCAGTACAATCGCGGATTTTGATCGGATTATCGTGATGGATGCGGGCCGGGTTGTTGAATCGGGAATGCCGAAGGAATTAATTCGTGCTGAAAAAGGAATATTTCGGGGGATGGTGGAACAAGATGCAGAGCGAGACGCTCTGAAGGGACTAATTCTAGCGTAGGCAATGCTGCTGTTTGTAACTGACTCCTTGGCTTAATTCGTCCTTGTTCTTCGTCCGTTCTCATGCGGAGTGTGCATATATAACTACATGGTTCACCCGAAGATAATCACTCCGAGCGGGGTTTCCCAAGCTCGACCGCACGATTGTCCCTGCCCATTCCCGAGGTTATTTACCCTAATCCTGTGTTTCTCCACGAGATTCATTCGCATTCGAGTATTTCTATCCGTGCTTTAGTTAATGGACCCTTTGTTTCTTGCCGCCAGTGTCGCCGGTCTCGCCAGCCTTGCGCTTCAGATTGGCCCCTCACTGCACGAGTATTTCTCCGATGCTAGAGACGCGCCAAAAGATGTCACTCAATACTGTAACGAGATATACGGATTGTTCGAGGTGTGTGAGAAATTGCAAGACTTTTTGAAAATAGACGCTGCGAATGCTTTCGAGATCACCGAGTCTGTTCTTTCGCGGACAGTCGCTTCGTGCGAGGACTGTCTGCGCATACTGGCAAAGATGCTAGATATCCCCCCCAAAAGAGAGGCACAGGGCTTCTCACTGGATCAAGAGAATAAAGTGGCCTATATACAAGAAGCAAGTAGAGGGCATCATTGAGCGGTTGGTGTGATATACGCAGCTTTTCCAGTTTGCATTGACCGTGGAAGGATGGTGCGTATTCATTGGACTCCTTGACAGCAAGATCAGTTTTTAATATATTCACAAGAGCTGCACGAAATGCTGGCTAATTGAACGGAACAGTGCCATTTTGTCGCGTACTCCAGAGGACGTCACGATGGTTCTCAAACTTCAACGCGATACCTGTAGCAAGCCCCACGATATCACTAAAGGCATTGCAGCACTCAAGGTATCCGCAGAAGATTATCGGAGCACAGCAGACCGGATGGAATTGGTGCTGGGAAATGTGGAATATTTGGCGGATCCATCACAACGCTTATCGGAGATTCAAGAAAGTGTGGGGAGCATCGAACGTCAACTTACTGGTATGTTTCATGACTTTCATGATTGCGCTGTCTAACCGTTGGCAGATAGCCTAGATAGAGAGATACTAGATTGGCTATCATCCGAGCGAGGCCAGGGTCGACACCACGAGGTTCAATCTCGACGCACCCCCGGGACAGGAAAGTGGATTCTGAGCACTCCAGCCTTCCAAACGTGGCTTAATAATGCATACCCTGAGAGATTATTATGGATTGTTGGGGCGCCGAGATGCGGGAAATCGACGTTGGTGTAAGCTTTTGGGTCATGAAATAGCAAGGCGACTTGATACTAACTCTCACCCCTTCCAGTTCCTTAATAGTCGACGAGCTGAAGGTCCTGCAGGCGAGCGACAATGCACCAATTGCTTATTACTACTCTTCGCATCCATCTTCACACAGGACATCTCCAGAGTCCTTCGTGTCGCCAAGTATGAAAGCAGCACCGTCACCGTGAACTACACCAGCCACTATCAGGCCATTGATATGGCGTTTCGCGGTGTCAAGGGGTCTGGTGATGGAAGAGGGTATGCCTACTTGATACATTTTTTTGAATACCATCCTGTCTATCCAAGAGATCTAATAACGATCCGCACCTGTTCATTCTCAACACTGAGTGGCAACAGACTTATAAGACTGTTCATGGCCTGTTGAACTGCTCTCGTTCCAAGAGTGATTGGACCCCATTCGCAAATAGCGCCTTCGCATAAACGTAGTGGAACCTCTCAATATACTCGGCCACCGAAGGAAAATTTCTCTGTGGATTACACCGGAAGTGCTGTAGTTGGATCTGAACCTGCGGCTCTGGCTGCTTTCCTTTGTTACCAGACTCAGACTCCGAGTCCATGTTAGAAGGAGGCAGCCTTGTGATTTGAAAGCGGTGACATCCTGCAAAGATGAATTCATCCGAGCCGAAGCCATAGTCAACGTGGCTCGAACTGTGGTCTGATGGTTCTCCGATGTGCTTATCCAGCATTCTAAAGGAGCCGAATAGGCAGGTGCCGACGGGGAGGAGGTGAGTGTTGGGGACTTTGGAACGATTCCAGATTGTTACTGCTTGTGGATCTGGCTGGAAGCCTAGTTGCATAAAAAAAAAAAACAAATTTTTTTTTTTATATAATTAGCCGTTGTGATCTACGATTGGGACGATTGAGATTTCGCATTGGCATGGCTCACCTGTATAACGTGCAGGCAACAGATTATACCCTCCGATCCTCAGTATCCACCTTTCGAAGCCAAAGATAAACCCCGAGAAAAACCCACTGGTGAACAAGGCCAAGACTTTCTCATCGCTCAACCCAGCAATTGCCGCTGCTGGAAACTTCTGCGCGACGTTATCCGTGGCGAAAACATGATGGCGTGGATTGACGAACTTGAAGGATGATGACGCGAGAAATTCCGAGCTGGCAGGATTGGTGTAGTGAGATTGGCGAAGGGAGCGAAAGAACAGCCCCCGGGGGAGCATCCATGTGGTTGACATGGCGAAGAGACGGGGGTGTGTAACTTGGAATCTTGGTTTTGGAAGAAACTGACTAGAAGAGGTGGCTCTTGTTGCTATTTATGTTAATTGATCATCGAGTGAGACCTTGAGCCGCCCGCGATTACCCGCATTTTTAATATAATCTATGGGGTTTTCCGTCTGGTATCCATATATGTTTCCACCAAACTAGTTATGTATCCAGCTCTGCAAAGGATTCGGTGGAGCTTGGTAATCGGTATGTTTGCTTATTTTTTACCGTCTTTGCGAGACGCTACTAGGAGCACATTGCCAGCACATTGCCAGCACATTGCAACAGTCATAACGCTTCAGAAGATTTTATCTGATCCAGCCCTCTCGCAACCATAGTCCCCACGACAGACGCACCACCACCACCATGGACAATGAACCGCGCAGAAATGCCCGATTTCCGAAGAGGTCCGAAAAAAGGTACGCCTGGCGGAGATATTTGTCGATGCAGGAACCAGAGCCGCAGTTACTGCAAAACATTGGAGCCAGCACGCTTTGGGCCACAGTTGCAAACAGGGGAGTGATTAGAGTTGCATTCGGCGCGGTTTGGCGCGGATTTTGCGGCTTCGCTGTGCCACTCTAAGTGGTTGCAGAGCTTACAAAATACCAGGAAGCAGTGGAACTCACATTTTAACCACCATGTTCTTGGAAGGTCTGTGCGGGGCAGTATATCTATATTTGAGCCCCTGCAATTTGGTTCTGGTCCTTTGCTGAGTCTCATCCTTTCTGTGTAGTCTTGTGGGAGAATTGCCCTGATGGTAAGGCCATCATCATGTCTGTTCTCGCAAAGGTTGATTCTGGATTTACAAAGGCATTGTCAACATCTGGCTACGATGAGATTCGCATCCTGGTTGACGGTCCCTATGGTTGTTCCATTAATGCAAACCCTTATGCTGGGGTTACAATAATGGCTACAGGTGAGGGCATTGCTGCGCAGGCTCGCAGCTACCATACGTGAAGGAACTTCTAGAGTTCCAGGCTTCCAGCGGTCAACCAAGGATACTGGAGGAAGACAGAAGATTTCACTGATATGGCAGCTTGACCAGGAATGCAAGTTGTCCTCTAGGTCATGCATAGAATGTAAACTGACTTTATCAGACCACGAAGATTGGATCTGTGACTGGATGGATCAGCTTCTCAATGAAGATTCAGAGACGATGGTAAGTATTTTAATTTGAGATAGTGTAATCCAGGAGCGCTAAGTCTTGCACAGGTTCTTGAGTTTTCATTATATATCTTAAATGTGATGGCTCAACACCTCAACGCCGCTTTGTCGATATCAATCGACAAACGCCCTTATCTGGGCAAGCAAACAGAGAGAGCACTAGCGCGGCGACACCATTCAGATAAAACCCCTTTCTTCCTGTAGATAGATTCCCTTTCTTCTTTTCTCTCCAGATTCGATATTCTCGTCG